TCGATGGATGGATGTAGAGGAAAGGGGTTTTAATTTTTTATGCTTATCCCATTCACTGCTTAAAGGGATAAAAACATCTTCGGCTATCCACGTTGGCTTTAAGAATTATTTTCGTGTGATGTATGTTGGGAGGTAAGAGATAGAAAGTTGGGGCCGGAATTAAAAAATATAATAATAATAATAATAAATTTTAATATATATATATATATATCATAAACAAGTTTAACAGAAATATGGAACATAGCAAAGTAATTGAGTAAAATCATATATGTTCAGAGAATAATCAACAATAATGATCTTAACCAAATTTTAGAATATCTGTTGATGGGGTCATTAACATTTACCATGCTCGTTGAAGACAAATAAAGCTTGGTGTAGAAATTTAAAAGAGCTTAGCCTTTTGGGTCGAATGATTCCAAAGCTATGATCATTGGTTTTGGGCTTCTTAGTAACAAAAATAGCCCATAAACTCATCATATAATGGCCCACACCTGCCTTGGTGATTGTTTGAACTTCACAATAAGCTTGGAGGAAGAAGAAAGAGAAAAAGGAAAGTGTTGGAAAGTAGTAATTGTCATGCAACTATTTTTTTTCGTGTTTTGGTAGCAAGAAAAGGAACAATTTTCAAAAGTGTTTCGTGAAAAAGAAAAAAAAAAAATGAAAATTATATATTTTCCATCATAAAGGTGTTATATATTTTAGTTTCCATTAAAGCCACAAAAATTTCTTCCTGTGGGTTTAGTTTTCGTCATTGATATAAAAAGTTATTTTTATTTTTAAACAGAAAATAAATAAGTAGAACTAAAGTGAGTGAAATAATTTTCTCGCAATTGTCATGCTATTTTCATTTTTAAGAACACCTAAAAATAACACGTTTAATTGTGTAGCCCTATCGGGGGATTCAGGCTAATGAGTGAAACGCGGGAAACAAATTGCACACTAACTGCTCTTTATTAGTATCTCTCCCCTCACTCAAGGCCTCCCTCTGCAAATACCTCAAAACCCTCTCGCCAAACCGTAACCTCTCTCGATGATGAAGTTCGCTGCCGACAAAGCTTTGGATCTACGAGATCATGAAATACAGGCAATTTATTATTATTATTATTATTATTATTTGAACCTCACGTTCTTAGATATCATCTCCGGTGAAGCTAGAATGCCTATGTTTCTCTGAATTTGTCTTTAAGATTGTCTTTTTTATTAGGAATATTTCCTGAAGTGATGCTGATACCATTCTTTTAGGGATCTTTGTGTTATCCATGACCTGTTGAAATCAAATCTGCCCTTCCCTCTACATTATTCTTTGAGATCATTGTGTTAATTTCAATCCTTTCTTATTCTTTTGTGAATTTTTTTCCCCTTATGATCTTGTTTTGGGTTTGTCATATAAATTAGTTTTGATAGTTCATCTTCTTCTTTTTTCTGTATAAAATTTCTCCGTCACTGGAGTTTAATTCGATCATTTTTTTGTGTTGGTTGGGTATGCTGACTATCGTTAATCTAGGTGATTGAATTTTTTTATTTTGAAGTTCACGATATTAACGGAATTTCAGTCAGATCAATTTGGATGTTGCTGGTAAACTTTAATGCTATGAACATGTTTGATTCATTGGCAGTGTCCGAGCATGAATACTTTATATTCCCATGTCATTTTAAGCATTGAAAGCCAAAGGCATTAATTTATCTGCTTTCTTATAGTACTTCTTTAAGCACACCATGACATCAAAATAAGTAGCTGCAATGTGTGGTTTGCTTTTACTTAATTGACAAGGATGGAGGAATTAGCATAAACCTTGCTTTCATATACCCATTTGCAGTTATATTAAACAAATGCAGCATATCTACGATACCAAACATGTTTTTTTTTGTTTACTGTTTGCAAAATTCATGATACAAATGACTATTACCAAACATTGCTTTTGTTTTTTGGAAACTAAAAATTAATCACAAACACTTATAAATAGAAGTAGTAAATATTAAACACAAATGTTACCATAAACAACCCCTAAAGTGTACGTTGAAAATTGTTTGTTTTGATAAGTGTTTCATGGCCGCTTTTAGAAGGGCCAAGAAGTGGGTACTCTATATTCCCACCTATGTTCCAAGTTTGTCACATATGAATCATTTTATATTTGTAGGAAGTGTCTAAAATGTGTCAACCTTGTCTTCATTATAATGAAATTCATTTTGAATTATGAACACATTTATCACGTGTCAGAGACACACATGCTTGGTTGTGTTCTCGAAGAGTTGGTATTTTCCAGTTGTTTGATGCGGACATGGAAGATTTGTAGGAGTTTCCGTGCTTCTTCTTAACTTTAGCTGAGTCTTTGAACACTGTCTGCAACTGATTTTAGCATCAGTTGAGCTGGGTGTCAGCGTGGTTCAGCCTCATTAGCACTCACACAGAGAAAATATGAAGTCGAAAAATGTAGGCATGAATTCATCTAAAATTATCTCAATCTCAATTCCTCCCCCTTGGAAAAATTTTCTAATTTGTTATTGCCTGGTTATGGCAAATTGGCCAGCTTAGAATACTTCATGATTGATGTATGAGGAAGAATGAAGCCTAAAGATATTTTCTACCATGAGAAACAGAAAACTATTGCTTCACACATTGGACAGTGTAAATGTCATTATGACACATATGATTGTTTCTATACATTTGTCCCCACACAGGTAGGGATGGAATTAAAATTATAGTATATTATAGTTAGGCATATTGTTGGGAAAGAAATTGGAAGAAATAAAATAGAGAGTAGAGATGGCAATGTATGTTTTCCTGCTATGAGTATTTGGATCAATTTGGGAGTTTTATTGTTAGCTTGGGAATAATTTACAGAATTTGGGATGTTTGGGTTACGCTGTAAATTAGTCGATTATGAGGTCTGTTTTCTTTCAGTTGTCACCATGGATACATAACTGAGAAGCTCATTTTTTTTATGACCTTATGGCTTTATAGTAATGATCCTTTTTTTTTAACCTTGGCAAGAAACTCACCCATCCGCTGTACCCCCCTATAGTGACTCAAACCCTCAACATTCTACTTTGGAAGGCGAGGAATTATCACTTGGCTACAGCCCTTGGTGGTCATGATAATGTGTTTACAACCGTATTCATTATAGCTGTGATGTTGTGGCCCGAATTTGTTGCCAGGTCGCGTTGCGATCCGCTTACGGCCCGGATTTCCCGTTGGATGGAAAAATTTTGACTCATTTTTTGCTCATGGATCGTGGACCTTAATTAGTTTCTTGTAGCCCGATATATAAGGGCACTTAAGGTTTGGAGTGGTATAAGAAAGAGATTCTGAAATTCGTACAGAAATCGAGTGAGGGACTGAAAACTTGTAATCTCTGATTTTACACATAATGAAGACTTTCACCGGATCTCAACCGTGGACGTAGGTTGTTGCCGAACCACGTATAAATCTTTGTGTTCTTTATGTGTTGTGTTTACTTTTCTGTCGTGATTCTTGATTTTATCTTGGGTTTGCTGCTTTGTCATAACAATAGCACATACAGAATTCAAACTCTTAATAGTGATATATATGTATATAATGTTTATTTCTCCCCAATACCTCTTTCTCCTTGAGTATTCTTCTATTTATGATTCGATTAAACTATTTGTTCTTAGTCGTACTTCAGTTAGCTGCCTACACCAGGACTTGAAGAGGAGAAGCAAGCTGTGATGGAGTGTCAGAAAATGCTCAAATTTGAAGCAGAAACAGCAACTACTGCCATGGCAGCAGGAGATGCCGTTGAGAAATCATTGAGATTGGCAGACGTGAGGGCATCTAGGCTCAGGGATAGGGTGATAGAGGTTGACACTCAAGAAAACAGGGTTCCAAATAGCCGTGATGGCCCTGGCAATGGCTTGGGTTGGACTCTGCAAGCTTTTATCAGTCCGACACGCAACAAAAAAGTTCAAATGAGATGGAGCTTTCCGAACCCTTGCTTTGAGTGAACTCCTTTTTTGTTTCTTCTCTTCTCCCTTTGTGTATTTATTTTGATTGGGTGGAGGAGCTTACTCCAGTTCAAAGAGCTTGACATTTTGGGGCAACAGGGATCAAAATGGCTCTAGATACAAGTGCTGGCAACAGCATTGGGTTTGGTTGAACTTTGCAGGTTTCCATTGGTTTGACATGCAATAACAGAGTTCAAATGACACGTTCTTTGAACGTTTTCTTGAAGTACGCTCCTTTTGTTAATTCCGTCCTCCCTTTGTGTATTTATTGTATTTTTTATATATGAAAAGTTATGAAATTAGTTTATAGCAAATTCATCCTTTAAGGGTCATCTTATTGATAGGCAAAGTTCATTTTTTTTTCAACTAATTGTACCACATTGAAGTTGCTATGAAGAAAATGATGTGTCCTCTTCTAATGTTCCTGCCTCAACATTTTTGTTGTACTTTTTTATAGTTTTGTCAGTTTTATAGGAGCTCATTCTGTCATAAAAACTCAACAAAGATCTGTTACAAAAAAAAAAAAAAATTTAACTATAGGTTCGTAAGAAGATAATGTGCAATCTGATTATTTGTTTCCAAATTTGTTTTGTTTTAAATCACAGATTGGCTTGCAAGATGCTGGTACGAGGCTATTTATCCTGAAGGGTGGGGGAGAGAAAACGAAGTGAATTGTGGAACAGCTTTAATTGCAGAAATTGTGGTTGATATTTACTTCTAAGTCTTTAATTTGATATTATTCAGCTTGTTTTTTATGGGGACTTTTTCTGCAGCAGACAGTTCCCTTTGGAGACAATATGAACACACCCAGAAAGGCTGTGGCACCTCTGTGTCGAACATTTGTTCTGCAGTTCATACGGCAACTGGAGCCTTTTCTGGTTATCTTCAAGAAAGAGGCATCCTCTGAGAACGAGGTAATGACTCTTAACTGTATTGAAGATAAAAAAATGTAGCTGAGCTGAACACCAGGATAAATTTGCTTGTGCATGCGTGTGAGAGAGAGGGGTCCTAAAAATTTGGTGACTGGGCCTTCTGGATAAGACAAAACAAGATCATATTATCCATCAACACGGTAGGTATTACATAGTCACAGCCTTTCGACCTCCACATATACTTGGAGTGGCTAATGTTTATCTTCTAGTACCAACAAAGGTTGTAGCCTTGTCGTACTAAAGTGGAAGGTGGAGAGTTCAAGTTCTAATAGGAACATGTGGGTGTTGTGTTATTTGTCAGGAAAAAAAACTTCTTGCGGCTACTGATGGATGATTGGCACGAGCTTAAGAGAAAACTTCTTGCGGATAGTTTGTCCAGCTGCTTCTTCTACGTCGATATCTTCCTCCTTCATTCCATCTGGCAATTTCCAATCAAAATAGCATAAGAGATTCGCGAGAGCAAGCTCAACCATTAACACCCCCGTACTTATGGCAGGACAGACTCGTCGACCAGCACCAAAGGGCAAGAGCTCGAAATGTTGTCCTTTAAAATCAATAGAGCTATCAATAAACCTCTCTGGGAAGAATTCCTCTGGATCCTTCCAGATATTGGGATCCCGACCTATTGCCCAGACATTAACATGGACTCGTGTTTTCGGGTAAATGTCGTAACCATTGAGCTTAAAGTTGGACATGGTTTCTCTTGGAATCAGAAGTACACCAGGAGGGTGCAATCTGAATGTTTCTTTCACCACCATCTTAAGGAAGTGAAGCTGATCAAGGTCACTTTCAGAGACTAGTCCTTTCTTTCCAACATAATTTCTGACTTCATCTTGTGCTTTCTGCATCACTCTCGGGTTCCGAGCAAGCTCTGTCATCGCCCACTCTATGGTAATTGCACTGGTATCTACTCCAGCAAGGAATACATTCTGAAACAAAAAATAGCAAATTAGACAGAACAGGGTCTCAGTTTTTACAGTGAAGAGCTTAATGAGCACTAGATGGGCAAGTTATGCTGCTACTATATAATATCAGGAGTTCGATTGATATGACAGTCAACTGAAGATCATTCTGCCTCACTACCGTAAAATTTGGCTTCCATATTTTGCCGCAGGTATTATCAATGCTGTACTGTGAACTTAAACAATTTAACCATGAATCAATTAAAAAATCCAAGGGAATATGGAAATCGTTAATTAAATGTATGGTATTTTGGGTATTAAACTTGATCGAACAGCCCTATCATTACATACATTTTTCATAACGAGGGCACTCTTGAAGCAAGAGTCCTCTTAGTTGTTGGATTGAGTGGGTAAGTTGTGGTTTCTCTCAATCTAACAGCTGCGAGGACACACTCACGAACCCATATCTTCCCTAGAAGAGGAGAGGTCCGGTACACAATTATAGTGGTGATTGATACCATCAACTGGGACCCATTACATGGTGGTTGACAATCACCACCATTGGTTGGTGCACCAGACCTCCCAGTGCAGGAGAGTATTTTAATTCTTGCCAGCATCCCATGATAGCTTTTCCCTTTTCGATCATCTACCTCTTGCAAGAATTTTTTTGGAAGTTGCATAAGAGAGATGTACCATGATCTACATGGAATTTGGATCATCTCTTTGCACTGGGGAATACTATTCTCGTTGCACAAGAGAGGATGGAGATCATTCCACAAAGAGTCTCCACTCTACCTATGGGGTCTACACCTCCATATGAGGTGATCTTCACCCACTTCCTATGTTCTGGACTGTCCATTGCACTGGAAGGGATTCAAATTCGTCTCTTAGGTTTTAGGGTTCCATCATTAACCAAATCATGTATAGGCTCACACTAGATGTGGTGCCGGAACATAATAATTAACTTCAGGAATATGCAATTATGTGGTATTCATATAATTGAGATCAAGATTACAAACATAATACTTGAAAAGTGAGTTGAGAGTCTTGAGACATAAAAGCAGAGGTTAGCCGCTTACCATGAGAATTGCTTTGATGTGATCTCTAGTCAATTTGGCTGTACCAACTTCAGTTTCATCTCTCTCTATTCTCAGCAGAACATCAATAATGTCTTCCTGATCCTGTTTCATTCCCCCACTCTCAAGGTGATCGTCAATCACCTTTTGGTAGAAATCATCAAACTCGCGGAAGCTCCTCTCAAGCCTCCCATGGAGACCAGTGAGCCCATCAATGATCCATCCTGCAGATGGAAAGAAATTGGATGCATAGCGGCAAGCTAATAAGGCCATCGCTTCAGTAATCATTTCTTGAAATCTATCACTGTCAAATCCACTTCCTCTAAAACTCTTCCCAAAAGATGTCCTACAAGTTATATTTGCAGTGAGGAAAAGCATCTTCTCATTAAGATCAACAGGACTACCAGAAGAAGACAATTGAGCAATCCAACGGACCATCAAAGAAACCTCTTCTTCTCTAATGAACTGAAATGACTGAACCCTCTTTGCACTGAAGAGTTCAAGAACACAAATCTTCCGCATCTGCCTCCAGTATTCACCATATGGTGTAAAAGCTATGTCTAGATAGTTGTATGAGAGTTTTCCTGTGCCAGCTAACGGTGGTCTACTGCAACAATCAACATCATGAATTTTCAGGACCTCTCTTGCAGCCTCGGCAGATGAGACTATAAGAGTGGGTACACCACCAAGTTGCAGAAGCATGACTGGGCCATATTTCTTGGAGAGCTGCCATAGAGATTGGTGAGTCAATATACCAATCTGGTGCAAGTTACCGATTATGGGCAGCTTAGGAGGGCCAGGAGGAAGCTGCTTGTTTCGTCTATTGGCTCTTATCTTTTTAGCGAGTATCACTAGAGGAAGAAAGAGGAGGAGAAGCAGCCATAGAGGTGTGGTGTAGAGAGCCATCGGAGGAGCTTTATGATCTTGTATGTGATGCACAGATGAAGACTAACATATACACCCCAACAGTCCATGTCCAGAACAATCTGTCTAGGTACGTCAACCTCATCCTATTCAATTTGTCTTTTGCTTTGCATAATAACACGAAATTGATGTCATTAAGATTCATATATATCTATGACTCTGACTTGTGAACAAAGACTGAATGACATCCCACTCCAACGCATCCAGATGCTTTGAATTCGGATGCTTATCCACTCTTATAAGAAAAACTCTATTGAAATAATGGCGCTTTATTTTCTGTTTTATGATGCAAGAGCAAACACACCCTAATACAAAATAGTTAACTAATCAATACATTGTTGGGAAAGTGAAAAATTAACATTAACATATGAATGATAGTCAATAGTCTTAATATGTAATAAAATAAGAAGTGAAAAGCATTTCACGCCCCATTAGTTGCCAAAAAGGAATAGAAGAACTCGTCATGTATCAAAGTCAAAGGAGTGTTGTGCAAACTTAGCACAAGTAAAATTGAGTTTTGTTATTGTGTGAGTTACATATGCATATGAGCATATCATCGCCTTGGCCAAGTGGAAGTTAAATTGAGAATTATGTTAAAGTTGTATTTGGGAGTACAAAAGAGCTACTGTATTTGGAATCACAAATTGCAGAGAAACTCGAATATTATTAATGTGTATCGTTTTATACTAGTAAAGGGAATCATAAAAACAGGTGGCTAAACAAATGACTAAACTGGGATAACTATTAAAATTCGGAAAAATTCGAGTATGTTTCGCCCTCCAATGAAAATTTCAAAAACATCAGCAGTCTTTTATAGCTCTGAAAAATGTTTTAAAAAAAAATGAGCTCTTAAAACGATAGAATTTGTCCAATGTCACGAGTAGCCTTTGACTAGTTGGTGAAAACTTATCATTGGGCAGCTTCCGAAAGAGAATGAGTAGCCTTTTGCTAGTTGATGAACACTTACTACTGCTTCCAAAGGATGAGCTTGTCGAAATTTCTCTCGACTTGAAGAATGTCCTCTCTCATCTCTCTCTATTTGACCATCTCAATCTCTATTTACTCTAAAAGAGGCCAGGAAGGAAGAATTTTAGAACCCTTAGTCGGACCAAGTATGTAATGAAAATATTATTCAATTTTTTCATAATATCAAAATAATAATAATTGTAAATGCAGTAAGTGGAAATATTACAATAAATATTTCTAAGTTTATGTATTTATTTTTTTAGTTAATATATTTTTTATTTTAGTAATATGCAATATAACCCTTTCTAGAGCAAATTCCTAACTTCATCATTAGTTGTGTAAGAACCAGGAATAAACCAGCTAGTTAAAAGGTCATTCAATGAAGTTAGTTTTAATGTCTATGCATTCCATTCACCAAAGGAAACATTCACATTCACATCCAAAGCCTAGTTACTACTAAAGTCACATATTGTCACTGAAGCTGTCTTATACACACACACACACACACACACATATACATATATTGCTGCTGCTTTCTTTTGCTGTAAGTCAATAATACTGCTGCCTTGCTCTGTTGGATGCTTTGATATCAAAAGTCACTCAACCTGTCCCTATTATTTTAGATTGTGATTTAAAATAACAGCTGAATCCTTCATTTATGTTGTACAAGTCAATCTCTAGCACATCATAATGAGCCACTTATTACAGTAACTTCCACAAATAGCTGCAATTATTTATCATCCACGTTTATATTTGTAGTGGCAAATGGTAGCAATTGTAGATTTTAAAGAGTATGTTTCTCCTCAGTGAATGTTAATCTTCTGTTGGCCACTTATGGATGATTGGCACAAGCTTAAGAGGGCACTTCCTGTGGATGGTTTGTCCTGGTGATTCCTCCATGTTCATGTCTTCCACATTCATTCCATTGGGCAATTCCCAATTGAAATGATACAAGAGGTTCGCTACTGCAATCTCAAGCATTGAGGTTCCCATTTGCATACCAGGACAACCACGCCGACCAGCGCCAAAGGGCAAGAACTCAAAATGTTGTCCTTTGAAATCAACTGAACTATCGATAAACCTCTCTGGGAAGAATTCTTCTGGCTCATTCCAGATATTGGGATCTCGCCCAATCGCCCAGACATTGACATGGACTAGTGTTTTGGGGTAAATGTCATAACCGTTGAGCTTAAAGTTGTTGGACATGGTTTCTCTTGGAACCAGAAGTGGAGCAGGAGGGTGCAATCTTAATGTTTCTTTCACCACCATCTTAAGGAAGTGAAGCTGATCGAGGTCACTTTCGGAGACATATCCTTTCTTTCCAACACAGTTTCTGACTTCATCCTGTGCTTTATGCATCAATTTGGGGTTCCGAACAAGCTCTGCCATTGCCCATTCCATGGTAATTGCACCGGTGTCTACTCCAGCCAGGAATATATTCTGAGAAATGAAAAGGTATAAAACATTATGAGAAGATAATTTCAGTTACACAGTGATGACCCTAACAAGCAATAGACGAACAATTAGCTAGAGAGGCTACTGTCAGGAGTTCAATTGATATGACTAACAGCTGAAGAATATCAATCTGCTTCATTGCCACTAAATGCTGATACAAGTAATGATGCAGTGTGATGAATCTAAGTTGTAAAAATTATGAGCAAGAAGTCAAGCATAATGTGTGAGAAGTTTATCCACATAAACAGAAAAAAATTTAGAGGTCAGCAGATTACCATGAGAATTGCCTTTATATGATCCTTAGTGAAGTGGAATGCATCAAGTTCAGCTTCATCTCTCTCCATTCTCAGCAGAATATCAATAATGTCTTCTTGATCCTGTTTGACATGCCCAGGATTGAGGTGATCGTCGATCACCTCTTGGTAGAAAGCATCTAATTCGTGGAAAATCCTCTCAAGCCTCCCATGGAGACCAGTGAGCCTGTCGATGATCCATCCCACGGATGGAAAGAAATCAGATGAAAAGTGGCAAGCTAACATCGTCATGGCTTCATAAATCATTTCTTTAAATCTATCACTATCGAATCCACTTCCTCTAAAACTCTTCCCAAAAGCAACCCTACAGGTTATATTTGCAGTAAGGGAAAGCATATTCTCACCAAGATCAACAGCAGTTGTAGAAGAGGATAATTGGGCAATGGAGTTGACCATCAAAGAAACCTCTTCTTCTCTGATGAAGTGAAATGACTGAACCCTCTTTGTGCTAAAGAGTTCAAGAACAGAAACTTTCCGCATTACCCTCCAGTAATCACCATATGGTGCAAAAGCTATGTCTATATAGTTGTATGAAAGTTTTCGAATGCCAGCTAGCTGTGGTCTACTGCAACAGTCAAGATCATGAATTTTCAGGACCTCTCTTGCAGCCTCCGCGGATGAGACTACTAGAGTAGGAATGCTACCGAGTTTCAGAAACATGACCGGGCCATATTTCTTGGAGAGCTGCCATAGGGAGCGGTGAGCCAACGTACCAATCTGGTGCAAGTTACCAATGATGGGAAGCTTAGGAGGGCCGGGAGGAAGCTGCTTGTTCTGTCTCTTCACTATCTTCATTTTCATGAGAAGCATTACTATTAGAGGAAGAAATAGGAGAAGTGAAAGCCAAAGAAGTGTGGTATAGAGAGCCATTGAAGCTTGATCTTGGTATATTGGTATGTAATGCATTATGATTCTTGATATAGACAAGCCCATCCATGTCCATTATTGGCTTTATCAACTATATTATCTTTGTATAGCCCAAACCATCTGTGTCCATAAAAATCTGTCTGTAATGCATATATAAAGATGATTGTTGCTACTAGATCAATTTTAGACAAATATTTTGAATAATTTATTTATTTTGGATTTTAGAGAGATGTCAGGCGTGATGTTGGTTATGGGCATTTACTATTTAGCACGATTTGTGATAACAATTATTAGATTGCCCCTAGATAATGTATGATTGAATATGGTGTGAAGAATCTAGTATTAAAATGATTGTTGTGATCTATCTTAAATAAAATAATAATAATAATAATAATAATAACAATAATAATAATAATAATAATTTGAATGGAAGTGATAGGTCTAGAAATTAAAATCACATCTTGATACTTTAATCTCTTACTTGTCATTTACTTTTTCCTTCAGCAAGTGTTTTTGTTAATGAAAAACTAACAGGACAAGTTTAAATGCATAGCCACCCAAAAGTTGGATTCTTGAATTAAATGCGTAGTCACCCAAAACCAAATGAAATTGATCTATGAATACAACCAAAACAATGTTGGGCTCAGAATTGAAAATAAATTAATAAATAAAATAAAAATTCAGAAACAAGTTTAACAGAAAATTAGAACACAGAAAAGTAATTTACTAAAATATATATTGTTGAGAGAATACTGAATAATATTTTGTGGGTCAAATGACCTTACCAGAGTTTTAGAAGCTCTGACGATCAAATCATAGAAATCCAAAAGACTAATGGGCTTCGCCTTTTGGGTCGAATGATTCTGGGACTGTGATAATTGGTTTTGGGCTTCTGATTAAACCCAAGCCCAGACCAGACCTGCCTTGGTGATTTTTTGAACTTCACCATGAGCATGAAGGAAGAAGTGATTGTCCCAAGTTTCTATAATTACTGATTTAGAAAAAGTGTTGGGAAGTAATGAATGTCATAATTTTTTTTTAGCAAGAAAAGGAACGTTTTTGAAATAGTAGGATTGCTTAAATTTCCAAATTAGTGTTTCATTCTAAAGAAAAGAAAAGAAAGGAAAAATATTTATTTTCCGTGAAATTGGTGTTGTATATTTTAGTTTCAATTAAGCCCTGAAATGTTTTTTTCCTTCTTTTAAATAAGCCCTGAAATGTTCTTCATACTACGGGTTTATTCTTCGTAATCGATTTCTATCCACACGGGTCAAAGATTCCAAACACGTGTATGAAATTCTTATTTTCGAATCTGAATTTGGTGATATGGTAAGAAAATTCTTTCAATTATTAAGACTTTTAACTAGTTTTTGGAATTATTTGGTTCACATCCTAACCAAATACAAGCTTGAAAATTTTTTATATTTTTCTTTCATTTATTTCACTTTCTAACATTCTTAAAAAAATATATGACATAGAAAATTAAAAAAAAATAAAAATTATTTGTATAATCTATATGTACCACCCTAGGGTTTTTTTTTTTATAACAAAGATGTTAAAGGTTGGTGATTAAAGAGAAAGGTAGAGTGCAAGACTCGAACATGAACTCCCGAACACGAAGAACAACCTAACCAGCAGCACGGCATGTAATTGCCACTCTACCTATCCAATTAACTATGTGACTCGAATTGTCTGGGGAATTTTTGTCTAATTGCTATAATGTTAGGAAGAAATTATGCATGACTAGGATATAAATAAAACCAGAATAATGGTTCGTATATGATGAAGGGGCAGATATTAGTAGTATTTTGTGTGTGTGTGTGTGTGTGTGTGTGTGTGGAGACAAATATGTCATATGTCCAACCTAACGATCTAATCCAAGCCAGCACGTCATTGAAAACACACCCACCCTTCCTCATCCACAAGTACTCCTCTTTCTTAAGAGAGCTGGACAAAATAGACAATTTTGGAACCTGAAGTCTAAAATTCAACAACATTTTATGAACGGGGTATATATTGTCGGTATTCGTTATAGAGATCAATCACATAAAGTGATATCAGCGACTAATTTGAACTGTTTTTAGTAGTTTCTCACTCAATACTCTCAAAGAAAATAACAAATGAAAAAATAATAATCAGAATTTTGATTCTAAAATTACCAAATTTTGGTAACATAAAAAACAATAATAATAATAAACTAACTCGTTTTTTCTTAGCAGAGCCTTCATGAAGATCATCATTTTAATGACTTTGAAACAAAGAGCTCAAGAGGAGGATCATTGAAGAAATCTATTTGGTTTTTCCACTGGCGCCTACTTTCCTTGACTCAAAGAGCATACGATATTGTTTTTATATAGATGGAGATTATTTTAAAAAATAATGATATATTTACCGAACTAGACAGCCAAAATAATTATCGAATCTGACTTGGCATACCCACGTAATTCATTTAACTCGCGACAGACTAAAAATTCCTGAAAAGCTAAAATGATTTATCTTCTCTTTCTTCCTCATTGCTAGGGACTCACTCGCTCTCTCGTCGAAATTTACTTTCATTCATCGATTATTCCTTCTCTCTGTCTGATTTCTGGCTCTCTCGCTCTTTGATTTGGCATCTCTGTTTGGAAATCTAAATTTATAAGCCCTAATTTTCTTTGCCCTAATCTGAAGTTTCTCTTCTTTCTTTTTTTTTTATTTTTTTTGTTTTTTATTCTTGTTATTTAAATTGTAAGAATTGGTGCTTAAAATCAAATAATGGATACAAGCAGCTAATTGTCTCCCAAATATCTAGGCAAGAGAGAAGAAAGAATTTTGATGACTGGTTAGCAAATCTTTGAAGGCTTTGCAGATGATACATGTTTCATGGAAACATGTCTTGCCTTGGAACCTATGTTTAATTTAGAATTGGATGAAGGAACTTACAAGCCAAATACCAAGGAAACAAGGGCGGGCAGCTTAGAGGGTGTCATTCATATGGATAAAAGTGTTTGAAAATCGACTTAGAATTTGTTACAGTGTTTTTGTTTGCTTTTTTGTTTCCAATTATGTAAACACATGTCCATGGTATATTTTCATATTACATTGTAATCCTTCTAATGTCAAGTCCATATCTAAATTCAAATTCAATAGATTCGCTTCTAATCAAATAATTGAATTTTGATCTCAGTTGAATGCTACCATATTGTTACTAGTTTTCTTTTGCACAAAAGAAAATATTTTGCCATCATGTAGAAAGAAAAAATAGCCATTCTACATTGTGCTTGCTTATCTTCTTTTGTTTTAGGTCTATAAAAATATGTATGACATTCAACGTGGAAAATCATAGGCTCTAACTTACAGAATATGGAAATAATATGCTGGGCAAACATGTTGCAAGCCAGTAAATTTAGATTCAAATAGAAAACGGGTGCAAGAAATTTATATGCCAGATAGGAGAAAGAAAAGAGTAAAAATGAGAGATGACAAAACCACTAAGTCTAGAGAGCTCGGAGAAAGAAAAGAGTAATAATTAGAGAGGACAAATTCACTAAAGTCTATAGAGCAAGAGAGTCCTAAACGGAAAGGAGAATGGAGAAATCGTTTTAGTCGTATTACATGGCATAACCACGTAGGATTCGGTGAATTTTTCGGTTATTTGGTTCGGTAAATGTACACTACTCTATTTTAAAATATTATTGTACTTCTAATAAAATTAACATACATAAAATTGGTATTCGAAATTTCAAGTGTCGATTTCAATAAAATTATTTGAGGGAAATATTTTATCATATTGTAGGTGAAGGATAGTGTAATTTTTGCAATAAAAGAAAGTTCAAGTAACCATGAAATACTCAACAAAACACGTTTGTGTGATAATCTCACTCAACTTTAGCCCCCTAGGAGCATAATAGTGTTGGCGTGGATCTGAGAAGTAAGTCCTTGAAGTCGGTCTTGCTTTTGAACCACACTTTTAACTTAAATGGTACGTGCTTTGAGACAATACACGTCCTCTCTTAATTTCTTGATGCCAAATCTCGTAAGAATATAACTTTCAACTATTAAAAAATGTGTCTAAGGTTTAAACTCCATTTTGAAGCTCTAAGACTCATTCAATCATGCATTGTCCCTTTGTACCTTACATGACCATCAAAGCATATATTTTTTTATCTACAATAACCTTCTCTGTCTCTTTGACGTTCCGTTAATAAAGTAATGTTACAACAAGTGATAACTCACACGTTACAATAATATTTTGTTATTGACTACAATGATGTTTAAATAATACTGTAATATTCTGTACATATTGATAGAGTAGTAGTGTGTACTGCCAAACACACAAAGGAGAGAGAATTTACAAAAACAAAATATGCATTCACACACCACACGATAAGTGAGCCAAAGTTCCATCCATGCCAATTGGCAATAGCCAATAGGTCTTGAAATTGACCCTCCAAATTCCAAATTCCAAATTCCAAATTCCATTCATTTCTTATATATATATATATATATACGCGTGCGTGTGTGTGTGTAACCCAAGTGTGTGAACAAGTGGAATTGGCCCCACTTGTGTGTGTCTGTACTCTGCTGGTATCACGGGGTCTGGTGAACAAATTTAACTGGTGCACACACACACCCCTTGGCCACAGAGTCCTCTTTTGATTGGGACATTCGTGGGTTGAGCTGTATCAGTCAAATTCCAACCAAAGTCTACTGTTTTTAGGTTGCAAGTTTGAACCCACACAGCAACCTCGTTGACCAACCATTGAGTGGTCCCATTCATCGCCCCCACTCATTATTTCGACTCCAAATGTTTACGTTGCAACTTGCCACTAGCATTTCGAGTGGGAATATGAGGGAAATAAAGTCGAAATTTTGTTAAACAACCAAAACTAAAACCGACTGATGTGATCATCTTTCAATTTAAACACTAGTCTTTTCGTTTCTATAACAAGAAATCTAGAGAGAGTTTGAATATCTCTTGAATTTATTGAAATACTTCTATAAAAATGTATTGAATGGATAACATAATATACATCTCTTTTTAAGAAAATCTTCTTGAACTATTGTCAAGCAAAACATTAAAATTTTGGAGTTTTTGGGTTTCGGCATATGTCTATTGTTTATTGAATTTAATTTTAAGTAACGAATTGTTGAACGTTGCTTCTTGTTTATTAAATATGTATTTTCTTTCTTTACGTGAGAGGAAGAGAAAATTCATAATTGAGATTTCAGTTGTTACTTTCTCTACTTAAGTAAGAGTAAGAGGAAGAAGAATAGAAGATATCTTTGTGAAAATGAGAGTTGAAATTTCAGTTGTTTCTTTCTTTACGTAAAAATAAAAGAAATATAAGATATTTTGTTATTTGATACTTAGACTACCGCGTGAAGTAGATACACTGTCGATATTTATTTGTTGGGATTCTAAATAACATTACTCTTTTCATTATTGGACCGGAACTCCTCACCTCTCTTAACGAAGGAGAGGTTGAACCGTTAGGGAATGACCCGTTGGTGACTTATTTGATTATGACTAAGAAACTAAACTCATTCTTTGCCTCACAAACCACGTTAAGATGCACACATTATTTTACATGACCTCTTGTGAGTTGTGTAAAGCTTTGTGGGATCTATTAAACACTTGTCCTTTGCAATAATCTTTAAATGTATTTGCTAACCGTTATAAAAATTCTTGGTAGTTTTTTACGCTTTAAAGCTTTTGAAATGAAACTACGGAGTAATTTTTTTTTCCTACCTTTATAATTACGGTTGTAACTATTTTTTTTTATAGATAGTTTTATTATTTTTTATAAAAATAATTTTATACCTTATTTTTTATACTCATGTTATTATCAAATATAATTCTACTTTATTAAAGAATATTATTACAAAATTAGTCATAAAAGTGTTCTAAACAATATTGCTATCGTCAAATTAAAAATAATTTAATTGCAACTTTATAGTACAATGTATCATTAAACACCTAATGTTTTTTTACTTACAATAATCTTATGTCAAAAATACATTTTAATGTATTCCAGGTAAATACTAAACATGTCAAATCCCAGTAACATAAAGTGGTAGCAAGAACGAATTTAAAAGTAAAAACGTGAAAATTTCAAAATTAAGTTCCAAATAGCGTAAACATGAGCGAGAGGACAAGAATGAGAGAGCAACATCGGTTTAAAACGATTGTGTGGATTGGGTATTAAGTTCGGATTAGTGTTTTAAAGGTACAAGTGGGCAAATGAGTGTGAGTGTGCTGTGACAGACAGCTCAAGTCAGCCTAGCAACCCCTGTAATATAATAAATGTTATATTAATCGCTTTTATGAATAAATATAAATGACATCACAAGACTTGACACGCATATTTAATGGGCAACAAATGCTGACGTGTCACTTTGACTGATTCTGTTTGGTCTAAAACTGCCAACCCACCCACCCAGCTGTTATAGTCTACTTGACTCATTCCTCAAATCAAAAACTCGGTCCTCTCTCTCTCTCTCTCTCTCTCTCTCTACACGAGCTTTGAATGGTTTGATTCTTCTTGCTCATTCTATACTCTCTAGGGTTTCAAATCTCTGCTACGAACACTCAACGACCAATCTACTCCTTGGGAGAGAGTAAGTCTCTTCAACAATCTCGACTATATTTATTTAATGAACCCATTTTTTCTATGCACTTTTCTCTTTTTCTTTTTGGCTGTTTGTGTTGAATCTATACCCCACGATAGCTCTGTTTATAGTTTTTACTCGGTCGTATTTGTGTTTGATTTCTTCTCCTCTTCTTTCCATCTTTAAACATATAGTCATATACATATACAGAGAGAGATTGAGATACATATGGAGTTTTAGAATTTATAGAGAGAAAGAGTCAAGTTCTTAGGTTAGAAAAAGGCACAAATAGAACAGAAATTTCAATGTCACCTATTTATCTCAAGACCCAAAGTTGATTCTTTCTATGGCCTTTACTAGAAGAAAAATCCTCACACGAGTTTCATTATACTCGTAGAATTTTAGTTAAGGTCTGTGAGATGTTGGGCGAAGATGATAAAAACCGGCCACCGGGCGGTTATCGGAAAACGTATCTACGGTCGGCTTCGTGGACCGAACGTTCACCAACAAACCCCAATCGTAGTAGACCACAGACAAACACTAAAGCTCGGCCATGCTTGCCACCACTCCAGCCCCTCTCAATCTCTCGCCGGAATGCGGAGGAGTGGCCGAAAGCTGGGTCCGATGATCTTGGTGTGTGGCCTCATCCCCCAACTCCTGGGGCAAGAATTGGGTCACTTATTCCCCTTGGGAATTCGGATTCAGAAAAACCTCCTAGAGAATTTGAATTCAAGAAAGACAAGCTTGCTTTCTTTGATAAGGAGTGTTCAAGAATTGCTGATCATATATATCTAGGGAGTGATGCAGTAGCGAAGAATCGTGAAGTCCTCCGCCAGAATGGTATCACCCATGTGCTGAATTGCGTTGGGTTTATATGTCCTGAGTATTTCAAGAGTGATCTTGTGTACAAAACACTTTGGCTGCAGGACACTCCGACGGAGGATATTACAAGCATTCTCTATGATGTGTTTGATTACTTTGAAGATGTTCGAGAACAAGGTGGGCGAGTTCTTGTCCATTGTTGCCAGGGAGTTTCTCGGTCAACCTCTTTGGTCATTGCATATCTCATGTGGAGGGAGGGGCAGAGCTTTGAAGATGCATTCCAAAAGGTTAAGGCGGCAAGAGGAGTGACTAACCCAAATATGGGTTTTGCTTGCCAACTTTTGCAGTGCCAGAAGCGGGTACATGCCGTGCCTGTGAGCCCAAATTCTATGCTAAGGATGTACCGGATGGCACCTCACTCCCCATATGATCCCCTTCATCTTGTACCAAAAATGTTAAACCACCCTGGTGCACAAAGCCTCGACTCTCGCGGAGCATTCATTGTTCACGTTCCTTCAGCCATATATGTCTGGATTGGGAAGAATTGTATTCCAGTGATGTCAGATACTGCAAAGGCAGCAGCGTCTCAGTTTATCCGATATGAAGGAGCTCAAGGTTCTATCCTGCCCATCAAAGAAGGTGAAGAGCCTCATGAATTTCGAAACGCTCTTACAAATTTACAACTTGTAGCTGATAGTTGCAACAAAGCAGACTTTAAAGAGGCAGAAATTTTGTCCGGCAGAAATGGTAAGGCTGCAGTAACTTCTCTAGGTCTTAATCTACGCAAGGTTGATGAATATGATATGGACTTTGAAATTTTTCATAAGGCACTTGCTGGTGGGGTTGTTCCACCTTTTCCATTATCAGGAAGTGAATCAGAGACTTGTCTTCCTGTTAGAGAAAATAGATGGGGCAGATTAAGAAGGATGCTTGCTAGTGGTATTATGAAGGAATTTATCACAGCGTCTAAGTTGAGCTGTGACAATACTCAATCAAGTCACGGGCCAAATATAAATGTAGATGCTGGGAGAGATGTTGATTTCCCTACTTCTCCTACTGTTCCTTTATTGTCTTCAAGCCCCCAGTGTGGCTCACCAGATTCCTTCTCTTGTTTTCCAGTCAGCAGCCCAGATCGGACAAGGGAAACATGTAAAGAAATGGATTGTTCAGTTCCTCTTACTCATCCTTTATTGCCATTAACACCTCCTTGTGGGTCACCAGATTCTCTTCCTTGTTGTGTCTGCAGCCCAAAGTTCAGTTCCTCACCATCTGCCTCAGATTACTCCAGTTCATTCACCTTCTCACCTTCATCTTCTAACTGGTCTGACATATCATATATATCTTATCAGACTTCACCTTCTGGATTGGAATCTTCAGATATGCATCCGGTTAAAAATACTTCCTTGGCAGAAAAGGTTTGTGTACATTGTAAAGGGACTTCCCCTTTACATTCACCGACAGGGGCATTTTCTGCTGAACATGCTTTGAGAGTGGCAAATACTTGTTTTCCGTGTAAAGGAACTTCCCTCTCTATTGCAGAACGCAGAGGGAGTAATCCTCCCCCTCGTATGATGTTACCTTCAGTTGACGAGGCATCTCAAGTTCCACGGACCTTGGAAAGATCGTGTTCATTTTCTCTACCCGACCTGGAGGATGAAATGATGACAGATGGCAAGTGCAACCAGTTTGAGCAAGAAGGCTTTTATGAATTAAATAGAGAAGAGCAAATGCTAGATGCTGACATCTTCAGTGCTGGCAATGGGTTCCAAAGTGGGATTGAGGATACAAAAGTACTAAATTCAGTTGGAGAAGCAACTAACCTGGTTCTTTATCAATGGCCTACTATGGATAAAGTGGAGATGAATTGCTTTGGCATCCTTGATTCTAGATCCGTTTATGTTATATTGATGCCAGATCTGAGTCTGGACACAAACAATTCTAATGTTCTATACATCTGGTTAGGTCGTGATATTTCATCTGACGTAGTGCAGTCTCAATTGATCAGCAGTGATGATAGTCATGTTCATTGGGAGGCAGTTGGCCGTAACCTCCTCAATCAAATTGGTTTACCATCGAATTCCCCTGTACAGGTAATTATTGCATCTTTGTAATAAGTGATTCATTTCTTTTTGTCCTTGTTTTTAAGCATGATCTTATACTTCTAACATGCCAATACAAATTTCAACTTATCTCTTTGTTGAAAGAGATTAAAGTAGTTGCAAGAATGATATACGAAGGATGATAAACCACTCAAGTAATGTGGGTGTTCGGGTTAAGTATCTGTTTCTTAGGGGGGAGAGAGTGAGGTAACAGAGAAAACCAAGTGTAATTCTAAGGTCAATGTGGCCCTCTCAATGTTGTTTCATAAATCTGTTCCAGTTAAAGATGGGTCAAGATATGTCACGTTTGTGTTTTGTTGTATATTCCTTGTTTAAATTGGCTAAGGGTCATCCCAATTTATAACAGGCGTGAAGAACAGCAAGCAAATTTAAACGATGGTTATCATACAACAGCCAGTTTCTGTAGTGACTATAAATTTTCATGATTGTTTAGTTTATCTCTGTTTTTAGAGTTGTTCTCTCCGATACAACTCCTAAAAGCTACAATCTAGCCTCCAAGAGTGATAAAATACCATATTTAGGCTAAGTTATTGAAGCAAAGTTCCTAATAGTTCATCTGATTGTTAAAATGTGTAGTTTTTAAAATAATTTTTTTTTTTTTCAGTTGGTTTTAAATTGATTTAACATAAGATTATCATTTTATGTTAGATCTAGCGAGATTATTGGCGGATCTTATTCCAGATATTTCAAGCTACAATTCTACCAATTGTTTTGGGATTTTCTTTATAGTATATACTTATAGTACATACTCATAAATTTTATGAGTGTAACATAAATCTAGAACTTACAAATGTTGTTTGAAACAATTTGGTTGAATAACTTTTTTTTTTTTCCTTAATTAATTTGGTTGAATAACTTCTATATATTTTCATGTTTAAGTGCATACGTATGTGGTCATTAAAATGGTAAAGTGTGAAAATTATTAAGCTTATTGCTGACAACTACTTGAATTCAATACATTGGCTGTGCTCCATAGTAAATCATCTTTAAAGATTCAACCCAACTCCCTACCCTGGGAAAAGAAAAACTGATAATCATTAAAGAAAAATCTAGATTTATGGGATTCTTAAAATAAAACATGCATAATTGGCACATTCTAGTAAGTTGAGTGAGGCTGAAAAATTTTCACGGCTCTAGTGGCTTTTATTTTTACATAAAACTCCGTTACGTTCCGTGTTCATTACACCACGATAATTATCGTTATCGGCACTAGTGAAATGAAACAAGTTGAGCAAGACATGTCAAAGTGTGCTTTGGAGTTTGTGTGGCATCTCTCTCTCTCTCTCTCTCTCTCTCTCTTTCTCTAGGTCAAGATGTGAACCACAAATGAATATACCTCAATGTATCCTTGCTTTGAAACTTAAAGCCACAAACACCTTGGATTCTAAAGCGATTGTGATGCAACCTTAAGGTCACTCCACGGTGACGCACCAAGCTGGAGGAGCTTGTTGGCCCTGTTATGCATGCATGATGAAGCTGTTTTGGAAGGGGTAGGGTGAGTTAGTAGAGGCTCCTTCTAAAGAGAACTAACTGCGAGGTTGAAGATTGCGCAGCTGAACCATGTGATGCGAAAATAGGATAATCAGTGTTTGCCCCATTCCAACCATGAGATGGACCACCAGCAACTAGAGAATGCAGTGTAACACAATCCAAAAACACCAACCGCATGATCGAAGATGATGCAGTTTAGGAGATCACTCACCTATCTCTGTAATAGAGACTTTTTTCTGTCTCTCATCCCTAACCTTGCATCACATGATCCGGAGACCTCTGTAGCACTTTTTCCAGAGAAAGACGGGATACTATGTGGCTCTTACATGGGATGTGGTAGAGTGGTTAGAAAGAATGCTACTATCAAGCATGTTAAGATAGTGAAGAATTCTTGCATTGTTTTGAAGCATTGAGCTTCGTTGTAGCAAATAAGCGCATGCTAGAGATATAACTGTCTAGAAGTCAAGAACATAGCTATCTCCTGGCAAATGAGCTTTGTATGGTGTAAGAAATAGGCCACCATAGAGTGGAAGACCCTAAATGACGTTAGTGAAATATATAAATATTTCTATATAATCATGGAGCTAAATCCTCCACCAATCACGGTGCCTCCTTTGACTATTGTACACCTTTTATATATTTGTATCTTTACTATGCCTATATATAGGCCTTTTGTACTCAAGTAATATATAGATCTAAATAATAGAAATGTAGCCCTCAGTGGCTCTTTGTCCATGGATGTAGGCTTTAGTGCCAAACCATGATATGCATGTGTTCTCCGTATTTCTCTCTTCCCTTTTCCTATATGCATTTATTATTTTCGCATTCAAAATTTTAACATGATATCAGAACCAAGTTGTTCGTGTAATCCCATCTAGAATTTGAGGGGGAGTATTAGAATTATTATCATGGAGCATATTCTTTATGTCTTTACATTCCTTTCTCGGCGTTGTTCCAGCCATTTCCCGACGTTGTTCCGGCTTTACCCAGCTTAGTTCCGACCATTTCCCAGCGTTGTTCCGGCCATTTCCCGGATTTGTTTAGGCCATTTCCCGACGTCGTTCCGGTTTATTTTCCTCGGCGAGTTCCAGTCATTTTCCCCGGCAAGATCTGGTCAATTTCTTGGCTTTGTTCCGGACACCTTCTCATCATCTTTCGAGGCGTTTCTTTGACAAGTTGAGCATTCATGATATTCATGCTCCAACTTGAGGGGGAGTGTTGAAATATATAAATATTTCTATATTATCGTGGAGCAAAATCCTCCACCAATCATAGTGATCCGGTCAATTTCCTTCCAACTATAAATATTTCTATATAATGGTGGAGCAAAATCCTCCACCAATCACGGTGTCTCATTTGATTATTGTACCTTCTATATATTCGTATCTTTATTATTGCCAATGTATAGGCTCTTTGTATTCAAGCAATATACAGATCTGAATAATAGAAATGTAGTCCTTAGTGGCTCTCTGTCCATGGATGTAGGTCTTAGTGTCGAACCATGTATATGTCTGTGTTTTTCATATTTCTCTCTTCCCTTTTCCTATATGCATTTATTATTTCCGCATTCAAAATTTTAATAGTAACAATGGTGAATCCCGAGTATGTTGAGGTTGTAGCTTTCCACCTTTAGGTGAATTCCGTTTCGAATGAGGAAATGCATTTCCCCAACACTATTAATGTATTTTTTATATTATTAAACATCTAGCAAATCTAGTTAAAGTATATAGACTGGTTACAGTAATAAGATGACATAGGCATCTTGCCTCACAGTGAGGTCATGTAGTAAGACATGTAGTTATGTTAGCATGTTTGAGCAGAAGGGGTGATGTTACCATTGTCGATAGGCTCAGTGAAGTGATAGGGTCGTATACGTGGAGAAAAGCACCAAAGCAAAACGAAGCATATGGAGATTCAAATGTGCAAGGTCAAGGAGAGTTGATGAGGTGCCATAAAACGGTTTAGCACCTCACAGTGACTGAATGATATATTTAAAAATGCAGCTGATCCTCTAATAAATAGTACTAAATAAGTTTAATTCTAGTAAAGCATAACATTTTGAGGAACCAACTTGGTTCCATGGTGAATTACATAACAATTAATAATGATCTTAAAATTCCATAATATATGACTTCTATTAGCAGAATAGAAAAGGTACACAAAAATACATATATCTAAAACTACTCAAATTACTGTAAAGACAAGCTGTAGATCCTTTATCTCCAGCCAATATTAAGATATTCAGTTATATCCTGGCCATCCGAAACCATTTGTCACAACACATTGCTGTTGATGCCAACATTTAAGACCATGCTGACAAGGGGGTGGGATAGGTTTTAATTTAAGGTTTAGTCAAATATATATATATAAAAAAAAAAATAAAAAATAAAAAAATCATCTATAGTTTTCCTTTGCAGCGGTGGCATTGTTAGTGGTCAAGAGTCTGGTTCCAGTTGTACATCTTGTCAACTGCTTTGGGTTCCACTTTATGGTTTGGTCCATAAAACAGGGTACCATAATTCACTTATCAAAAAAAAAAAATTAGGGTACCATAATTCATACCTTCACGTATTTAGTTTAGAGGTGTTGGTCTTGATTTATTTGCGTGGGAAAAATAATAATAATAATAATGTAAACTTATGAAAACATTTAAGCTCTCTTTCTCTCTTGCAAATAATTGATTTCTTTTGAGAAGTACAACTTCTCATTTTTTTTAAAAAAATTTCCTTGATTATTCATTCTTCTTCGGTTTTTTTCTCTTGTATTGTCATTAAAAATTTATCAGCATTTCATCTATGGTTGTCAGTTGGTCTGTTTCATTTGATGGGCTGAATTTTTTATGCCGTTTTTTTTTTTTTTGTAATGCACAGATAGTCAGAGAAGGTGAGGAGCCAGAGCTGCTCCTCGAGCAGCTCAACTATTTCTCATTTCAGAAGGCATAAAACATTAGTCACAAATGAGGGAAAGATGTGGCAAAACCCTCTTAACAACTTGGGCCTGTGATCTCTCCGTCCTTGAGGGTTATCGAAGAGGATATGTTGCAGTTTTTTCTAAGGTAAGTTATAGCATCCCAGGCAGTGTGAAGTGCCTCTTTTCTGCTTGTGTGATGTATGGACAGGATTTGAGTCATCGTTGTGGCAAAGCATGTATAGTAAACCAGCCTGGTGTATACGCGTAGGATCAGAAAGTAAATAATTCTGTTCGTAATAAGTGATCTGCAATTAATTTTATTCTAGCATTGTTGTTTATCTAGCCTCTGGCTACACCCAACACCAAAGGTGTTGCTGTTTGAGACAAATCATAATTTTACAAATCCTTTTAGGTGGTGGACTAGCACCGGCATCTCCGACTGAATATTTTTGATAGGATGGTATCAGGTATACATGAAAACTCAGCATGATGTTAAATTGATTACAATAATAGTAAGAGAGGTTTCTTCTTTTATTTATGTGCGCGCGCGTGTTTATTATATCTGACCTGAAGAGTAGGGTTTGTTTATAGCGTCCAGAATCAACTAGGAAGAATGATGAAAGTATTATCTTAGAAATTGTTTTGTAAATGCCCAAGTTCTGTTGTTCAAACAACTCGATAGAATACAATAATGCATGCTCGAAATTGTATAAACAAAATCAGGATGCCATTTTTCATGCAAACACTCATCAACGATGTGCCTACATAATTTCAAGATTGTATTATACGAGGCAAAAATTATTAGTATGAACATACTTCTTATTTTAGTTCTATTTTCCACTAAAATGGTACTTTATACTCGACCTATTTAAATTTCCGGAAGAATGTTCAACTTAACTGACTCTAGAGAGTAATTTCCAAGACTTAAAATTCTCAAGCTCAGACTAAAAGTTGCACTGCTGGAAAATATTGACTGGTCAGGACTTGTAAAGATGTTGAATTTTGGCACCTGTGAAATGCCCAATGACATCAAGGATCAAAGGGTCATTGTGGTATCTATTATTTGAGGAAGGAGGGAGATATGATCAACCTAACCTTTGTTTATTATATATAACATGTTATGATGGAAAACTACTAAAAAAGTATTTGCTTATAGTATGATCTAGCCGGGTAAACCCCCACTGACAAATTGGCAAAGACAAATCAGTGATGATCGCATAGTTGCTAGTTTTTTTTTTTGGTACTTCTTAACAAGAATTAGCTTTCACAATCACAGTTCTATGATCAAAATTAACATGAGGATTCCAAAATTATATAGAGGAATATATTGTGAGTATATCTAATACGGGACGGACTAAAAGCAGAATCGCATTATGAAATCACGTTACCATTATTCTAAAGTAAATAAACATGACATAGAAAGCCGAGAATTTGGAAGAAAAAATAATGCGTTAACGATATGTATTAATCTGATGTTACCATTTGCTTGAAAATAGATGTGGAATATGAAGAAGTCTATTGGAATAAAAAAACAAATAACGTGTGTATTTATATGAGATGATACCATTTGTTTGAAAATAGATGGAATATGAATAAGTTATATGAAATTCTACATGCTTTCACAATCAATAACTAAAGTTAAGAAGGTAAGTAGTGAAATAATTGATGCCTAGCGTGACGATGGCGTACAATTATATTTTACTATAATTTGTGGAAAAAGATAAATGCGTTGTGGAAATTAAAGGCAACTCTGACTTTTCTCCCAAAAAAATTATACCATAATGTTGTGGTCCAATTGTGGTGCCAATGGTCCACATAATGGGTTAAAAAAGGTGCCGAGTTTTCCCCATATTTAAAGGACCCAAAATGCTACGAAGGAAGCACTCTTGCGATGAGTACCTCTTAAGTCTTTTAATCCAACGGTTGCAATGGAGTCATGGAATTCGGATCATCTTTTATGTCCTGATTTCAATTTAACAATTGTAATGGGTCATGAAACTCGGATCATCTCGTGTTAAATTATTATTATTATTATTATTTTATGGTATTACACTTTTGTCATGGGGCAGTTGCACTAGAGATACAGAATAAAATGGATCTGGATTCCTAAGTGTGACAGTGCTAGTATGGTCAGTTTGGTTGGATGGGTTTGAAGGGAAAGGGAAGGGAAGGGGATGGAGGGTAATAAAAAAATTGTGTTTGGGTAAAGTTAGTGGAGGGAAAGGGAAGGAGAGGGAGGGGTTTGGAGGGTTATTTATAAGCAACGTACAGTAATTTTTTAACCTTCCAAAATTGAGAGGATAAGGAAGGAAAGGGAAGGCAATGGCAGGCAATGGCATACAAAATATTTGTTAAGCCAATTTTACCCTCAAATTTGCTCTTCATATTAGGGCCTGTATTATTGGCCTGCATACACCAACTCTCGGGATTTCTCAATTGCCCAAGAGAGCCGGCTCCAGCAATTACTTGAGGCGGCTCCAAAAAAAATGTGGAGCCGGCTCTACAAAAAGGAAGAGCCGGCTCCACTCGGCACCTCTCAAAAACCCATAAGAGCCGGCTCCATGATCATGGTTGAGCCGGCTCCCTTCAAGTGTCCTATTCCCATTATATCTCAGCACTTCCTAATTTGGGGTCATTATTTGCAAGAAATTGGTGGATCTGTATGTTCGATCCACTTCATGCCTTGGGTTGTTAAGTTTTTTTTTTTTTTTTAAATAAAGTCAGAAAGAACCTAACTTACTGTTTTATGTTGTTGATCATCATTGATTACATTTGTGATCAAACTCCTCTCACCCAAAAAAGTAAGAAGCCAAATTTAAAGATTAAATTAATGATCATTTTTTTACTTTTCTCTGTTGTTACTTGCTTGAAGGAAGATTTAGTAATTAGGTTTTCTATGCGATCTGTTGATTGTTTCAGTACTTACCAATATGATTATTTCATTGACTTTATTATTGTTTTATTGATTTTATCATCTTTTTTGTTGAAGGAAATCAAACTTTTAATAGGAAATTCATTTGTGCTCTTGAGTATGAATGTTATTTCAACTTCATTTTAGGAATAAAAGTGAGTTACATTTTATTTATTTATTTTTTATTTTTGGGTAAATTGCATTTCTTTTTCTTTGTTTTACTTCTGCCACCTAACATGACATAAAATTGGTTCCCAGAACAATTTTTCTTAAAAGGAGCCGCCTCCCATTTTGGGAGCCTGCTCTACTCATATTGGAGCCTCCTCTACTTAAAGTAGAGCCTGCTCCATTCATATTGGAGCCTCCTCCACTTTTACTTGAGCCGGCTCCTTTTATAAGATTTAGCTTGCTTTGTGTCCTACAACACAAAGTAAGCAATTAAAGAAGATCTACACTAGTTTTGTTGAAGACTTTTACATTCTCCTCAATATAGTTTAAGCAACCATCATTGGGTACAAATGCAGCGATCTTCTTCCCATTCTTAATCAGCTGCACACGAGCAGATTTTCTCATGGCAGAGTTGGGCTGCTTAGCCTCAATACCACTGCATAAATTAGTTAAGTGCTGTTGAGTTTTGAAATATTGATTTGGAAAGAGAAGATGAATGTGGCATTTGCTACCAAACTGAGCCTTAGAACCGAATCTTGGGGCAAAAATATTGTTGCATATTTAAATCTAAAAATTTATCTGTTAAAATATATAAAGGGCATAATAGTAAATTTTTTATTATCCTTCCCTTTCCTTTCTTTTCCCAAACATGATTGTTATCCTTCCCTTTCTTTTCCTTCATTAATCAACCAAACACGATTGAGGATTAAACTTATCCTTCCCTTCCCTTTCCTTCCCTTTCCCTTATAACTAATGTTATCCTCCCCCTTCAAACCCATCCTACCAAACATAGCCTAAGACTCTCAAAGAAATTATACTAAACTGTTGGAATGTGTGCCCCTTTTGTGTCTCTTTCAATTTCTTAGATGAGCTATAAAACTTTCAAATCTCGCCCGGAAAAATACATACGGTATATAATTTAAACTTTCAAATGTGATAATATATTTCACAAATAGTATAACCTCTTTATTAAAGAGGAGGTGAGCGGTTCAAACTACACAAGTAAGTAATCAAATTAACAAAAATAGATTAATTTATTATCATAATTTTTTTTTAAGATAAGACGTACATCTCATCCTTACACGACATTCGGCTATTTTGGTTGAATGGCATTGGTTTTTTTATTGACATTAGCCAACCAAATAGTTGAAAAGATGCAGAGTACTACTTTTTAAGAGTGGTGTGTATAATCAAGAAACTTATTCAGCTTTAGCAACTGTCATAATTTAAACCACAAGCCATTCAGCCTTTCATCATCACTACTAATTTCATTCGTCCTATGCTTTTCTTCAATCACAAGAGAAGAATTCACAAGAATCAGGTGATTTACTTAATTTCCTATTAAGTTAAATTATTTCCTTAATAATTTGGATTCATAAGAAATTACACAAATGCTCATTGTGAAATATTTATAAAAAAACAAATAGAGTTCTATAAGGCGTGGGCCCGATTGAGTATTGTAATTTGTCTTTGATGATGTTAAGGCCCTTGTTGGAACTTGGAAGAATTTCGGCTTCTCATTGGGCTGCCCATCTAATAGTGGGCTAAAAGGAACGATTTGTATTCCTGTAATGTAATTCGCATCTTAAATTTGAAATTAATAAAAAGAAAAAAGTTAGTACAAAATTTTGAGCTAAAGACACCTATTGAGTACTCTTAAACATAACATCAGAGTATTCATCAATAAATTATTGTCAGTGAACTAAAAAGAAGCCCGAGCATTCATTCAAAGACTTGATAAATTTAATATTTTAAATTAACTAATGGTACGAGGAGAGTTTGCTTATAAATTTATGAGTTAGTAATGCTATTAAGAGAGCTTACTTAGTTATTAAATAAATCATTTAATATATACTTTTTATAAAATTTAGTGATTAAATATTAAAGAGGTTAACTCTTGCGACGCGGAATTACTCTCTTTTATTTTTATCATTTTAACAAAATAGTGACATGGCTTTGTGAGAGCTGTTGGATTCATATTCATGTCTGTCCTTTACTACATCTTTTCTTCAACGTGTATTTGGGACCTTTGGACAGTGATTCTGTGTTTTATAATGGGTAATGGGTTTTGGCAGGTTGTTTCTTGGCATCTTCTTTGGTCTCGGGATAATAAACGGCTGTGCCAATTGAGACACTCCTACGCTATTTAAGCAGATCTCCACTTTAATAGCTCCAACTTACTAACTAATTTCCCCGCTCTTTTTTTCTGGTTTTTTTTTTCCCAAACAGGACTACACTCAACTCCACTTCACTTTCCTCCCTTTTTCTCTTCCCACTTTCCTTCGTTTTCTTTCTATCCAAACATGCACTCTGCAACCTTCAAAACACCTTCTTTTCCTTCTCCTTCTTCTCCGTCTTACTTTCCAAGAATATCTTGCCCTAACCCTAGATGGATTCAATTCAACCCTAAAAATAAAAGCGAGAGAGAATTATTCTTTAAATCTCTCAAATGTATTCACTCTGACTCGAAATTTCACTCTTTATCATCTCATCATCCGTTAAAATCACAAACTCGAAAGCCTAACCAGTCGGCGTCATGCTTGGCGGTCACTGTGTCGTCTCCGGCGGGACTCTCTGGTGTAGCTGACAGGCTTCACAGTTTGATCTCGGAATTTAAGTCTCTGTCCGAGCCAATCGATCGCGTGAAACGGTTGTTACATTACGCGAGTACTCTCCCTCCGTTTGACGAGTCGGCGCGTGTGCAATCGAACCGAGTCATGGGCTGCACGGCTCAGGTGTGGTTGGAGGCGAACATGGATTTGAATGGGGCGATGAGGTTCAGAGCCGATAGCGATTCAGAAATCACCAAGGGGTTCTGTTCCTGTTTGATTTGGGTACTGGATGGGGCGGCGCCGGAGGAGGTGTTGGCGGTGAAGACGGACGATATGGTGGAGATGAATGTGGGATTGGCCGGTAGGGCTCATTCGAGGGTCAATACTTGGCATAATGTGCTGATTAGTATGCAGAATAGAACGAAGGCTATGGTTGGTGAGAGAGAAGACAAACTTTCGCCGGAACATTTCCCTCCTTTGGTTGTCACCGTAGATGATATCGCCGCCAAGGGAAGTTACCCCGAAACCCAGGTCTGTCCCAAATCTCTCCCTCTATATATATATATATATATATCTGTTTATTGTTCTGTTGCTTTTGATTATATAAACACATGCATATACTATAATATTGAAATTTTGTTTGTGGGTGTTATAAATTTTAATGAAAGGAATCTTGGTTTTTTTTAATGTATGGCTGTTGCATGATGACTTGGATATTGATTCTCTGTAAGACTGTAACATGAATTATTGGTGGTATGCAGCCCATAAAAGCATATTTTTTTAGGAATTTGGCAGAATTCAAGCGAAAGTTATAATTTTAGTGTGAGGAGGGTGTGGGAGGAGAGGAGGATATGGAAGAATTGCTTCTAGTGGACAATGAAGTTGAGTATCCAATTTGCTTAGTGATAAGACCAGTTTACCAACTATTGACTATGTTATTTGAAATCATTGTTAAGTGATTTTTTTACAAAAGAATGTCCCACTTGCTTCTTTAGATAAGTTAATGTTTTAAAGGGGTCCATGTCAAGAGAATATCCTTGTAATGAAGCTGGAATTTTTTTTTTTTTTCCTCCTTTTTATGTAAATCCATTTCCAAAGGTAGCTGGATACTGTTATCTGGACAAGAATATCCTTTTGTATTGCACAAAAGACTTAACAGTCTCGAATGTTATTCCATACTACTTCATGAAAGGGCTTGGAATTGGTTGAAGAGGTTTATGCCTGGCTGCGATTGCTAACAACTAGAATCACCAACCAGATATCCCCCTTTTGGTTCTAGGCAATATTTTCCTAAAGGGCATTCGAAATTGGATCTAGCTGCTATTGGAAGTCAATATGTCCCATTTTTTTTTTTTTTTTATTATTTTTTTTTTTTACAATTCACTTTAAATAGATCCTAGTATATATGCCTGTGAACAAATAGATCAATGGTCATATGCATGGATGGATGTAGAAGAGAAAAACAAACTGTTAACCCCCATGAATTGCTAGATGAAATAAACTTGATTGCTCATTTGGTGAGAAACACATGTAATACTACCAAAAATATTTGTCACCCAACTAATTTACAGTGTATTATATTTTGGGCCACCCTTTAACAGTTTTTTTCAGGACAAATGGTTATATATCAGAGCTTTAGTTCTTGAGGTCTTGGGTTAAAGTATCTTCATTTGCACCCTTCTCTTATTTTGTTCGAATGTTTGAAATCCCTCACATCTGTTTTCTTCTCCCCTTGCGATGGTCACACATGAGAGAGAATGTGAGATATTGATTGAACTATTGGGCCCATTTGCTATTTCCTTGATATTTAAGGGAAAGCAGTTGTCTAGCATGAAGATTGAAGAAATATGATAAACCAACGAGGTGTGAACCAAATCTTTTGCACTAATTAACAATATGGCACAAGCCACCATTTAATTTTTAACTATTAATATTATGGTCCATTTGGTAATAAGGAAGTGCGGGAGGGGAGAATGAGGGGTGAAGGAAAAGAAAGATGGATAGACTTTTAATGGTTTGGAAAGACAGAAGGGAAGTGAATGAAAGAGAGGAGGTGGGTCTTTGTCTATGGCTCCCCCATATCCTTTCCTCTCAAAAGTTTTGAGTATGGAGTGGGTGGGTTTCCCATTCCTTTTTACATACATGTCCCTCAAGAAAAAAACCTTGTGCAAAAGTTAGAACAGTAAAATCACGGATTAACTTTCCTTCTTTCCTCCATACTTAACCAAACAAAGAGAGGAAAAGATCCAATCTTTTTTTTTTCAAGGGATACCTTTTCATCCATCCTACCTTTCCTTCCTTAAGTTTCCATCTTTCATGTGAGATAATGCATTAGTCAGGTTATAAAATCTGCATCTGCATTGAATGTAAACGAACTTGTAATTCATTAATAGTTTTGAGCAAAGTTATCTTGTAAACTGGTTTGGAGCCACAGAGAAAATTATGCTAGGCTGCGTTTGGATTAATGTGAACTGGACGGATTTTGATTTGATCCTTCATAGGTTATAGCTTAGATTTTGATTTCAATGTGATCCATGGATGATTTTGAGAGCCTTATTTCAATAGGTCTGAAATCAAAAGGTCGACATAGTTATTTGAATCCATTCCATGAAAGATCCTAGTTGGATATATCTTTGCTACCTTGACTCAAACTTCTCCCTCATCTCTCCTGATCCTACTACAATAGCCTTTCTTAAATACTAGTGGATGTGAACCACATTCCTTCCTGTAATATCTATCAGTCCAAACACAACCTAAATGTCCTGTGTCTTCTGATTCTTATGCATTTACCAGCAAATCATGTAAATTGTTTTGTTACAATAGAATACAACATTTCTGTAACATGTTCGGAAATTGATGGAAGTGAGAGAGTCCTTATAAAGTTTGTTGCTTTTCATGCTTGAGGAAAGTTTTGGTCATTCTAATCTGTTGCTATGAATTTTCTTGGTATATCGGAATTCTAAGATGCATCTTTTGATTGCAGGCAAGATTTGTCTTCTGACAAGTTGAGATTAAAGAACTTGTCAGTGTAAAGATGAGGATGTGTACGTGTGTGGATTCCAAATGTATGGAGAAATTTCTTCTTATGGACAATAAAGTTGAGTGCCCAACTTCTTGCCGACAATGGAACTGGTTTACCAACAATCGTTGTGAAGTCATTGTCAAAATAATCTTAAAAGAGAAAAAAGCAGATCGCACCTGCTTCTTCAGAGGGTTAAAGATCTCAGAAGGGTCAATCTCAGAGTTTCCATTAGAAGATTCCTCTACATACCTAACCTTTTGCTTAATTTTCTTTTAATCCATTTCTTTGTGTACAAGCTTGAAACTTTTATTCTGAACATGATTATTCTCGAGTATTGTAAGGATGAGTTAATAGCCTTTCTGTTGTGGTTATCCTGTCTGGAGTCGGATAGTATCAAAGGAGCCCTGGCTCATAGATGATCTTGGTTTACATCCAGCCTCATGACAGGACTTAAATTGACCAGTAGACATTGGAATTCAAATTCCTTGTTAATTCCTTCCACATGCATGCATGTTATTGTGTTAATAAAATTATAATAATGGATACATCTATAGATGGATATAGAATAAAATGCTAAAAATTCATGAATTGGTGCATGAGATAGATTTGGCCACTCATCTCATGAGATTCAATTGTAATATGGTCCAGTACTCAAAGTATTGGTCATGAAATGAATTTATAAAACACTGATGAACTAGGAGTGAATCCAAATTTGTACATAGATGAATTGGTTGTATGGCACGGGTGGTGATCTGATTTCTAAAGGTCTCATTTTTATGGGGATAGTTTCTAGAATCACTAGAAATATGCTGTTACAAGTGTGCAGTCCACTTAGAAGGTCTGCCTCTGGGTGCATGTAAAACTCATACTTTTCTAGTAATTCCGAGGATTGATAAATGTGTAACTACTTGAGAAGCACACAAAAGATTAGAAATTTGTAATTCTAAATGATTTGCAGAAAAAGGACCCTCATCTCTTGGTAAGATAATACTAAAAGTTGGAGGAAAGTTAGGTATATTGATCATGCTAATTGCTCATATATCATTCTTGAGTTTCCACCAATTAACGTATTATAGTTAAACACCTGCGTTTGGATGCAGCGGTAAGTGGGTTCAAGTTTGAGGACAGTTTTTTTGTGCAAAAAGGCCACAGGTTAGATCTGTACCCGGTCTATCTCTCCCAGCACCCTTGTTTAATGGAAGCCATGCTTGCTAATGGCATTTTAATTAAACAGTTGTGCTCATCTTTTTCTTCTATTTTTCATTATTATAAATATGTTCTTTTTTCTTTTTTAATTTGTTCAACAAATGCTTCTTTTTGTTTTGTATTCTTCAAACATCTGTGTACACCTTCTAATATGTTACCATTTGCATTCCTCATTGCTTAAGAATTTGCCAGCAGAAGCACTTGTCTAGTTCCATTGTAATAGAAAACATTCATACAACACATCATCACTATGGAAGTGAGGAGTTTGCATACAGCTTCAGGTTCTGATTCTTGAGGAAAGTTAAGCTGCATCATTTAATTAGAGGCAAATCTTTTTGCATTTTGATACGATGAAGGTTAGAGAATCTGTCCACATACTGAGAAAGAATTTGGCATTGTTGCCCATTTTATGTGAATTGAAAATTCCAGTGTCTTAGCTGACATGAAGTTGTGGCCTTACGTTCATATATCTGATTCATTGGTTATAGCAGATCCAGCAGTCAAAATGGCGAAAGGTTTTTGACAATTTATCTGTCCTAGGTGCTGATTTAATGTCAGAAAATGTGCATTAAATCCTTATCAGGCTGGCTTTTGCAAGGTATTCTTATCTCACTTATTTATTTATTTATTTATTTTTATTTTTTATCTTGGTTGACATATATGACCAGTAGATGCAGACACACATTCTTTGTTGATCTTTCCATAAAAAAATAAATAAATTCTATTAAATGAGATTTCTGTGTGCGTTCTAATGAAACATATTTCATTCTTCATTTGTTATCACCAGTCTCTTCTTTTGGTGCTACATTTATATAAATACTAATTCTGCAGGTCAATTTTCTTTTTCTGTTTCCCTATTTTCCTTAGCATATTGATGGTGGCAGCTTGGTAATGTCAAATGAACACATTGGTTGTTCTTTTCTGATGCTGCTTCCCCTGCATATAAGAATTTCTTTGGGCAACTTCAACCTTACATCCTTCCTTGCATGTAACATATGAACACTTTGTTAAAGGCAAAAATGCGTGGTCAGGAACTCATGCCAGAAATTACATCGGCTAATGTAGTGAAAACCATATATATCTAAAAATCATTACTCCTTGTCAACATCCTCAGTTTAACACGTCTATTTTGATATTTATTGTTTTGATCATACACTAACTGGTACCTGCTGTTGGTCTCTTCTTGTCAATTGCTTATGCAAGTTGAGTATATCTTGTGAGGAATTTTCTCTGGTTTCAACTCCGAATGTATGCTATGAGCCTAATTCCTATATGGGTGCAAACACTGCGGAGCTGTTGCAGCAAATGTTAATATGTGACAACCTTATCAGAAAAGAAAGAAAATAGTTATATGTGACAAAAGAAGTGATTTCCAAGATATATCCAGAGCACAGTAGACACCCCATCAGATCATTGTTAGTTTGCTACATCCCATGCTCTATAACAATGCGAAGTCTTATTTACGAGCACAATAAGTAAATTTATAATTTGCACAACAGCTTGAAAATTGTGGTGGAATCTGATTGTTTTGGGTACTTGTTTAATGCATTAGAAGAGGATATAGATAATTATCTGTTTTTTGTTTATTAATGTTTATGACATTCAAAATATTTGTGTTACGATGTTTCTCCTGAGATCTCCATCCAGCCTGCTTGCTTTTGTCCCTCCTTTATATGATTGGTGTGGAATCAATAGTTGCATTTATTACTGTTGTTTACTGTAGTCCTTATTGGTTACAGAGTGCCAGGCAGAGCAAGGTAATTTGGAATTCATATTTAGTTGCAAACTCAAGCAGTAAGATGGATGAATTGGTTAATCGTACCTTTTATAGCTGGTTCTCCATTTAAGACTTGTAAAGCAGTCAAATGTTTGGGAACTGAATCGGGGATGGTGACTTCCATTATTGAAGCTGTTCGCTGATTATTTTTATGTCAAGACCTTTTCACAAAGAGCAAAAGTCAGCATTGAGATCTCTTTCCAGTCTCTTAAGACTCATTGTGAAGAACATCGATGAATTTGTTCAAGGGGATTCGATTGATTACATTCAAGCGCGATTTTACAAAACTCATTTTTATTCCCGGGGTATCAAGTTTTGAATGGAATTCATGGTGGCTGGGCTTCTTGTCTTCGACTTGATGCTAACGACGACTGCAGTGGTCTATGTACCATTTAATGGTTAGTCAAGACGTTCAAGGTAAGCAATTTCCATTTTCCACACCACGGCATACTCATTTTTAGTCAACACGAATTAGGTAATGAGAATATTATATTGGCCAAGTCGGGTTCAATATTTCTCTTCTGGTCCTCCGGAGCTAATCTTGGTGAAACTAGTTTCTGTAGTCATATTGTTGATATGTTCTAAATTGATTGGCCAATTATTCTTGATCTCATCTTACATTGACATTGTGTTCTCAAGACCAAATAAAAGGAAAAATCTTAGGTTGTGTTCATTTAGGAAAAAATAAAATCTAAGGTTGTGTTCACGTATTCTTTTGGGGGCTGTGCATGTGCTTCTCAATATCATTTCCAATGTTTATGTTCCTGCTTCCTGAACTGGCAATAACAGAGTACCGAGTATGTTTTTTACGGGGATTGCAAGAAAATTCTTCCAATCCCATGACAAATCTCACTGCAGAACATGCGGTCATGCCGTGACAATGCCCATTTTTGAGTTTACAATGCTGGTACTACTGTATGGGATGATTAAATAAACAATGGCATCAGCCAAAATTTTGGAATGATTGCTTTTGTGGTTTGGTTTGTATGGCTTTATTGTTCATGCTCGTCTTTGCTTCTTACAAGAAAAATGCAAAATTTTGAAGTCTTTTTCTTGTTTTCCACCCTCTTGTGAGGGTCGTGTTTCCTTCAACCATAGGAGGTTTTGGAATCTTTTGATACTGCACAAATTGAACACAAGACTACTATACACTGTTTGGTTTAAACCTATTGAGTAGTATAACTTATTTCCTTTAATAATTAGCATAAAGTCAAAAATTATTTTATTTGAATGTAATAACATAGGGGAGGGAGATTTTCATGTAACAACTAATAACCACAAGAAGGAAAACTCCCTCCCACCCACCTTATTATATTGGGAATAAAGTGGAAAGTCAGTTCATGGTTGTGGAAACATGGACACCATAAACATACAACATGTTGTCTGTTTATTGCAGTCTCAATATGCGCACGCACGCACGCGCACACACACACACACACACACACACTTTGTATATTTAAGGTCCGACAAGCTTATTGATTCCCTTTGATGGGATGATGCATCTTGTTTAGGAAGTGAACCCTACAATAGATTATAGAAACATTAGCTCCAAGCAATTTAGGTAGCCAAGGTCAACCATGAGGGACCCACTTTTACTTCTCGTGGGAGGAAACGAAAAGGGAAACAGATAATGAGTCAAAATGACAGCTGTGGAAAGCAGTAGAAAAGAAGGAACATGTTACAGAGGTTTCCATTTACTTTTTATTGGTTATGTTTTCTTTCTATTTTGTGTATTTTATTCATTGATTCACCCTACCCAACATGTCCACATCCCTTACTAAACATGGCTAATGTGGCAATAGATTTTTTTCATAGGGGAATAGATATTGAAAGATAATTAATATGTAATTAATTATTTTTTTGTTTACTTAAAATATTAAAATTGTATGTACAAAATAAAAAAAATAAAAATCCATTGAGTTTTGCAAGTTAAATTTAAAGCACTAATTAAAAACCTTGTAAATTATAGTCAAAACTGCACCAAATTTCGAAATTAGTTCCTGTTTGTGCATATTGAATTTGTTGCTTGATATCACACGCAGAAAAGAGCTACAAGAGAATCAATTCTACACCACACGAAAATCAGGTGGTTTCACATAATTCTCCTTTTTTCTTCTTAAGCATATTTATTTGAAATTGTTTGTTTATAAAAGATTTGTATTAACCTCCCTTGATTTGTAGTTTTTTTGCTTTAAATCCTTCTTTATTTATTTATTTATATTTTTTTCAAAAACTCATCGATGAGTTAATTTTATTAAAATACTTCCACCAAGTCAAGTAGGGTTTAATTAAAAGGTTTAATTAAAAATCTCTTGACTTGGTAGGGGTATTTTTTACAATAAGTCAAAAAGTAAATTTTTTTGCATATAAATGGATTTATGGGACCATATTTATTATATGGTTTAGTCAAAGTCATATAATTTCAAAAAAATAAAGTTGACCCAAATACTAATGTAGACATGAAATTCTACTGATCCTTTTAATTTGTTGTCCAGAATATTTGTTTGAATCAAAATACTTTATTGCCCCAAAATACTTTATATATATATATATATATATATATATATATATATATATATATATATATATATATATTTGTGAAAATTTATTGCAAATTATAAAGTTTAAAAAATTAAATGTATATTATATATATAATGTATAGGTGTCTTTAGTTTAATGTTTTAATTATATTTAATGAAAAATGATAATTATAATAAATTTTAATTGGGAATATATATATTTTTAATTATATAAAGAACTAAGGTTTTCATTCTATTCCATGTGATATACTTTCCATTAATTTGACAATTGTGACAGCAAATATTTTTTTATCTCTATTTGACCAATTAAAGAAATACATATATTAGAATTTTCTAACTTAGTGACATTAAATCTTAGGAAATGTATAATTGTCAACTCATAGAGATATATAATCCACTATTACGGAAAGAACAATACTTTGGTTCTCACAAGTAAGAAGATTTTTTTTTTTTTGAAATGTGAGAAAATCCTTAAAAGTAAGTTAACTGTGCACGTAACTCCCCTACATTATGAGTTTATTAGCTTACACACTACTTTGGGCATTTTTGGAAGAGTAAATTAAAGGGCCAAATGGACATTATAGCATTACTTTATGTTTGAGGGATGTTTCCTCACAATGTTAAAAGAAGGGTAAATTGCACTTACTTTCGCCAAGGTTGGACAAATCTGACATGGGTAGATTACTCTGACTTCCTTAAGATTATAAAAAGTCAATTATACTCTTATTTATAATATATTTTAAAAAATCAATTATTTTATCTCTTTTCATTTATTACTCTCTCTCTCCTCTCTACCACCGTCACCCTCTCCAAAAAAAAAAAAATTGTAAATTAAAAAAATAAAAAATGAGTGTAAGGGTAAACTTGGTCATTTTATAATTTTTTTAAACAAGTTTTGATGGAGAAGGAGATTGTTGAACATACTGTAACGATCCAAAAAGATACCAAAATAATAATAATAATAATAATAATATAAAAAATTTCGGCACAACTTGTTGAAATACATAAGAATGTAATGGCCTCACTTGGTCTTCAAACTAATCTATCATGTCCCAACACACAATGCAAATAATATAATACATTTTCAAAATAAACTACATACATATAAAAAGGTCACGTTCCTCCATCACATCCAAACAAGGAATCACCAGTTCACTACCTAATCCCATAATTCTTTACAAGGAACGCACTTTAATTACATTAAGTTACAGTCCATGAAATATAGTTAAAATTTAAAAGTTCATAACTTACAACATTAAACTAATTAAACGAAAGTTTCACAAGATAGTTAAGATTACATTTACAAAATATTAAAATTCTAATACAAAAGATAGCAAAATAAGTAGATCTCCAATCCCGTCTAAACTTGTGGTGGATCGTCGTCCGCCACTTCTTTTCCGTGACCTGAAAATGTTAATATAAAGGGATGAACAAATTGCTCAGTAGGTGGTGCCTAAAACACACCTCTTGTGACCCCGTGAATCAAAATAATGAATAGAAATAAGGATAACGGGATCATGCTATGCCGGGGAAAAGACAATACTATTTCAAGGTCACAAACAAACAATGTCGTGCCAAGGAATGCAATGACATGCTATGTCGCTCCCCATTTTCAAAATCCATTCCATTCATCACTTTTCAAACCGTTAAAATAACCCGTCCTATGGCAACTCTTTGGCAGCATGAGAAAATGATTGGCTACTGTTCCTAATTCATGGCAATTCCATGGCGTTATTTGGAGTTCAGATAACTTAATCACGCTAGGGTGGTCTCCCTAGTTCCCTCTAGGTCACATTAACGCCGTGGACTCTAGGCAATTCCTAGGCGACCGGATTTTCGCAAATCCTTTTATCAAAATTTTTTCCCAAAAATTCCTTTTTATTTCCAAAACAATTTCCCCATTTTCTTGCCCAATGCCGTGCATGAATGTACCATGCTAATAAAATGACCTTTTGGATTGAAAGATTTATTAGAAACTTAATTTAATTTTATAAATTTTGTAAAAACTATCTCAATATAGTAATCAATAAATCTAAAACTTACCGTTCTTGTTATTTTTTTATTTTATATAGTAATTTTTATTTTCATTTATACATTTATAAGAAAATTTCTATATAATGCCCCCCTAAAATTTTTAATATCTAAAATTACCTTCTAAAATTTTCTTTTCTTTTCTTTTCTTTTTCTTTTTCTTTTTCTTTTACTCTCAATATTACTTTGATTTCCTTAAAAAAAAAAAAAAGGGTTAAATTTTCATTCTTTACTTAGGCTCCATTTGTTTGGATATAAAATATTTTTTAGAAAAAATATATTTTTATTTTTTGATGTTTGGTTGTAATAAAATATTTACGAAAGAAAAATATATTAAAATTTTATAAAAATAATTTATCCATCAATTTTTGGTAAGTTATTTTATACGTCCCGCCTGAAGGACTAACTTAGACATTTGCCAAATATTGAAAAAAAAAATTAAAAATATTTTTCCTAAAAAGTAAAAATATTTTTTGAAAAAAATATTTTACGTCAAAACAAACGGAACCTTAAACTCTAATTTTTTTTCCTTTCAAATTTCTCATTTTTCTTCCCTTTTTATTTATTCTTCTTTTTTTTTTGGCCCCCTACTTCTTAACATTCTTCTATTTGCACTTAAGAATGATGTATATAATATGTAAATTTTATTTTTGTCCTTTTCATTTAAATTATAATCCTTTTCATTTAAATTATAATTTTTTTTACACTACGCCCCCTAAATTAAAATCCTAACTCCCCCCTGCTTAATAACATTAATTATTACTTCAATACATGTTGGCACCTGTATAAATCTAGTTGCATTAGATGCATCCAACGACTACATCCATGCATCCAACGACTACATCTATGGTATAAGTTGTTGCATGCATCATTAAGGTCTATAATGCAGTGATGTTTCTTATTTTGAAGTCGAATTATATCGTGCCATTCTATGAAGTACGGATACCGACACGGAACACGGGTACGATACGACACGAATACGGTGACACGACAAATTTTAAAAAAATAGGACACGAATACGGCGGGGATACGCCTATAAAATTTTATATATATATATATATATATATATAATTATATATTCAAAATATAATTACTAGAACATGTATATATAAATACAAAATTGCAAATAAAACAATAACAAATAATATGATCAATTTTAATAGTTTCATTTCTGTTATAAGAAAAATATAAACAAGACAAAACAGAAAATAAATGAAAAATAAAGTTGATCCAAATTCCAAACGAAGATGTGCAGAAGAGACATAGCTATAACGAGCTAAATATGTATATGAATAAACATATATACTTTCGGTCTTTCACCAAGTCTTGTTCATGTAACTTAAAAAAAAAAAAAAAAAAGTCTTGTTCATGTAGAGAGATAATTGAAGAAGAGGAGAGACTGAGAGAGGAAGTGAGAGAAAATAAATTTTCTGTGTAATACTTTATCGTCTGTAGTTGTTTTTTTTTTTTTTTCAAAATTTTACTTTTAAACTTTTAAAATTAGTAAATTACATTAGGTATCCCATTTATCTTTAAAAAAAATTACAAAATATACCCCGCCGTGTCCTATCTTTAAAAAAAATTACAAAATATACCCTGCCGTGTCCTATCTTTAAAAAAAATTACAAAATATACCTCGCCGTGTCCTATCTTTAAAAAAAATTACAAAATATATCCCGCCATGTCCCCCGCGTGTCCGAGCTGTGTCCACCCCGTGTCCTCCGCGTGTCCGAGTCGTGTCCAATAAAAAATAATTTCTGGACATTTCACTGAAGTGTCGGACATGTGTCCGAGCCTTTGATACGAGTATCAGTAACCGAAATATAGATCCTGAAAGGAGTGTCCGTGCTTCATAGGTGCCATTCTATCATATTTGTCGTTGGCATCTTATACAACAACTTGCTTATTAAGTTACTATTATCATAATAGAAAAGAAAAAATAAAATAAATATAATGGTTGTTGTAGAATTGAAATTGGGCACGTGTCAGGCAATCTCCTCAACCGCGCGTAACATCTTTGTCCCCACGCACACTCTCTATCTACCCCAAACTCAAAAGATACGCATAACTGCGTGTGATTAAACACACAACCGCATAACCTCCGAAAACACCCACAACGGTAACCCTTCACTCTCTCCGCATGTTCTCGGAGCTCCGGCTCCCTTAACGGAGCCCTAACTCTTCACAATACATAAGCATAGTCATTTCGCATATCACATACATACATACAATATCGTATACACACACAATATATATTATATATATCTACATCTACAAATCTATAACGGTTTCATTTTCTCAGATCTTAGGCTACAACGATGTCGAAACCTTGGGCAAGAACCGGCGCTTGGGCCGACGAAGCTGAGGCGGAGGAGCGCGAGCAAGCGGAAGCCGCCGCCGCCGGTGGCGGTAGCGATTCTCAGAGCTTTCCGAGCCTGAAAGAGGCCGCGACCAAGCAGAAGAAGAAAAAGATGAGCTTGCAGGAGTTCACGATGCAGGCTTCTGTAGGCCCTGTTGGTGGTGGGTACAAGGGTTTGACGCCGGACGAGATGCTCAGGCTTCCGACCGGTCCGAAGGAGCGTTCTGCTGAGGAAATGCAGTATGGGCGGCTCGGTGGAGGGTTCTCCAATTACGGCCGGTCCGGTGGGCTACAGGGGGGTCGCAGGGACTCGGAAGGAGATAGTTCTTGGGGCAGTAATAGGAGATCTTATGGTGGATTTGATGACGATCGTAGAGGTCCGCCTTCTAGGGCTTCAGATTTTGATCAACCGTCGAGAGCTGATGAGGTCGATAACTGGGCAGTGGGGAAGAAATCTCTACCATCCTTCGATTCCGGTCGTTCTAATCGGTATAGTTCGCTTGGTGGCGGTGTTGGGGGAGGGGGTATGTCTAGGTCTGATGAGATCAACAATTGGGCAGCTGACAAAAAGCCATTGCCATCGAGATCTTCAACTTTTGATTCGAGTTTCCGCAATTCAGGACCGGAACCTGATCGATGGACTAGGGGAGGATTGCCAGAAGGAGATCGGGAACGCCCCCGATTGGTATTGAATCCACCACGGGCTGAGGGAGCTGTAGTTGAGCATGTGAAGACGAATAAGCCAAGCCCATTTGGGGCTGCGCGGCCTAGGGAAGAAATTCTGGCTGAAAAGGGTTTGGATTGGAAGAAAATGGACTCGGAGATTGAGGTGAAGAAAAGCAGCAGCAGGCCAACCAGCTCGCACTCTAGCAGGCCTTCAAGTGCACAGTCAAGCAGATCGGAAGGCCCAGCATTGCAGGGTGTGGAACAGACGGTGAAACCAAGGCCAAAGGTGAATCCTTTCGGGGATGCTAAGCCCAGGGAAGTTTTGCTTCAAGAAAAAGGTTTGGATTGGAGGAAGATTGATTTGGAAATGGAGCGTCACCGTGTTGACAGGTTGGTATATCCACATTTATCTAATTGTATCCCTTTCTTTGATCACTTGTCCACCCCCAAAGAATTACATTGAATGTATTTAGAATGTTTGATCTTAACGTGGTAATTTGTATTGCTGTAAGCATGCCAGCTCTTGGAAAATGCTTTAGTGCTTAACTTAGTTTTGTATTCAGCATTTTTAGCACTAAATATATTTTGAAGGACGAACAGGGGTAAATGAGGCCATGTTCTTATCATATCAATTAATGAGTTACTCCTTTTCTCCACCATCAAAAACAGTAACCTATGAATCTTTATTTCCATATCTTTGCTATAGCTGTCATGTTAGTAATATTGTAATTTCACAAGGGAAGTTAGGAAAAGTTCTGCAAGAATTGGTTTTCTACACATAGGTTTCTGATAAATCTAACTTGCATCAACAAGAGGAAAAACTAACCCATTTGTAATCATAATCATGGATTTCAAAGATAGCTACCAATCATTAGTTGGATCCTTATCTCTTTTGATGCAAGCTAAGTATCTTTCCTATTTACTTATCAAAAAAAAAAAAAAAAAAGTAATCTTTCCTATTAAGAACCAATTTAGAATATTCTTGTCACCACTTCGCTTATCACTTTCCTTAAAATAGATACTTTCCTTTCAATGGATATTGAATATTTGTTCATGTTACTCCATCGGATTGTCTAATCATGGATTTCATAGGTAGCTACCAATCATTAGTTGGATCCTTACTTCTTTTGATGCAAGCTAAGTATCTCTTCCTATTAAGAACCAATTTAGAATATTCTTGTCACCACTTCGCTTATCACTTTCCTTAAAATAGATACTTTCCTTTCAATGGATATTGAATATTTGTTCACGTGACTCCAACGGATTGTCTCTCCTTGGAATGGTTATGTTCTTTTCTATATTGTTGTTCTCTTGATCCAACTTTGGAAATATATGTTTCTGCAACTGTTGGAGTACAATGGATACCATTTTAATGTTAGAGCTTCTTGAGATTGTCTGCATATATTTAATGTGATGCTATGAAATTCGCTACGACAAATGGTGGTCGATGATGATTGTGAGGGTCTTGGTCATGATCACCTTTACCATGATTCGTTACTTGTTTTGATGCCCTTATGTCTTCCGAAGAATGGTGGAGTTGCTGTGAGGGTTGATTAACACAACTAACAATGTATTTGGATAAATTGGAGGGAAAGGAAAGAAGATGATAATATTATTTATAACAAATGAGATTTTTTTTTTTTTTTTTTTCATAAGTAAATTTATAACCAATGAGATAAAATAAAGGAAAGGTGTGAATCGTGTTAACCTCCCCTCTTGTTTGCGTAAGGAGGTTAAAGAACGCAATTGGAAAAAGATAATGGAGGGGAACAAAAGAAAAGAAAAAGATTGGTTAATAGTACGAGTGTTAGGGAAATATCAGTATTTTAATTGTTCTAAAAATAGGGGCAAAATGTTTAATCACCAACCTTCCTATCACTTTCTTCCAAATCCTTGAAGTAGGAGGTTAGTCAAGACAATATTGAAGGGGACCTCCTAATCCTGTTCTTTTCCTCATTTTAAAACAAGCATAAGATAAGCTCCCTTTCATTGTCCTTGCCTCTTATTTCCTTCCGCCTCCCTCAATCCAAATGCATTGCAAGTTTTCTACAAGTTATTAAAGGAGGAAAGTAGGATTTTTGCTGCAACCCATATTTCCCCAGAGCCTTGAAAGGATCTCCAAGAATTGGTTTGCAATGAAAACCTTTCAACTCATATAATTCTTGCATCAACAAAGAGGACAGACTCACCCATCTCAATTTTTAATTAGGTCTTTCCTCCTTTTGATGCAATAACTACAAGTATATTTAACACTAGAATCAATTCAGAACTTTTCAACACTTCCCTTATCGCTTTCCTACAATGCATATTTTCCTTTCAATAGATTTGGAATACAGTTCATATAGCTGTCAGCTGGATTGCTTCTTGTAAATGCACGATTACTTTACCATGATTTCTACTTATTTTACTGGTCTACCTTTGTCTTAGCGGCTTTGGGTCTTATGTCGAAGGGTTTGAGACTGGTAGAGAGAGAAGAAAGTAAAAAAAATCTACTTGTTTTAAAGTCATCATGTCTTCCAAAGTATGGCAAGTTTTGTACAATTTAAGAAGGAAAATTTGGAATATAGTGACATACAGGGAGTTTTTTGGTGCAGTGACATATATGGGAGCCTCATTTTTCCTAATATCACCTCCCCTTTTGAACACTTTCTAATACAATTTTACTTATCAAATTCCCCCATCACCCATTGTAATAAAACTCAATATTGAGCTCCTCTGGGGAGGAGAAATAAGATTGTTCGGAAAGGTAAACTAGATTTGCTTATCCATTATTTGGCTGTTTTCTTTTCTTATACCATTTTGACACATCTTTCCTGATGTAAAATGACATCATGTAAAAGAGACGCAGTTGATGTTGTAAAAAAGATGTGTATTTTTTTTTTTTTTTCATAATTGAAAAAAAAAAAAAAAAAATAGATGTGTATTTGCTACAACCGATAAAATCATAAGTGCTTTCTTCACCACTGAAGCCATAAAAGATGAATCAAACTTTAGAAAGGAAAAAGAGGGAAAGTAAAGGACTATTGCCTTATAGAGTAGTCTAAACTCTTGAAGAACAAAAGAATGTGATTGTTAGTGTTTCTGTCTTACCTATGAAACTGTATAGGTAGATATATGGAGTTAGATGGTTAAAAACTCTTCTGAATCATTACACACTCTTGTACAAATTTTAGGAATTTGAATTTCTGCAGGGTGCTTCTTTTTTCCCTCTTGCATACAATACATAGAGAGGGGTTGTGGGCCTCATTTCAGACAGATGTGTAAAAGAAATAATGAAGAGGAAAAGTGGGAGCAAATTGCGAAGTGTTGTACCAGTTACAGTAAGAATATATGGTAGGCCTGACCAAAAAGGGGGTATTTTTGTTTATTGAATGAATTGCAAAATGCTTGAGCTCATCACTACATTCATATGCAATATTGATACGTACCTTTGATTTCATTTCAACTAGTCACTGAACCCAGTGTGATCCTGCCTGTGTTATCTTCATTGAGCAAATCCCTAGAAATGCCGTTATTGAAATTATTGGTAATTTTTCCCCTTCACCAAGAACCTTTTCCCAAGATTGTATAACAAATTTTATTTAGGTTTTTTTTATCCTTGGTAGCTCATTTAAATGGCTGAATGTTAGATGCTTTGGTAAGTTTTGTGTTTTTTGCATGCTTGTTTGTGTGCAAAATATGACTTATCTTTATTTGCAGATCTTTTATGAATTAGCTGTATGTCATCTATGTTTTGTTGATACTGATCAAGTAAACTAGATGGTGGATGTCTTTCTTGATATCTAAAGGGGAAAAAATGTTTCAGGCCTGAGACAGATGCAGAGAAGAATTTGAAAGAAGAACTAAACCTTCTAAAGAAGGAACTTGAGAAGGAATCTGCTTTAAATGATAAAAGTGAATCTGCCAGTTTATATGATTTAATACTTAGTAAAGAAAAGGAGTTGGAACTTCTGGCTCGTGAGTTGGATGAGAAAGTCCGGTTTGGGCAGAAAGTCACTGAAAGGCCTGGTTCTGGAGCAGGCAGAGTTGCTGGCTTTCCACCATCCTCTCAGTCTGGGACATTTGAAGAGTCCAGGAGTATGGAGTTCATGGAGAGGCCTCGTTCGGGAGGTGCTGGAGATATGTGGTCACGGCAGGGCGATAACAGAAGATCATTCCAAGGCGGCAGGGAAAGAGGATTTCTGGGCAACAGGGACATGGACCGGTAAGAAATGCAACCGGTTGCACTCTTTTATATCTATGCTTTTTTTCCTTAATGTTTTATTATGAAATTTGTTTTGTTACAACCACAACCCTAATTTATAACTCATTTTAGTTCTGAAACACTGATTTTGAGGCAATGCATATCTTATGTTGATTGCCAATTCTCAATATCTCATGCAAAAAGTTCAAACATGACCGCATGAAAGATTTGGATGACATAGAGCTGATTGAGAAATTGCTTAGAACTCTGTTTGTATTGTTTTCTTTTTGTTTTTTCTATCACAAGTGAGTTTCATCAAAACTGCTCATTCAAATGATTTCTTAAGGCTATGTTTGGTGCGGTGGGAAAGAAGAGAAAGGATAACATTAGTTATGAGGGAAAGGGAAGTGAATGATAATTTTAACCCCTATCGTGTTTGGTTGATTAATGAAGGAAAAGAAAGGAAAGGATAATAATCATGTTTGGGAAAAGAAAGGAAAGGAAACTATTTTAATAAATTTACTATTATACCCTTTTATATTTTAAAAGATAATTTATAAATTTAACTATGTAATTTATAGGCCCATGGATGATGGGCCACCAGAAAAAAAAATATTTTTAGGGTAAATCATTTCAGCCTCCCCAATCGCCTCCATCTCTATTCTCGTTCTCACTGAAATTTCCCCCTCTGCAACTGCAAACTACAAAATCTACAAGAATCAGAAGTTCAAAACCCATATATTTCAGTTTATCCATCTGTCTGCAAGAATCAAAAGTTCAAATCCCATATCGGCATATCATTTCAGATTGTTCAAAAAATCAAAACCCATATCTTTTAGTTTCCATCGCCCGCTGTTCCAGTTCGGGTTTGCCGTTCGCAAGCTTCAGCCGCTGTCTCTCAACTCTCAAACTTGCCCCCCTCTCTCTCTGCAACTGCTAACTTGTATGTATGGGTTTTGTTTTTCGAAATCAACTAATCAAGGTCTGTAATTCTTGTTTTGCAAACTAAAATCAAGTATAATCTTGATTTTGTGTAAGGGTAAATTTGGCATTAGAAATAATACATGAAGCCTCTCCTTCTCTTTCCTTCCATTTCCTCCCATTTTTGGGAGGATAAGAAAGTTACTGTTTTTGCCTTTTGATAACCTTCCAAAACCTTTCCTTTCCTTTCCTTTCCTTCCAACCATTTAGGCCAAACACAATTTTTTAATCACCCTCCATCACGTTTCCTTTCCTTTCCTCCCTTTTCCATTGCACCAAACTGACCCTAAATTTACACTTGTTCAAGCCTGAGCTTGCTTTTAAATAACTTGCCAAAACCTATAGTTTTCTGCAGCATTACTGACTGCTGACACAAGTGTAGGGATGGTTGTTTATGATTTTTTTTGGCTGAATCTAGATCTGAATAGTTAAGGAAACAGACACCTTTCTGTAGGTAACTCAAAAAAAAAAAAGTATTAATATTTTAAGAGTGTGGCTACATAGTTTATCACTACTTATATGTATTTACCAAAAGGGGCCATTGCTTGGTGCACATGAAAAGCAGTGCCATCAAAGGTGAAATTGTGTTCGAGTTAGAGGGAAACTACGTGCAAATTATGGCCTGTAAAATGACAAAATTGAAGAGGTTTTAAATTGACCTGCTTTTTGGACCAAGTCAATTGGAGTTCTCTACATCTCTGAAGATGGGCCTGAAAAATTATGATTAGAGCTGGATACAATTCAAATTTGTTAGGACTCAGTGAAGTGTTGGTGGTTTGGGTGTCAACAGCTTGATTGATTTTTAGTTTTCTTAATTGCATTCGAGTCCTGATGAGATTGTATCACATGATAAAAAGCAAATTACCCCAATTACAGCAGCTTGAGGAGCAGCAGCTGGTGATGCCTCTTTTGGCTGCTTGTGGTTCCTCTGTTGATCAGTGACTATATGGTGGTGACGATCTCTTTATAACTGTGGCGATTTGACTGTTATTATTATTATTATTTTTCTCTCTGGGGGTTGATTTTTTTCATTTATTTGGGGCTTGGGAGGGTTTTCTTCTTTGTCCCAATCCAAACTGATATTATTGGGGTTTGGAGATTTCAATTGAAGGGTGATGGAAACGATAAAGATAAAATAAGAGGGGAGAGAAAGGATGTAGAGAGAAATTAATACAAATGCAGAGAAAGAAACTCAAGACAATAAGCTATTTTTAGAAATATAAAGTAGTATAGAGAGAGTAGGGTTTTAGAGTTTTAATTTCAAAAGAAATTGCTGTTTTGAATGGCACATGTACGACCCAGAAAGATACCAAAATAATAATAATAATAAAATATATAAAATTTCGGCATGACCTCTGCAGAAAAAGTCCCTCTATAATCTGTTGAAATACATAAAAATGCAATGGTCTTACTTGGCCTTAAAACTAATCTATCCTGTCCCAACGCACAATGTATATAATATACCACATTCCCAAAATGATTACATACATATAAAAAGTCCTGTTCCTCCATCTTATCCAAACAAGAAATCACTAGTTCACTACCTAGTCCCATAATCCTTTACAAGGAACGTACTTTAATTACATCAAGTTACAGTCCATGAAATATAGCTAAAATTTAAATGTCCATAACTTATAGCATTATACTAATTAAACTAAAGTTTCACAAAATAGTTAAGATTACATTTACAAAATATTAAAGTTCTAATACAAAAGATAGCAAAAAAAATAGATCTCCAATCCTGTCTAAACTTGTGGTGGATCGTTGCCCGCCACCTCTTTCCCGTGTCCTGAAAGTAATGGGGTGAGCCAATCGCTCAATAGGAAGTGTCTAAGACACACCTCTTATGACCTTGTGAATCTACGCAAAGAATGGGTAATATTAGGCGGGATCATGCCATAGGGAATGCACATCAATAACCACATCAACAAGTATATAAATAAATGTCATCCAAGTATATAAATAAATGACACCATATATGCTAATGAAGTGCAATGTCATGCCAATGTCGCTCCTCATTTTCCAAAACAATTCATTTTCACCGTACCAAACCGTTAATGCAATTCGACCCATAGCACCTCTATGGCGCCACGAGGGAAGGATTGGCTAGCTATCCCCAACCACATGGCACCTCAATGGCGTTGTCTAGGCCTAGGTAGCTCAACCACACTAGAGTCTCTCTCTAGTCCCCTCTAGATCACATCAACACCACGGACCACTAGGCGCCTCCTAGGCGTCCGGTTTTCGCAATCACTTTTAGAAAACACTTTTCCTAAAACAATTTCATTTGTCTTAAAACACTTTTCCCCTTTTCTTTTCCAATGGATGCATGAATGCTTCATGCTACTAATCATCAATTCAACCATAGAATTTCACACATGCTTTTCAAAAATAAATTTCAAAATTTCATAACTCATGCTTTCATTGAACATTGATCTAGCATAGTAAGCATATAAAACAAGAATTTACTTTCATATAGGCATGTTTAATCACTACCAAACAACTAACAAGTAGTCACACATTCCATACTTAACATTTAAACAATTTTGCAAGAATTTACACAAATTAAACATGCTAGGCATCAATTTAGGCAAGAATATTCACAAAAGCATGAGAAGTTATGCATTAGAAAACCCTTACCTCTTAATTGTAGAAAAGCCTCAAAATCCCCAAATCCAAGCCCTAATTTCGAAATCCCAAGGCTTGGCTAAATGGTGCTTGGCTCCTATCAGATTGACGGCCTCGACGAGCTCTCCAACTTTGCTTCAAAGGGTAATAACAAATTCCCAAAGAGTTGTGCTTAATCAAGCCTTGAAAGCTTGATTGAAAAGAAGAAAGAAAAAAGAAATGAAGAGGGAGAGAGACTGCCGGGGAGAGAGAAAAGAAATGAGGCCATGTAATGGCCTATTGGCCATTAAAAGAAAGTGAGTGGGGAGTGGGTCCCACCACTAAAAAAAATGTCCAACCCTTTAAAATTTTTTCACCAACATTAAATTTTAACCAAATGTACTGTAATATTTATGATATATTTATATATATATAACATTAAATTTTAACCAAATATACTGTAATGTTTATGATTTGTATATATGTATATATATACAAATCATAAACATTACAGTACATTTGGTTAAAATTTAATGTTGGCCAATCGACATGTATCTGGTGACCTTCATTTGATTAGGTGATCGATGGAAGTGTCTGTAAGGCTATATATTTAAGAAAATTTCAAAAACATGTAGTTTCCTAAAACTCTTTTAAAGCATTAGAAAATCAAATAGGATTTTTCCAAATCAAAAGCATGAAACAATAAAACCCTAATGGATGAGTGCATGAACTCTACTTTGGTGAGTGCGTATAGTAATGTCCTTGGCTTTTAAGATTACAATTTTGCCCTTGGTTGTAGATTTACTTCCATTTTCTCCCTTGGACAAGAGGTAACTAACTACCTTTTCAAAAATCTAACTACAACAACCAAGCCTTTTCCCAATTATGTGGGGTCAGCTACATGAATCCCGTGTTTTCATTCCGTTCTACTTTAGGCCATAGCCTCAGTTAATCCACATGCTATCATATCTTTCTTTACCATTTCTACTCACATTAACTTTGGTCTTTCTCTTCCCTGGTATTACGCTCAATGTGGACTGTCACTTTTCCTAACCTGTGCACTTAAAGTTCTTCTTTGTACATATCTAGACCATCTTAACATGTTTTCTCTCATTTTAATATTTTATCACCAATTGGTGCTACTCCAACCATCTGCCGAATGTGATTATTTCTAATTCTATCTTTTTTAGTCTTTCCGCATATCATTCTCAACATTCGCATTTCCGCCAAAGTAGGATTCATGTTCATATTGGTCATAACAAAGTTTTACGCCGGCTGTCAACTTATCTGACGCAACCCTCCTCGGCTTGGGACCGGTTGTGGAATGGACAAAGGCGGAGTTCTTACAAAAATCCAACTAAATTTAAAGTACAAATTCTAGTTTTATGCAATGCCAACATAAGTCCTATTAACCTAACAAAAACTCTTTTCTTTGATTTTTGTAAGAGAATAAAAAGAAGGCACACGGTAAAGAAAGAAGAGTGTTTGGTTATGGCTTCCTTAAGATGGTTCTTGTACTACATTGTTCTTTCTAAAAGTTTTTTGTTTGAGGTTTTAGCTTGTTAATGACATACACACTTCGGAGATTTGAACATGTAGTTTGTGTGAAATATCTGGATTTTTCTCTATATAGTTTGTGTGTGAGATGTTGGATTATTCTCTACATATAATTGAAGAATTTAAAGAATATCTGCAGCACTGTTCAAAATTTCACAACCGTAGTTGAGGCTTGTGTGGCTAATGATCACTAATGAAGAAGCAGATCGTGAGGGTGTTGATACAGAGCGCAGTGTATTGGTGATTGACTTGTTGAGAATGCATTATGTTGGACAGAAAGCATCAGGTCATAATTCTTAAGTAGTAGAGTTCTGTAATTAACTGATGAGGTTCTAGTGTCTCCTCTTGTTAATGGATTGTTTAGTTTTGCGCTAGGTCTGTTATTCTGTCAGATTTTCCATGTAAAAATTTCTCTCTCCATTTGCTTGTGTTTATTTATTGAAGTTTATGGTTGATTGCTTGACTGATTTGGTTGATTCAATAAATAGCAAATTTGAGAAGTTAAAATTGTGTGTTGTGCAAAGAAGACCTATATACCACCTCCTATCCTCTGAAGTCTATTTCATGCCTAAAAATTCACATGTGGATTTGTTTGCGCAACTTTCAACAGTTTATGATAATAATGCTACATATTCTTATATTCTTCATTGACATAAAGATGTTACCAAAATTCAAATATTTTCAAGTGCTATTAATGTCTGTGATCTTGTTTGCAGGCCAAGGTCAAGGGAGAGATGGTGAACTTCAGTTGGTGTTTGTTTCATTGAGTTCTCTCTTCTACTTTCGGCAGTTAGAACAAAATAATATTTTGTCAAGTCACTTTTATTTATTTTTCTCATGATTTTGCCATTGATTAAATTGGGCTAGAATTATTTACTAGCACCGTAACTTTTGCATTAATCTATTGTTACGTCTCCAAACCTTGTGAAATGGCAATTTTTTCTATCTGTCTGCCTCGCGACAAGGAACATGTTCTCTGTTTATTGTTTTTAACACCTTCCATTGTGATGCACAATCTCAGGGTGGTGGTTTTATTTTATATTCAAACATTATTCTTTGTAAGGTTTTACTTTCCACAAGAGAGTTGATGGTCCAATGTGTGTATGTCTCTCTCTACTCATTTGTTTAGTAGTTGCTGTATGTATAAATTGAGGACATCTCATAAAACTGATGTATATTTTTGTGCAATTAATGTGGAAAAGTTTGTTTGGCATGAGATGATATTGTGGACAGGCTTGCTTTCATATGTGACTTGACCATATATGGGGTGAATTTGTTTTATATCTAAGGAATATTGCTCTCTAATCTAATGATAGAAAGTATTTTCATCAAAAGTTGTGAGAAGAGAACCAGAAGCAATGGTCTTCCTTCAATCTTTCACGTTGTTATTAAAATGTTGTATTATTTATTTATGTTCTTCACTATGACTTGACGCTGGTGGGATATAGTAGTCGAAGGTTAAATATGTATATTGTGGAAATCAAATTTATTTCTATTGTTGTTGTGACTGGAAAGTATTGGAATTTACTTGTTTTAAAATGTGGGCTCTTTAGGTTTTTTCTGGCCAAAATCATTGAAACCCAAACTTGGGTAAAATAAAATTGCCTAAATCATTGAAAACCAAACCTAGGTAAAATAAAGTTGCTTAAATCATTGAAAAAAATAGGTTGACATGTGATGATAAAAAAGTAACACGACTCTGCTGGGGATCGAACCCAGAATCTCTGGTTCCGTAGACCAGCGCCTTATCCATTGGGCCACAGAGTCCGAGTTATTGTCTACGGCTCGAGTAATTAATTTTTTATATATAAGTATACGATTCCGGTGTAGGAAACCAGGATTTTTACATAATTGTCGGTCTTTAATTTAAGAAAATATTAGCTGGAGGCACAATTACTCCCCATGTAAAAGTTTATGTAAAAGTTTTTGTGATAAAAAATCTCCCTGAACTTTACTTTCTCTCCTTAAAAACTCCTGAACTATTTTTTCTACAATTAATTTTCCGAATTATCAATTTTTTTGCAAAAAGTACCCAATGATGAAGTTCCGTTTGATTTCTCCAACCAATTAGGCGCGTGATGCACACATGCCAGAAATATATCTTTAAAATGACAAAGCTACCCTTATACTATTAAATGTATAAAATTAAAATTGAAAAATAAAAAAAACAATTCCTAAATTAAAACCAAACCCTATCTGAATTTCACCACCGCCCCTCAGCCACATTCTCTCCCTCAATAGCGCCGTTGCGACCTCATCACCGTTGTGAACCTACTGTTGCCGCCACCGCCACCGCTGCGAACTTGCCGGCAGCGCGCATCTCCATCTCCGGTGCCGTGCTCTCACCTTAAATCTCGACCAAGACACCGTTGCTTCAACTATGGTTGGAATATCACCAAGTAGCAGTTAAGTATGAAGTTGATGGCGATGGCGATAACTGTGAGAATATTGTGATGGAGTTTCGACGACGAAAAGACCCACCGACGTGACGTCTGTTGCAGCGGGAAGTTTTATTTATAATATGGGTTTGGCCATTAGTTGAGAATTTTACAATTGGGCTTGGTGAGTTTGTTACCGTCGAAACGGCCTGTTGAGGAGTCAACGAGGATGGAAATTTTGCAATTGGGTTTGGTGAGTCTGTTAGTTCGGAATTGGATTGGAAGATGAGAGTAGAAGGGAAGATGAGTGAATACGAAAGAGGAGACGACGATGCCGGGGAAGAAGATGATGTTGGAGTGGGAGGGGGTTTACCTAGCACTGACGATTTGACTCTTCTTTCCCTGAAATTGATACCCTAAAGCCATCTCTTTAATCATTCCATCTTGACAACCACCTTCGTTCCGTCACAACTTTCACTGAAGAGTGAACCTAATTTTTGGTGGAGATGCTCAGTTTGAGACGGTGGTGAAGAACAGAGCAATAATATGTATTTTATATGTAATACATATATATCTAATATATACAATATACTATATAGCAGTAAGGGCTTGATGGCTTATACAATTGATGGATGTTGAAGGCTTGGCTGGTGAGAACTTATGCATATACATGGTTCAATACAAGAGTGATGTATATATAGTACAAGAGTGATGTGTGTGTATATATATATATATACAGAGACGGGGATGCAGATTTACCCAGAGAGGAATTGGATTTTTGTTCTTCTTATTCTTTTTATTTCACTAAATATTTGGATCTTTCTTAATATCGAAATACAATCCCATTTATAATGATAGATGATTCAGCCATTGAGGGTTTCAAATTACAGAGCATCCCATTATCTCATTCTATTGAAGATAGAAAGAGGAAAATGGGTTTTAAATGGGTTAACCAATTCATAGCTCCGAAGAACGAGTGGCCACCGGTGATGGCGATGGCGATGGATTGTCGTCACCTTCCTACTGTAAATGGCGATGGATTTTTATTTGGGGTTAGGGTTGAACTGGCAGATTGGGTTTCAAATTGGTGTTCTGAGGAAGTTTAGGTTTAGCAAATTGGGAAGCCGATAGGATTCCTGCGAAACTCCTCATCGTCGCTTCGCTGCTGCCTACTGGTGTGCTGTGATTGTTCCCGGAAAAGCGTAGAACAGGTGGTCATTGCACAGGTCGTGTTTGGTTGTACAAAAATGAGGGGAGGGGGGGTTGATAAGATGATGTGTTGTACAATTCTAATTGGTTCTTGAGATTTTGCCTGACACATCAGCAACACAAATTTGTTAAGTACTAAAACAGTGTCGTTTCACCAGAGGGTATATTCGTAATTTTCTATTTCCGGTACCAAAGATCTTATCATTGTCCTCAACTACAACTTTTTAATAGTTCAGGGCACTTGTTAAATTAGGGGGATTTTGTGCAATTGCCTAATAGTTTAAGGGGGGTTTTGTGCACTTTACTCATTTTATTATTAAGTAATGTTTTTATGGTGTCTCTTTTATTACAAAGTAATTTTTGTGTATTATGTATCACTTTTTACATGCTATTCCCTTCGTTTTAAAATAGTTGTTTATCTTTTCATTTTGGGATATTTCAAAAAACATGTCCCATTTCAAAATTAAATGTATTATTTTTTATAACATTCCTAAACTATCATTTTAATTAAACAACTGCACTAATTACGAAACACTATTTTATCTTTTAGTAAGGACATATTTGAAACTCAACTCTTATCAATACAATAAAAAACTACTAAAAATCCATTACCATAAAAAGTTGGATTTTCCATGCAAGACATGTATATTGGGACAGAGGGAGTATTTTTTATTTTTGTGCAGATCATTTTGATGATATTATTTGTATAAAAAATAGTACCTGCATGCACAAGTGTGGTATCTCTGTGCACAAAAATGGTACGTACTTATATGTACAAAAATTGTACATTAAAATAATAAGGATAGTTTTGGAAAAATGAATTATGTATTTTCATGTTCATATTAACATTTTGGTCAATTATATATTTTTTTGAAATATCTTGATTTTGACTCCATAAAATAATAAAAAATAAGGATCCCTAACTCCACACATACGTAACAAAATCATCAAAATATTATATTTTTCTTCGACCAAAGTTTAAATATTTTGATTAGATGGGAGTATGTAATAATCACTACCGTTGTTTTAAACCGTCAGTTAGTTAGTTAGTTTTTATTTATTTTTATTTTTTATTTATTTATTTTTTAATTAATGTAAACTAAATCCTTAGCCAGCTCAAGCACATCATGAAAAAAGTTTTTGGATATTCTCAATACCAAAAATATAATACCTCGGAGTCTCTGACTACTGATAAAGTAGTAATATTTCTTAGATTAATGAGTTTTCAAATTACACAAGTAGAATGTTGTCTGTTCATGTTAGGGAAAAAAAAAAAAAAAAATGAAAAGTGAGATGAGATTTACTTACTGAACTAGTCAGCTCCTACTGAATATTTTATTTATGTCTAAGATTCTACTTATCCAAATCCTTATCTCCTATGATGCATGACACAACGTGGAAAAAAAAAAAAGTCGCTAAGATCACTATCCAATTCCATGAAATTAGAGTTTTGTAAAGTGTAATTTTATTATTTATAGTCACATACAAGCTAGTTCTATCAATCTTCAAATTGCATGGGTATATAGTGATGAAGTTTGGTCAGATCAAGAATTCTACGACAAAGCAAAGTTGTAGCTGAAAAGGTGGTCTAAACACAATAAAACTACAAAAACAGCCCAACTCAGTCAACTAATTAACTAAATTTTAAGTAACTCAGCCGTCACTCTTAATCCAAATCCTTATCTAACAAAAGTGATTTTTAGTATCACACGTTTAAGATCAATATCCAATTCTATGAAATTAGAGTTTAGTAAAACCAACTACTTCTTTATCTAAACCACTAATTGGTAGTTTGATTGCATGTAAGAGAGTAATCCTAATCTCCATGGTGATTTGTGTAAGAGTGCTTAAAAAAAAGGAAAATGATAGGGTTACCGAATGATTTTTCTGAATAAGTCACGAATCTGACGTGTTTTTGTCCACATCATTTATTTAAACAGTTTTTAACAAATAATTGTTTAACACGTGATAAGTATAGCCAATTCGATGTTAATTCGGGAATTTTTTTTCTGTTTTCCTATCATTACTTTTTAATTAATGTTTGTTTTATTTATGGTTACTATTGAGTTTGCATTAAATGCATTAAAATTTTTGGCGTGACAAGTAATTTGTAAGTACGAAAATGATTAAGATGGTGAAAGTTTCAATCGAATCCCATAGTGAAAGCGGGATACTTATTTGTATCCACAGTTATTATCTAATGACTTGAGAATTGTTCTACTCTACATTTGATTGAAACTTTCACCATGCATGGCTAGTTGAAAGATGAAATTTAAACCCTAACATTGTCTCATATTATCTTAATCGATCTAATTAGGTGAAATATTGAAGATCCACATTCTAGCTAATCGAAAAAACACCAGACCAAGAACTTGAAAGACAAGTGAATTAATATGGTGGTGTTGCATTGCATAAGACTCTTCTCAAGAAAAGAGTCCAACCAGTATTACTGAAAGTTTATCTTTAAAACGATATATTTACATAGCCGTTTATATATTCTCTGTTCAACTAGATATATATATTCCGTTGTGGTTAAATGGGTAGACTATTATTTGCCTTGTACCTTAAATTTATATAGCCTTTTATTATTATTTTTTTATTACTAAAATTAATTTTAAAGAATGAAACCACTATTAGGATTTTAGACCACAGAGGCTTAGCATCATTATCAATTTCCAAATCTCCACTTTTAATATGGGAGGAGAGAACATATTTAAAAAAAAACTATATATATATATATATATATATATATATATATATATGTGCACACATGGGTAGTGATAACTAAAGTTTCCCCCAAGTCCCTATTCTGTTTGGTCAGATGAACTAGCTATCACAAAGTTTTTTTTTTTTTTATTTTGAAAAAAGGTAAAAGTTAATCTTATAAATATATTTAACAAAAAAAGGTTGCCATCACACAGAAAAGTTGTAGCTAAAAAGGTAGTCTAAACATAACAAAACTAAAAAGCAGCCTACTTCCGTCAACTAACTGAATTTTTTTAAGAAATTAAAATTTCATTAAAATTTCAATCGTTAGTTACTGCTAAAAGGCTATCCAAATCCAAATCCTCATCTCCTCCCGTGAGTCATCGTGAAAAAAAATAAGAAAAGTGATTTTTAAAAGGTGCACACGATGATTTGACAGAAGTACCCCTGTAAATTCTCGAAAAGGTAGTCACAATTGTTGAAAAATCTGTCTTTGGACCAGACCTTTTAAGTAAATTTGGTTTTATATATGTTATATGAGGTGCCCATGCACAAGGCAAGTGCACTATATAGACTGAGCTTCAAAATCCATCCTCATCTTTTCTATATCTAAGTTTTGGCTGAGTCTTTTTTATCTCTTTCAATGGAGCACTTTTTCTTTAAATTCATTCTGAGTCTGGCACTGGTAAGTTCCACTTTAAACAACCCAGTATCCGCCACCACTCCATGTAATTTTCCAGCTATATTCAACTTCGGTGACTCCAACTCCGACACCGGTGGCTTATCTGCAGCATTCGGTCAGGCCCCTCCACCTAATGGAGAGTCATTCTTCCGTGGCCCTGCTGGTCGCTACTCCGATGGCCGTCTAGTTATTGATTTTATAGGTATGTTTTCTTTTTAACCATTGTCCACACTTTAGATGTTATGTTAACATTTTATATCATGTCATATAATTTATTTTTTTCTCCAACCAAATCATTCCTACCTATTCAGTCCTCTAAAAGTGTGTTATATATCTCATATAATTTGAGGAAGGTTTTAGGACTCGGCAAAATCATGTTAACTTGGTTGAGGAAGTTGATTATATATCCATTGTAAAGGAAGAAGTTATTTGCAGGGTCGCTCTATTATTTGGGTAAAAGTGTAACAATAAAATATGTTTACAGCATTGCTAAAGAACAAAATATACATATAAACAACTTTGTACGAAAAAAAAGGCCATGCATGTTTCAGTGTCACGTGAATCAATTAATGGGCTGTAAACAATTTGTTCTTTTATGCAAAGTTGATTGCATTCTCTGAACCAAATCCGCCGACGCCAAAGGATCACATATCCTAAATTGCACCAACCTTTGGTCCCACCACAGATTGCTAAATCTGATTTTTGGCAAGAAGGCTTTATAACTTCAATATCATCATATCATGTTATAAATAATATTGCGTGATGGCTAAAATTAAAATATAAATAAAGAAATAATGTGTGACAATAGATTTTAATAAGATCCAAAACATTATTAATCATCAATACAATGAAATCATCTATTTAGCAATTGATTAATTTAACCTCTTTTGAATGTGGATTTTCAGCGGAGAGCTTGGGATTACCATATCTAAGTGCTTATCTTGATTCGGTTGGATCTAACTTCACTCATGGAGCCAACTTTGCCACAGCAGCATCCACCATTAGACCACAGAACATAACTCTCCAACAAGGTGGTTTTAGTCCATTCTCGTTGAACGTCCAATTCTATCAGTACAATGACTTCCATCACAGATCTCAAATCTTTCGCAAACAAGGTAATACTGTAATATATACTCGACATATAAACTTCATGTAAAATGAGAGTTGTGATACATAGTTTGAAAGTCGGACATTATTTATTTGAGAGGATGACATCATGACGTCAACAATCAAATGATATTATTTTTCCCTCATATAAATTAATCAGTTGCGTTCGACTTTCAAAAAATGATTTAGAATTTAATTTGTTCTAATTGGAAACGAATTATTGACCTTTGGGTTGCATCATTTGATGTAGGAGTTTTTGATCGACTGTTACCGAAGGATAATGATTTTTCACGCGCTTTGTACACGTTCGATATTGGCCAGAACGATCTGACGGCTGGCTTTTTTCGTAACATGACAACTGATGAAGTTAAAGCAGACATTCCTGATATACTAGATAAATTCAAAACTATCATCAAAGTAAGTAACATGTTATATAGAGTATTAATCATTATTTATATAATGATTAATGTTAGTTGTGCTTGGGATGATTTTATAATATAGTAACGTACGTGGTTGTTTGCATGCGTAGTATATATATCATCAAGGAGGCCGATCATTTTGGATACACAACACAGGCCCTGTTGGTTGTCTAGCGTACGTCATGGACCGTCTGCTAATCACAGCCGCACAAGTTGACAGTGTTGGATGTGCAAGTCCTTTTAACGAGGTGGCCCAATTTTTTAATGGTAGATTGAAGGAGGCTGTGGTTCAACTTCGAAAAGATCTCCCACTTGCTGCAATCACATACGTTGATGTTTATTCAGTGAAATACTCTCTCATCAGTGAAGCAAAAAAAAATGGTAGAAACTTCCTCTTTCACATTTTAGTATTTTGCATTTTGATCACCACAACGTAGAAATACACACACACATAAAATATATATATATATATATATATATATATATATATATATAATTATACCTTACTTCCAAATTCCAATCCGATGAACAATGCTTGTTATTGCAAGTTTAAGATATCATAAAGTAAAAAGAAATTAGTTATTTTTCACTTGGCCAGTTAAACTAGATATTTCATATGGGTTGGACCTTTGCTTTGGCTTAGCTTGTATTTGTATTGTCCTTATGACAAGAAGTGGATATGTAGAACTTTTGTTGAATAACTTTGAATGGTTTGGGCCTGTCCAGCCCAAACCCAATCAGTTTATCGACTCATCTATATATTACACTCATATATACAATTGTTTTACCTTTGGGAAAATAAAAAATACCCTCTGTCCCACATTAGTTGTCCACTTAAATTTTTTTGATTCACTATCACATTTTATCTTTGAGTCATTTGAAGTCATTTTTAGTCATCTTCATTTTATATACTTATATACTATCTCCCTCCCATATTAGATGTCCATTTCTGAAACTTTGTCTCACAAAAATTGTGAGTCAAAGTTTTCGAAGTGAACAATTAATATGGGATGGAGATAATACTAAATTTCAACTTGATTTGAGTTCCATATATATATGTGTGTATATGTATTATGTATATATCTTATAATTATTGCATTTCGTTTTTTCATAGATTAAAAAAGACGTGGATTAATATGAATGGGTATGTGTGTGTGTGTGTGTGTGTGGTGTGGATGATATTGACATAGATGAGATGGAATTAATCACAGGATTTAAGGATCCCTTTCGAGCTTGCTGTGGTCATGGAGGAAAATATAACTACAACAAGAATATTGGATGTGGAGGAAAGATAACAGTGAATGGCACACAAATCTTAGTGGGAAAGTCATGCCAAAAACCTTCGGTTGTGATCAATTGGGATGGAGTACACTACACACAGGCTGCTAACAAATGGGTTTTTGATCGGATCGTGGAAGGTTCATTTTCAGACCCTCCAATTCCATTGAGAATGGCGTGCCATAGGCAACATGAAGCACCTAACTAATTATCGGAATTTCCAATTAATTTATATTGTTGTCATTCTTAATTTATGTTTGTTTTTCATGCTTATTATTGAGTTTGCGAGGACAGTTATGCTTTTAATTAATGTCTGTTTTTTCATGGTTATTATTGAGATTTTGCATTAGACAATTTTTGTTTTTTATGTGACATTAATTTGGAGCAGGAAAATAATTAATACAATGAAAGTTGTAAGTTTGTAACCGAACGGAAGCTGGACGACTATTTGATTTGATGATGAAAGTGAGATTCCTATTTCGGTTCAAAAGGCTTTGTCTAAGAACCTCTCGATTCTCAATTTACCCTAAACAAAATTTGAATTTATTTTTTATGAATTTATTATATTAAGTGAGACTCTTATTTTGATCCAATATAAATTGTCCAAGAACTGTTCGATTCTCTATTTACCCTAAGAGAATCTAAATTTATAATGAAATTAGAATTTTTTCATGTGTGGCATTGAGTGGCATCGCTTATGGAAAAATAATTAATTAATTTATTTATTTTTAACTCTGTTAATATAGTGTATCATAATATTCTAGATGATTAATAAATTATTATTTTTTATTATCAAGAAAAATAATGGATTTTTCATTAGCCAGATATAGCTACATAGTAGCTACTCCAGGTATTGAACATTCTTTACCACCCATAATAGTATGTGAAGATGTAAGTGAGAAATCATCTATGATTGGTTGCATAACTCTTCCCAAAAACACATGTATCGTCCTCTTTCAGGCGTTCCCAAACGGTCATACACAGACCCAACTGTCGAGAGTTGTTAGAGCAATACAGAGAGTATAATGTTGCTCTGTTCGACTGTCACTCCTCACACTCCTCGCTTTAACCCTAACTGTAGCATCTGCAATCCACTCTTCTGCCCCAACGCTCACAAACTACACCGCACTGTTTGCAGATCAAACACTACCACTTACAACAGACCATCTATTTCTCTCACCACCACCAACGCTTCTTCGCCTTCTCTCGCCAACGGTTCCTCCGAAAACTCCATTCTTCAAAATCCAAACCCTAACCCTAATCCTAAAACGCTCCATCATGTGTGTCTCGATGATGAAGACGGAGGCAGCAGCATGGTCTCCTCCGCCTCCGCCGTCGCGTCGGCCATACGCAAGGCCTCCACTTCCCCTATTGAGTTCATTCAGAGGATCGAGAAGGATGGAAAGAACAAAGGCCTGGTCCTACCAAGTCCCGATTTTCAGAGACTCTGTATCGAACAGTTGGACCTCTTTCGCCGAATCGTCGATCCCGATGCTCTCCTTTCAGTCAGTTTGCTCTCTCTGTTACATACTTATTCAACTTCCTTTTGTTTCATGGGATTATCAGATGTTAACCCTATTTTGGATTTTATTGACTACAAAATTATTACTAGATATAAAGTTAGCATATGTGCAGTTCAATATGCATTAGGAATTCAACAATTTAGCTAAGCTTCACCAACATATTCCATTAACACCAATCCTCAAGAGTAGCTGATCTGATTTTCATCAGTCACAGAACTAAATTGCTTGAGGTGCAATATGCAAATATATCATAAATATAAGGAGTTTCATATATCATGGATGCTCCGTAAGACATTTCCACTGGTAGGGGCTATCAGTGGAAGAAAGAAGGGAATTCTTTGGGTATTGTTTGTTCAATTCTGAAAAGTTTAAAGTTGGTTTTTTAATAATAATAAAAATAAAAAAACAAAAACACACACATATATATTTGCTTAGAAAGTACCGTATTAGGAATTTTCACCAGAAAAATAAATAGTAAACAGTTACAAGTTTATTAGCTTCAAACCAGTAAACCAAATTGATTTTTAAAAAGAAATATTTTTTATTATCTATTATCAATTCTTGTATATTAGTGGGTTGATGCTGAAAGATTAGCCCTATTCAAAACTATGCAGTTTTGGATTGTTTTTCAAGATCCAATCTAGTAATTTATAGCGTATTTATGTGCAGATCTATGTAAGACCAGCTGGTAGTTATGTCATGGATCGCTTAGAGCTGCGTCGAGTTACTTTCTATCCAGGTGTCAATGCAACCGATATTGTGATATTAGTCGGTAATTTTAGTATTCCGACGGGATTAAGAGCAGCAGAAGCTTTCCTTTCAAATCAACAAGTATGATCTTTAGCTGTCTTAGTGCTGTGTTGATATAATTGAATTTCAACTCTTTGTTATTCCTGATCATTCTTCATCGGATTTAGGATGGATGTTGGTTTCAATTGTAGGCAGAATTTATTCCAGAGTGCAGAGCTGTGGTTTTTCCGATGGTGAAACATCCATTTGTTGTGGGTTTTTTGGTTGCCGAGCTTCCAAATATCGAATCAGAAAGGGAAGGGATTGAAGTAGAAAAGTGCCCATACTCTGAGAAATCTTTTTCTTTGCCTCCGTCTGTGGATAAGAAGTCGTGGGAAATTCGAACTCTCAAGGACAACCAACTAGAAATGTGCAAGTTCACTGCTGATCAGAGATTAAATGCAGTTAACATTTCTCACTCTCTTGCAATGGCATATGTTATGGATCAGGTAGACTATGGATATTCTCTTCTTAAATTTTTTTTTCCTTCCTTTTTTCCTTTAATTAGATTTTCTTTCCTTCTCTGTGTGTGTGTGTGTGTGTGTTTAGTTGGTAGGTAGAAAGTGTTTGCATCGATGTTTTATTGGTGAACTCCTTATTCGACACTTTCAAGTTTGTTTTTAAATTGTGGTTCTCTTTTCCATGAATAATAGAAATTCTTTAATTGACACTTTCATGGGGCTTGTCTGGAACTATATTACTTGTATAGGATGAGTGTATAGAAATTACTAACTGATAGAAGTTCACATCGATAGATATTGCAGTTCACTAGTTATGTGTTATTATGGTGCTTTTTTTTCCACTGATCGAAAAAAAAAAAAAAAAAAAAATTATGGTGTTTTGCATGTACAGATATTTATGGGCTATTTTCTTGTTATTAAGCATGAAAATGAATGTTCGAGTCTAAGGGCAATATTTGGAAGGTTAGATCAATACCCAGTCGCCACCAACCATTGACAAACACGCACTGCATAATGTCTTTGTACCTTTATGATTACTAGGCTTATTTACTGGTGTTGTACTTTATTAAAATTTCTATGTGAAGTATTAAAGCAATGATACTATTTTTGAACACAAAAAACAAAAGGTATATTTAATTATTTATGTTTTATGTGTCGGTATTGAACATGCACCATAAATTTGGAGGGAGTTTTCTACTTTGGTAGGGCAACTGTCTGTTTAGTAATGTATTACATCAATGATATTGTGGAGTATTTCAAAAGACATGCTAGTAGCTTGTTTATAGTTGTCAACAATTGCTTAATTTGATAAAGCTGCTACCATATTATCATATGCAGATTTGCTCTGCTTGTTCTCTATAGACAAATGGTATTTATGTCCATCATACTGGAAGCTTGAACCTCTTTCTGCATTCTTTATGGCCTTTCATCAGTTGGAATTATTTCTAATTTATTTATATTCCTTCTCAGAAAGCAATGTTACTACAGCAATCATCGTGGCAAAATAATGTTAGGATGAGTAATTTGGTTGAGCAAGTAAGATGTTCTACTTGTGTTTTATTTGATTTTCATGTGAATTAGAATATTTATCATGATTTACTTATCAATTTTAATTTAACAGATTCGTGGTCCTCTTTCTAGCATTCGGACATTGAGTAAAATGTTGTCTGTTCACATGAAAAGAAGTGAGGTGAGATATACTTACTGAACTGGAAGGCTCCGACTTTTTAGGAATGTTCTAAAGAGAATAGTCTTAACATGTTCTTGCAGATCTCTTATGATATTGTTAATGATATTATGGTGCAAGGTGATCGCATGAAAGATACCCTTCAACAACTTCAGGATGCTGTCTACCTGACAAAGGTTCTCACTCTCTCTTACGCACACAATACCTCATAGTTTTCTACCAAAGGAGCTATCGTCTTCTTCTTCTTCTTCTTCTTTTTTGGTTACTGTTGTTGTTTTGTTCTTTTTTTCTTTTCTTTTTATTTTTTTATTTTGGGTTGATATATATTTCCCCAGGTTTCATTTTTTGGGATATATTTTATTTGCTTCATGATCTGTGATTATGGATCCAAAGGCCATGTTTTGACCCAGAATGAGATATCAGACACGAAAAATATGTGTGCGCGCGTGCGTTGGTTTGTACTAAAAAATATGTCTCTCTACGTCTGTGTTTGTTGTACATCTTCGATTCTAAAATATCTTTATATGCCCGTCAAGTGGAAAAATCATGCGCTATGAATTTATGAGTGACTCTTTTTCCTCTAATTCAAATAATTAGTTTCTCTTAAAACTACTGAGGAACATTAGAATTTTGAAGCATTATTAGATTTATTGCTCCATCTAACAAAGTGTTTTTTTTCTAATTCTCAATTTTAGAGAATAATAAAAGTGAATATATGTAATTACTTTTATTGTGGATATTTTCCAGGCTAATATAGTGCGATATAATGAAGAAACGTTGGAGAAAATGGATCACTCAACTGATCCCCGTCCTGAATCTGTAAGGTCTCAAATGTCTGATTACACTTCCCAGGAAAGTTCTGTTGGTAAGATGCAAGAATCTGGTGGACCCCTTCCTCTCACTTTTGCAAATAAGGATTTAGAGATGCCCATGCCGCCTCTTGCTCTTGCACCTGTAAAACAAGAAGGAATCAGGTAGGATTTTCCCCTGCATAAACCTTTTCACTTTCATTACCTAGATATGAATTTCTCACTAATTTCTCATTATTGTAAAACATCTTTTGCTTCTTGGATCTTTTTATATCATTCTGTAGAATGAATATTATCTCATGTTTATGGTTACGCAGTTGCTTCACCTTCCTTGGTGTCTAGTCTACCTCAGGTTGCCGTTGGCACTTAATGTTCTTATGCTGTTCACATCAACTCCTCCATTTAGTAGTCTATATTAAATTACATGTATCTGCATGCATGTGAAATAGTTACCTCCTCTGTCCCATATTAGTAGTCCATTATTCCATATAATTGTGTCTCAAATTAGTTGTCCCATTTGACAAGTCAAAGCAAAAAAGTACCATTTTTTTCATAATTACCCTTTGAGTTTTGAAATATCTCTCAACTTAGTAATATATACTTTTAAACTTAAAAGGACAATATGTTAATTTTAAAAGGAGACAATGCATTGCATGTCCCCTTAGAAAATTATATTATCAAAGGTGGACAACTAATATGGAACGGAGGGAGTATATTTGTTGACCTTCCCTGTGGTCTAGCTCAGTTAGCTATTGGCACTTAATGTTCTTATTTCCATTGAAGTTCAAATTTAATTTTTTTCCGAAAACTACCCTTATTATTAAAGTAGCAATCATCTTCAAATATAAGATTTGCAGCATCCGGCAGATTGGAGCATCTGTTGCTTTCACCGGAGAATAATCAATCCAACAAGCTCCCTTCTTTTGTTTTTTTTTGTGCAACAATCCAACAAGCTCCCCTCTTTTGTTTTTTTTTGTGCAACAATCCAACAAGCTCCCCACTTTTTCAGAGTCTTCCCATATGGTTTTGTGCTCTTTGAATTCACCAGAGGTGCCGCTGACTTCTCCATCATCAGCGGCAGCATACTCGCCGGTTTTCTGTTCTCTTTCCGCAGCACAGCCGAGAAATCCAGCACTGATTGAGCCAGAATAGAGGACCTTTTCGCCCAATGGATGTTGCCGAAAAATCCTTCTGAAATCTGATGAACTGTTTCTTTGGTGGTTAAAGATTCAGTTCTTGTTCATGGGGCTGTTGTTGTCTCATGTTCTTCATTATAAGCTTGGATTCTCTCAAATCAGTGTACGCTTTGTATCTGGGTCCTCTCTCCATGACGAAGCTCTCTATTGTGAGTTGCAGAAGATTGAGTTTGTTAGAATCGGAAAATTGTGCCACCACCACCAAACCCACCAATTCTCTCAACACAAACCCACCAATTCTCTCAACACAAACCCAGTTGTTTCCTCTGATTTACAAGTGTGAATGGGTTTTCTTTTTTTAATTGACATGGCAGAATCCTCACCGTTGAATCAAGTACCGGATATTAGCGGAAAGAAATGCCAACGTAGAGGAGCGAGATCCCACCCAATGTCCCAAACATTAATGAATTTACTCAACAAAAGCAAACCTTAATAATAAGGGTAATCTTGGAAAAAAAATTAAATTTGAACTTTGATGGAAATAGATTGCAAAAGTAGGACTTGTTTGTCCTGATAAATTTTTTTAGGACTTGATTGTCTTTTAGGTTGAAAAGTAGGACTAGAAAGGAATTTTCCCTAAATTAAATTAATTGTATCTTCATGCATCTGCGGTAGTTATATTTTGTTGGTAAGTATCTATCTCGAAATTGTGTTTTGCTTATGCTTTCTCTTTGTGTCAGAAGACCATGCAATGTTTCTGATGTACTGGCAGATATGGTTGGCGCCGTGGAGCCTCTAGCTCGTAAACAGCAACGTGTGGTGGAGCTATGTGCACTTTCACAATCTTTGCAAGTTGCTGTAGAAGAATTTTCTCTTCGCCAAGCTTTGAGCAATCTAATTGAGGGTGCTTTGCTGCGCACAAATGTTGGGGGGAAGGTTGAAATTGTGTCTACTGGAGCCCCAGCAGGTGGTGTCCTTGTCATAATTGATGATGATGGGCTGGATATGCACTATATGGTAAATTTACTCAACCAGCTTGCCTCTTACTATGCAAATTATAAATTGTAAAGTCCTCATATTACCTTCCATGTGCACCAACGCATAGTATATCATTTTCATTAGATTTGGATATTTGAAATGTGTGAGGTTCTAGTCTTTCTGTAATTATGATTGAATGAATATAATTTCATTGTTTAAGGAAGAAGGTGGTTACGGGTAAACCATATGCTGTAGAATGGGAATGACAGAAAGATTCTGTCCACCATGTGACACAGTACAGAAATTCAGGGTTTTTATTTAGTCATGTGACATTAAGCATTGTCTCGATTCACATGCATCCGCATGTGGGGTTGGGCACTGGGGGTTCATCGTCAATGTTCTTACTAGAATTTAATGCTCCATTTGGTTAGAAGGGTGGAAAAATGGATGGAAGGGAGAGGGAGGGATGGATGAGGATCCTCTTTTCTTTAATGCAGAAGTTAAGTAGGTTCATTGAAAGTCAAGTTCTCTTCCCATCCCTTTGGTCGAGCTTTCTAGTGCTAATCCATGTTCTGTCGTAGTGATGTTAATTGTACTTGTGCAAACTCGTCTTCAGGTTTCCTTAGGGAAGGGAAGGTGTCTCCTTCACTTTTTGTTTGGTCGAATGGAAGGGATAGTAGAAAGGATTGATGGGATGACACCTTTGTGTGTGTGTGTGTGTGTGTGTGTTTGGTTGGAAGGAAGGGAATGGGAGTTTTTGTATTTTGGGTTAATTACAATGACACCCCCTGAGGTTTGTCATATTGACAGTCATATATAAGCAAGGCATTTTTTGAACAATGACATCCCCTATCACAAATTGAATCCAAACAGCCCCTTAAAAGATGTGAAAAGTCAATATTATCCTTCAATATTTTATTAATTTAAATGGTTAAATATTAGAAATCCTAAATGACGTTTTTACCCTTAGCACTCTCACCTCTCAACTTTTCCATCACAAACCTAACCCAACTCTCTCTCTTTATTTTCTCTCTCTAACTGTAATTGATAGTATATATATATATATATATATATGTTATACATGTATATGTATATTCGGTGCCAGAACAATCCACTCGCGGGTAAGGAGCTTTCAAAAGGAACTGGGACAACAGATCAAGCATCAAGGTTTTTTCCCTGTATCACCGTAGACAAACCTCGACCACCACCACCATAGCTGCCGGTCCACCACAAAAGAAAAAACAGAGGCAACGAATAACAACCATGGCCTCTCAAACCCTAACCCTAATCAAGAAACCACCAAACCCACGGCCTCTCCCTCAAACCCACCACCAAATCCCTAGACCTCTCTGCCCCTAAATCCCTTACCGTTGTTGGCGCTATCACCACCAAGAAAGCCGTCGCTGTTGAACCCTCAGATCTGGCCGCGGCATCGACGTTGGGCACATCCCTGTGATGACCATGTGCTTCTTTGGATCCTTCTCGAGCTTGGGGGCAAAGGATGTGGTGGAGTCAACATCGCCGCTGCCGCTGCCGCCGCCGCCGCCGTGGTCACTGTTTCGATCTTGGAGGTGTGTATATATATGTGTGTGTGTGTATGTATGTTGAAGATTTGGGTGTTTAAAAGTGATGGTATATATATATGTGTGTGTGTGTGTTGAAGATTCGGGTTTTGAACCAGTGGTGGTGATTTAGGTGTGAGGGTTTCACGGTGGTGGAGTCGGCACCGGCGGCAATGGCCACCATTATATGTATGTATGTTGAAGGTTTGGGATATATATATGTGTGTGTGTTTGTGTTGAATATTCCGGTTTTGATCAATTGAAGTGGTGATTTTGGGTGAGAGAGCTTCATGGTGGTGATGGAGTAGCCACTGTATGACTGGTAATAGATGGTATTGGGATTGGATTTTTTATTTTTATAAATATTATACAAGGGTAGCCAGCTAATTTCATTATTTAAATTTGTCAATTTAAAAGTCAAAGGACAACAATGTCAATTCATAGGTGGCAAGTGACCATTGGGGTGTATTTGTTAACTTTTTCAAACTTGGGGGTGTCATTGTAATTAACCCTTATATTTTTTTACCAATATATCATTATTATACGTGTGAAGAGAATTTCAGAAGAATTGTTATTTACATATTTGTTGGGTAACTTTTCTTATTTTCCCTCCTCTCTTCCACCCAATTTTGGACAGAAAAAATTTCTAAAAACATGGGTTAGGAGGGATGCTTCCTCCCTCTCTTCCTTTCCTTCTAACCAAACGAGGTAACCTTATTCTATCCATCCCCTCTTCCATCCTTCCTCAATCCATCCTTCCAACCAAACATAGCATAAATCCTAGTGGCAATGCAGGAAAGGTTATATAATCTGACTAGTTACTGTCATCATTATATTCACTTTAGCTTTTGACATTTGGAATGGTGGGGACTTCTATGTATGATTCTGCCTGGAGGAAAATTTGTCTTTTTGTTTTACATTCCGGATTGCAATTTCTCTGTCCTGCAAAGAAATTAGATGGTTGTAATTTATATTTGAAGTTAGAGACACAGAGAGCCTGCCCTGTTTTGGGATATATGGTCTTGTAATTTGATTATTCAGAAGGGTATGACTCTTGAAAAGAGAAGAGAAGGTAGAACAGAAACCAGGCATCACTTTCACTTTTCTGGTACTTGGGTCCTCGTCAATGTAGTTGATTAGATGTTGTGTATGTTTTTGCAGACTCAGATGCATTCACTTACACCATTTGGGGCAGATCTCTCATCCAAGGGTATGGTTGAAGACAACATGACATGGAACTTTGTTGCAGGGCTGACTGTTGCTCGAGAGATATTGGAGAGTTATGGCTGTGTTGTTCGTGTCATATCGCCACGGACCACAGAGGCTGCACATGGAGCAGGGGGAACCCGCATTGAACTCTGGTTCCCTGTTTCATCTGATCTTATTGAACCTGCTATGGAGGTTTAGCCTGTACATTGGCAGAGATAATTCCACCGAATGGAACCTCTTTGCATTCGATATGAGAATTCTACACGAATGAGGCGATGTGTGCTTTGCCTATTCTTGATGCTACCTTGTAATTTTCAGGGATTTTGTATAGTTCCATGTTATTCTTAGTGCTATTTGTTCACTGTAAATGTTGTAAATAACATGATAATAGGGAATGTTTGTAAGTTGTAACTATAAAATTATGCATGAAAGGTTGAATGAAGGATAAATGTAACTTTGTGATGCTTGAATGAGAGTATGAGACTGACTGTTGTGGATCATCTCTAGATTCAAAGGCAGTCCATTTTGTAGTAAGACAGTCATTTTCACTTTATTGACATTGATGTTATGTTTGGAAGCACCGATTCGGTTACTTGGATTTGGGATTGGGAGGGTTATTAACCTGTGTGCGCTTGCATTTTATAAACATAGGTGAAAATTTTCAAATCATTTGAAACAATCTTCTGGACTTTTCTTTTCATTTTCAGATTCATCTTCATCCAATCATATTAATTGGCTTGTCTCAGGAGATGTGGCATGAAATTTGGGACTATAACATAGGTATGTAATCTGAGCTGAATTGGTATAAGTTGTTGGTGTGTTATGCGCATGAGCAACCAAAAAGTTAATACCATTTGATAAGCTGTTAAGGCCTATAAGAAGCCTAATAGTTGATGAACTATATTTATGAGCAACAGAAAAAAAGTAGTATTTGGTAAAAGCTGTTAAAGCCTATCAAGCCCAATATATTTGATCAGCTCTGTTAATGATTCCATCCGTTACACACAAAACAACAAAAAGAATTATTTACAAGTAATCCTTGTGCACTTGGCCGGCTTGCTCAATGAGTGTCCACGTGTTCTCTGTTTTTTTCTCCCATTCTCTTATTATTATTGTTTTTATATTTTTTGGCGGTTAATTAATACCATCGAACTTACAAATGAACACTATAAAACTCAAACTCCTCACCTCCTATTTAAGTTAAAGAAGGATATGTTATATCAACTAACCTAATGGGCCAATGGTATTGTCTTTTCAAATTTTCATTTTGTTTATTTAAATATAATTTTTCTCAAATTTTTTAAGTTATAATTAAGAAGAAAAAAAAGAAAGTTATAATTAAGACCATATTTATTAAGGCTTATATTTTGTCCCCAAATAAAAATTTATGAGTTTGGCGCGTAAATGTGCGTCCACAAAACCTTCATGAGACGCCATAGATATGGTTCACCAACCGATATTATGTTGGTGCCCACCGGCCAAACCCGTAACGCGTCAAAGCCGTCCCAATTGCATTAATAAGTTTCTTTGGGAATTCAATTTACCAGAAACTTCTTCTGTTTCTTTCCCTCAAGCCAAGTCAAAACCACCAAACTATGAAAACGTATTCAATTCTACGTTCATATTTCATACTAATTACAATTTGAAAACTAGGAACTGAATATGATTGAGACATCTTTTTGATAGACACAGCTTTGCTAATTCATACTAATTAATTAGAATTTGAGATCTATGAATTGAATATGATTGGGACATCTTGTGGATGGTCACAGCTTTGCTTTTATCGTTTGTGTGGTTTGATGGTGCTTTTTGAAGGGTGTGTGCCCATTTTTTAAATGGCACACTTATATTTTAATGGAGGTATGATTTTAGCCTTTCATTTCCACCTAATTTGAGGAATTTGACTTATTTTACAGATAATATCTTTCAAGAATTTGCATAAAAAAGGTTACTGAAAATGATAAAAAGACTTCATTACTGTTTTCTGAAAATTCCAAACCAAGACTTCTGGTTTAAAAGTTCTTGTTAAACTATTTTCAGAATTAATTTTCAGAATTACAATGTGTATTTCTTTAAGAGCACGCTTATTTTATAATAAACGTGACTCAATCTGTAGGTGCAAAATTTCGCTCAACCAATAAAACTCACTCAATCAATAGTAAGATAAACAAAAACAATATATCACGAAGCGTAGAATTACTTGATCCTTTTATTGGAGGTCTTAGCCTCTATTTATATACAAAAAATTGTAAAATTATGGTAGGACTCGCGTTGCTTGCCCTCCAATTCTTTCTATATAAACATTCTTTACTAATAGAGTTCTTTCCATTGTTTAATTTTCCATACATAGAACTTGCCTTGTACAGAACTTCCTATCTCAGAATTTTCCTTCTACGGTAAATCCTTCAACTGGTAGGACTTGTGCATTCTTGAATAACTGGGCTGAACATATTTTGATCCGGCTGAGCTTGAGTAACGGACCGGATGTTAAATATTAACAAGTTAGGCTGATGACCTCTTGATTCGGCCTTGATGGAGGTTGGAGGACAAATAACAATGGTCTTGGGCTATAAATACCCTCAATTTGGGCTTGAGTATGATGGGCCTTATATGTCCTTGGAATGTAGATATGTGTAGTGATGACGTGTGCGCTTTTTATTGGAGGGAGTTTTTTTCCCTCCACACAATCCTTTCCTAATTTGTCAGAAAAAATAAAATAAAATTAAGAGAAGTAATAGATCTTCCGACTTCAATTGCCAACTACTTCTCCAAATATAACGAGAGATGTTTACGGGAATTTTTTTAAGAGTTACAATGAGATCCAATCAGGTTGTATTCGTAGAAAGAGTCGACAATTAACGTCGAAAGATCTATCATTTTTCTAAAATTAATTGTAAGTCAATACTTAATTGAAAATGAGACTGACTCACTTATTACAGTTTTGATTCTAATTTTAATTTTATCATGCACAAAATAAACACAATCATTTTTTTCTTCTTTTGACTAGACTAAAAAAACAAAAACACTATTGTCATGTCATTGATATATTCTATATTCAAAACGTCTAAACAATAAAAGTTGGATACAAATAAGGTTCAAATTCATACCAAACAAAGTTTGATAGTCTTTTTATCAGATTTTGTTCTATGTTACACAACATCAAAATTAAATGACCAATAACGATAGTGGTGTTGATTTATTCCAATAATTTGTTTCCAATGGCATAATAGTCAAATTATCATCCAACCGTTAGTCACGTATTGCAAATAAACCAAAGAGAAGACCAATGACCAAACCACTTGCTTGTTGGTCAAATTCCACCCAAATCACTTTCATTATTTATTTTCCACGCCTCTCTCCTCAGACCATGGCCGGAGAAGCTGTGGTTTTCATCCGCAAGTCATGCAATAATTAGGAATATTTAATAATAATAATAATAATAATAATAATAATAATAATAATAATAATAATTTCAATTTTTTATTTTTGATTGTCCAAAATAAATGTTTTAATTGAAAAGTTAAAATATTATTTATTTTTAATTTTTTTTAACAAATTTTTTTTTTTTTTTTTTTTTTTTGACAAAAAACTCACACACCACTCATACACCAATTTTGCTCATTTCGAGATTCGAACTCTCATCATCCTATTTGAAAGATATACTAGATACCACTAGGCCATAATATTATTAATAATATATATGAATCATTATGAATAGTTTTGGTAATTCATTCACAACCAATATAATAAAAAATACTAAAAGTCTGCATCTTAAAAAATTATATTTCCATAAAGGACATTTTTGTCTTGGGACAGAGGGAGTACTTCATTATGCACTAATCCTTTTATTATACAAGCATTGATATTTTGTAATCTTGATTTTCTATTATTAGCATAATCTTTAATAAATTAATTCCATCAGGCATATGCATATTTGCTATAGAAGTTATTATTAACTTTAGCTTTTTCATTATAAGGAAAATATTAATGGGGAGAGCTTTCTTACCATTCAAGTTCATTGTAAAAAAATTATCCAAAAAGCATAAAAATTCACATTATACAACATGCATATTTTTCACGGAACAACAATTCAAATCCCATATGAGATTGTGCAGTATGATTTATGTTATATTGAAAATTATTTAAGGTAAATTATATTGATTTCCTTTGAGGTTTGGACAGATTACACACAAGGTTACCGGTAGAGTATTCAACATTTATTACTTTAACCTTTTTTACGATTTGGAGTGTGTGCTCAACAATATCCCTACTGTTTTCTTTCCTTGACCAAATTTTAAAAATTGCTTTTTCTTGTATAAAATGTAGTATAATATATTATAATAATATAAGGGCATTAATGATTTTCACACTCAAAATCACTTTTCTACTGCTGTCGAAAGAATTTAAGAGAGGTCAATGTAATAAATAATCGCATAATTTGTCCAAACTTTAGAGGCTATCACTGTAATTTACTCAACTATTTAATAGTTATTTTATTTGATTGGGACATTACCAAATATTACGAGGATAAAAGACAACAAATTTGTCTCATGTTATCTAGTTGGTATTGTGGAAAATTATTATACTACTATAAAAAATCCAAACATTTACGAGTTGAGTTTATAAAGAAATTGCAAAAGTCACCAACAACAAAAAGAGAATATGTTGGGGGGGGGGGGGGGGTTGGGGGTTGGGGGTGAAAGGAGTTCCATACGGTACATATGACAATCCGAACTTATGGTGGTAGGAGGGGCATGCCCTTTAGATTGGGGGTGAGGGTAGGGTTAGGTAATGAGGTGGAAAGATGTGTTTTTATTGTGGAGTGGGAATCCACTAATATTTCTCAATTCGCCCAAGGCCATGTGATGGCGATAAGGTGAGCTGTAGATCAAAAGTAAAATTTTAAAATTGAAAACTCATTTTTAAAGCAACAAATGAAGATGGACATAGTACATATTCAAAGTACATTTCATTTTCAATGGACCCGACGCCCTCAAATCACCACTAGGTTTGCATAATGTATATCAGTCTGCTTGCTCTTCTTGCTCACTTACGAACAATTTATTTAATTTTTTGTTGGGGAAAATTCCTAGAAAGTGGATTTAGAAATGCTTATTTACAATAGCATGACAAAAAAAAAAAAAAAAAAATTCAATGGATAAAAATTATAAAAACGTGAAGAAATATTTTTCATTAATTTTCAAGGACCAAATGCCCTTAGTAATAAAGTTGGTGCATTGAAAAAGTAGTAATTTCTTCCAGATGTCATCCAGGACGTTAAGTTAGGGCCGGAGCTAGAAATTAAATTCAGGGGAGGGGGACATAGTGTAAAAAAAATCAATAATCACGATACTAAATATAGATTCTATAAGTTAAGAGACAGAGAAAAAAAATTACTCAAAATAATATTTTAATCAATGAGTAACTTAAGAAAGATAAATAGTTTAAAAAAAAAATTAAAAAGGAAAGAAAAATGAGAGAATTTTGAAATGAAAAAAAAAATGGAGTTTGATTTTAAAAGGAAAATTTGATTTTTTTTAAAGAAAATTAAATGAATTTAAAGAGTAAAAAAGAGAAGAAATACAAAATTTAAGAGATAATTTTAGAAAATAAAAATTTTAGGGAGGGCATTATACGAATTTTTTCATATATACATATAAAAATATATAATTTAGTATATGTATTATAGTAAGCGGCCAAGCCAGGGGCTCGTGCCCCCTAGGCATATATTGGCTCCACACTGCGCTGAGCCCCTTATTAGGGGTGTGATTGTGGAGACCTTCTGAACGAGCGTGCATGGTCGGGTGTAAGGTACTAACAAGTTATTATGCGGCTTTTAAAAATCAATGGATGGCGTTACTTTAGGCTTGTTTGTTTTATCACTCAAAAGAAAAAAAGAAAAAAATAAAAAATATGGGTGGTGTTACTTTGGGCTGTGGTTTATCACTCAAAAAATAAGTGAGGCTAATACCCAACTCATATATGCCCATTCACTTTCCCATTTCGATCCGATATGGGACAAGTCTCTCTTGGAATATTATCCCATGCTCTAACTTTGCAATTCCCTCATTGCAATTGGGCCACTATGCTTATCCAGACCTTTTCAGACTGAGCGCTTGACATGACATCGAATCAAGAAATGAGTCCAACTTTGATACCAACTGTAACGAGTTAGGTGTTTTGCGATTCGATCCCAAAACTTAAGCTTTTAGGTTAGCCCCACTCATACATACACATTCGCTTCTTTACTTGGATCTGATTTGGGACAAGCAAGGACAAACCTACATACACCTCATAGGACAATTGCCACTTGAATTTATTATTATTATTAATAATATGCCATACTAAATTGTTCTTTTTCGGTTATATACCCCTAAAATATTACTATTACTGCCATCAAGTCTTGATGGTTTGTGTCTGTCCTTGGAGACAAGTCCCCTTGCACTTCCTTTATGCTAATATGGCTGTGTAAAAAGGTTGTGTAAAATACATAATAATTTTACACATTGATAACGTGATAGTATATCTTAACAGACTGTAGAGAAAAAAAAAATTTATACATCATATATGGTCGTGTACAAAAGAGTGTTTTAACATAGATGCTCTAAATGTTATTCATTTTTTTTGGTGCAAGTATTTGAGTAATATTAGTAATTGTTAAGGTACCATAAATTTTAATAGTTGAATTTTAAATACTGAAGTTTTTAAATGGTAATTCAAAAATAAAGTTAGATATTATCAGTTAGCATTAGTTGACACATCATGCGAATCAACGTTTGAAAACAAAGAAACCATCTCATTGTCAATACTACGCGTTATTAATTGAGATTGCTAAGAATAAACAAAGGGAAGGTGTCATTTTCTGAAAATTCAATGACACCGTTCCAAAGCGTGGTGCAAATCCATTACTTTAATCTAAATACTATAATAAATTAAAAAATAAAAAATAAAAAATTAATATAGTATTACTATTATCATTATAGTCTTCAGTTTCAAAATGTGGTCTTTTCATTTTGAAATTTGTAATAAAGTTGTCACTTATTACTAGGACTCTATTATTAATAAGAGTTTACAAATCACCCAAACACTATTTTGAAAAGAAATTGAAAATCAAACGGAGTGGCAAAAATTATTTATATTCCCAAATTAACCCTCTTTCTCTGTTTTTCCCTGTGCGCGTTAAATCTCACACACACACGATCTTATTGCCAAAGTTCACGAGAAAATCAAACATTCCCATTCTTTTGTGAACTGCTCTCTCTTGCAGTTTCAATTATCTCCTGATTGTATATATATACACACAAACACACACTCAGGAAAAGTCGATCACGAAGTCGGGTTGAAGCAGCTGCTCAACTCACGTTTCTTTCTTAGAATTAGAATTCTTAGTTGAACAAGAAAGTGATTTTTTTTTTTTTTTTTTTTTTTTTTTTTGTGATTCTCATCTTTTTATCATCGCCGTTTCCTAGATCTTTCTCTTTAAGAGTTCCTTTTCCCCCTGCCAGAGTTTTACCCATCTATCTCCCAGGTGCGTTATTGTCTCTCTGTAAATATATGTTTATAGATGTATATTGGTTTGTATATTTGAATCAGTGAATTTTTTTAGTTTTGACGAATTTCAAGGAATTTTATTGAAAATTTGAGGTATGTGTAAGCTTGTTTATTAATCTGAGTTCCCTTTATGTTTAGGTAAATGTTATTGGAAGTTATATGATGTATCTTTGGATTTAAGTATGGTCGATTTTTTATTGATTTCATTACTGGATATTTGGGTTTCTGTTGCATATGTTATGTAAATTTAGTTGAATGTGGGGTGGATCAAAAAGTGTACACGGTGACTTGCTTCTGGAGGTACACAGTTGAGGAAATGAATTGGGGGTCTTTGAGTTTGTATACTGCATATCCTAATGAAGTTACAATTGTCAAAGGGGCACATGGTTGGTTGCTTAATGCTTGCTTGATTATGGGCTCACTTTTGGAGGGTAATGAGGAAGGAACTACATGTGACCTGATGGCCCTTGAATTTCTCACATTGAACTTAATGGATTTTCTACTTGTTGGGTTTCTGTATAAGAGTCAAGAGAGGTGTTTGTTTTGGTGTGTGGGGGCTTTCGATTATTATTATTATCAGTATAATTATTGTGATTTCTTTTTGTGGGTTTGTAGATTTTGGCATCTCTCATCTGAAAGAAGGCACTTGAGAGGTTTGGATGTTTCTATGGGGGAGAGAGTTGAGAGTTGAGAATTGAGAGTGAGTGTTTTCTGTGAAGGTAAAAAATGGGGAAGGTCTTCCTCTTATTATTATTGTCTCCGGGTCGATTTTGCCATCTGAATTCATGACATTATGCATTTTGTATGAGCATTTTAACCTGGTGACTTCATTGAATCACAGTTGCTACTTTTGGTTGCGAGTTGTGTGTTTCATCTTAAGGATTGCAAGCATAATCTACTCAAAAATTATTATTAGCTTATTAAATCTGCTAAATGATCTGGAGTTAACTTTCCCTTACAATTGTTTTTAAAATAATTTAAGATTTGTACTGGAATTATAGTACAACCATTACTTTGTTGTATGTTTACTTTTCATTTGGTGTAAACCAGTGTTTGAATAATTAATATCCTTATCTGCATTTAGTTCCGCTACTTAAGGTCCCATTGTACTTCCATGACGGTTTCTTTTCTGAAGGAGTGACTAATTTCAACTTATTGAACAATGCAGAGCGCCTCTCACTGTCTACATTCCAGTTTCTTTTGTCGTGAATACAGAATCAGAAGATTGTAAATAACATGAAAAATCTTGGACGCAGGTTCTAAACTTTTGATGACTATTATTGCTTGAACTTTCTGATCCTATTTTTTTTACATGTATTAGCAACTTATATATATATATATATATATTTCCTAATTATAATATTACACTCGTGTTCATTGCAGTGCAATTGTTAGGAAACCGAACGAAAGTATGAGGCTTATTGTAACAACTTTTGTTGGAGTTGTTTTCGGCTTCTTCATAGGAGTATCATTTCCGACTCTTTCATTAACACAGGTACACAAATTTTGCTTCCTGCTTTATCTACTGTTTCGCTTTCTTTCTGTGTAGTCCACGATTTAAATCCTTGTTAACTTAATGATGACATATTAGATCATGTGATAACACTTCTTTTTGGTCCAAATTTGGCAGCTGAATCTCCCATCCAACCTTCTTCCTTCACTTGATTTTCCACACTTTGAGAACAAGAATTCAGGAATCTGGACCCTAAAATATTTGAATGCTTGGTCTTCTATGAACGCTAATAGGAGCAACTCAACTCAAGCTCACAACTTGAATGATACAATGAAGGTATACTTTTTATAATTGATATTTAGCATGAGCAGAAAATCTGGTGCTTTTAAAAACATTGTTGAGATTTTATAGCAACCTAAGAAGTTTTTTTTTGTTGTTGTCGTTGTAGTCGTCAAGGCAACCAAAGAGTTTGAATCTGATTTTTTTCAACTCTATCATCATCATCTTGTTGTCATCATTTCCCTGGACTCTAATGGAATAAGTCGGCAACATAAATTCTCTTCATCCAATTTTTTCTATTATAAGTTATGTCTCGTATTATATCTGATTTTGTTAAGATCTTTTCTTATTACTTCATTCCATTTAACTTTTAGTCGGCCTTTTTGTATCTTCCCTTTAATTTTAATAAATCCTTCTTCTTTCAATGGCATATTTACCGGTCTACGTTGTCGTTGTATGTGTCTATACCACATACACCTGCTTTTTCTTATTTTACAAATAATACGTGTCACTGCTAATTTGAACTTAACTTATTGATTACTAATTGTTTTTCTTTCAGTTATGCATATCATTCATCTCAATATTCCTATTTCGGCAACATGAATGTGTTCATGTTTCTTCATGTTCATATCATATAAATTTCACTAATTATATAGAATGCCACTAACTTGTCTCCATTTTGTCTAATATATGTTCCAATCCTAGTTGTTATATAGTCATCTATCTTCCTGTCCATTTATAGTAGTGACACTAAGTATCTTATGTGGTATTTGAAGTAATCCTTTGTCTTGATTTGTTATCGTTATATTGTTACTCTTTATACCTATATTGAATTTACATTTCAACTCAACTCAACAAAGCCTTTTCCTAACAACTTGGGATTGGTTACATGAATTCTATTTTTCCATTCCGCTCTATCCAACGCCATAGCCTTGGTCAAACACATGTTATCATATATTTCTTAGATTTACATTTCATATATTCTATCCTAGTCCTACTAATTTATAAACCTCTTGATATATTGTTGTATAAATTTGAATTTTTTGAAGTTTCTTTCTTTAAATACTAGGATTTCTTTGGAAGTTTCTAACAAAACTATATTATCAACAAAAGGTATAACCTCCCTATCCTTAGGACCTCAACGCGGCCCCTTGGGGTGGGGGGGGGGGGGGGGTTTGGTGGGGGTGGGCATGGGCAAAAATGTGTGAGTACTTACTTGACCAAAAAAACAAAAGAAAAAAACTATAATATCAACAAATCACATGCACGTTAGAATGTTTCCTTGTAAAATGTCGTTATTTCATCTAAGTATGGATTTAGTGTTGATTATTGGTATACCCCTACTTGTATAGAAAAATCATTTATCTTGATTTTTGTAACAACATTAATAGAAATTTCTTTTTTAATAGGGCCAACCAAATTATATCCTTGCTATTTATGTTATGTTTATGAGTTTATGAAAACTATGTGTTTATATATATATATATATAAATTACTTCTCCCATCTCCATGAATTGTCTTATTTTAGTAAATGGCCTCCATAGTAGATGTACTTGGAATAGATCCAATTAGGTTATTGGATACTGTTGAGTCTTCCCTTAATCTTTGTTCCTTTAGCATATCTTATAATTTCATGGTAGACTTGCCAATGGATCGAATTTTGATCCAAATCCGATTCCATAACTCGAATATAGATTGGAACATTCAATCTGATAGCGTGGTTAGCAATCCGAATCCGATAATCCGTTAGCTAAACAAACCGGATATCTTGTACGTATCTTTGATACTTTAAAAATTTTAATTAAATTAATTTCTTTTCTTTGTACTTTATCCTCGTTCTCTTATCTTATGTAGTTATGTCTTCTCTAAGTCTATGAAAATCATTTATATTCATAAATCTTCATTTTTTACTTCAGCAATCTCCATTAATTGTCTTGTTAAGGAAATGACTTTCATAGTAGATATACCTGGCACTATTACCATAGACTCATTAATTTAATTTTTCTGTAATTTCTATACATTTCCTTTATTTTTATGAATTAATACCATACTGTTCCGTTCATTTGGCTGCCTTATTGAATGTATGTATTAACCATTCAATTTGACATTTCCAAGGTTTACAGGCCTCTATAAATTCTACAACTTTACCATTTTCCATCATTTGACTGTTTCTTCTGCCTCTCTATTGCCAATTTACTTATCCAATTACTCTTAATTTCTCTTTGGAATATTTCTTATTTAGTTATAAAATTTTTTTTCCATCTATCTAAAATCTCTTTCTGTTTAATTAATTTTTGTTTAGTCAAATTTCTTAATATATCAAACTTGATCCATATCTCCAGTCAATGTGTCTCTACTTTTGCAATTTGTACATTGTCTTCTTTAACCTAGTTTTGCATATTAATTATCTAACGCCATTTTATTTAGCTTTCTTTAAAACTTTCTACCTCTCTTCTTCTTCTCTTTTTAATTATTTTTTTCTTATATCGTTCTAAATTGTCTAATTTGTTTCCTACAAATCCGTGGCCTTCATAAAACAGCGTTTCTGGAATTCATTTCATAACTACGTATGAAATTATTGCCATGTTTCTTGCAAATAGAAAAAGTTTCTCACACTCGTTAATTTCTGTCTATCTATCTTTGGGCAAAGAACTAGAGAAGGCACTTATGGTGGTTGGTTGGTTGGAACATTTACTGCAATGTGGATACATGGTACATTAGTTTCCTTGTATATAAAGAATATTCCCTTTTTCCCCCTTTCTTTAGTATACAAATCTATTATCGATTGAAGCATGGTGAGGTAGAAATATTTACTGTTTCAGGTGGTAGGGAATCCATGGAAGATAGGAACACTAGAAGGTAATGACAGGTTGGAAGGGAAAATCAGCAGGAAATTGTTATTATGTGAAAAAGGAGGGAAAAAAAAAAAAAAAAAGTGTTGCCATTTTCTTTCCTTTTTTTTTTTTTTTTTTTTCCCTGCATCTTTCTCGATCTACAAACTGTTGTAGAAGGTGGACAGCAAGCTAATATTCTAGGAAAGATAGAGCATCAAAATATTAAAAAGTAATGTATAAGAATTAGATTCCACTACCTTGCACGAAATATTTGAACCTTCCACCTGATTTCTGCTCAAGAGTTTGCAAGTTTCCAACAATCTTTGAGAGTTTTAACTCTTAAAATACAGTCTACCCTACTAACTGTGTACTATCATGGAATATTTCCATTTAATACAACATTAGCTGATACATATTTTGTTGCATTTGTAATAAAAAAGAGTGTGTCAGATGCTACCCACATCCTAGTGTGGAAAAGTAACAAGTAGAACTCAGTATTTTTTTCATGTAGCTCATTTTATTGCAGCTTCAGTATCATCATGCTATTTTGATGCTACTAATATCCTGGTGAGAGGAACAATGTATATCTATCTTTCACACTTGTTGCTTCCGTTGTGATTTTGATGCAGATTTGGGTCCCAACAAATCCTCGAGGTGCTGAAAGACTACCCCCAGGCATTGTTGAATCTGAATCGGACTTATACCCTCGAAGATTGTGGGGTAAACCCAGTGAGGTAAGTGTCTTCTGTTGCAACCTTCATGTGCATTATTGTAACTGTCTTTGTGTGTGTATGTGTGGATAAGTACTGTCATAGCTGCTTGATGGTAGTAACAGATATTGAGACAAATTCTTCCTTTGAACTTAAATTATGAGGTGGCAGTATTGGGAATGATCATTGATGTAGTTGAGTTTTCTTGTTCTTATAATAAACAAGACACTAATTTTGATGTCCGTGACCGAAGAGTGAGAATGGATATGTTATGTAATGTGCGACTGAATGATGCTTGTTCTACCTTATAATGATGCAAGCAACAATATGGCTAATTATGTAGGGGTTTTAGATTATTGAGCATTTATTGTACACAAAGAAGACTGGGAATTCAAGAAGAATAGAAAACCATTTTAAAGTATATTTTAAAAAGGGCAAACCTAGTGCATGAGACTCCCGCCATTGGGGGGTCTAGAGAGAGGATCAGATGTACACAGCCTAACTTCCGCATGCGGAGAGGCTGTTTCCTTTTTTCGAACTCGTGACCACCAGGTCACAATGGAGCAACCTTACCGTTGCATCAAGGCTCGCCCTCATTTTTAAGTCTATTTCATTTTTAGAAATGGGAGTAAAAAGTTTAATTTGCTTTGTAGTTGTCACTAACCAGGGTGATGTACCAAATATTTTCTCTAAATATTTGACCTCTGATGTTTAAATATTGGGACATGATAAACTTTTGATTAAATTGTGTGGTGTTTGATCAAATTGGCATTTGCAGGACCTAACTATAAAACCGAAGTATCTTGTTACCTTTACTGTTGGTATTGGTCAGAAAAATAATGTTGATGCAGCAGTCAAAAAGGTCATTTCTCTCTCTCTCTCTCTCTCAACCCATAAGTTTGTTTCTCCTTCAGCTCTCTCTCGCAACCAATATGTTTGTTTTTCCTTCAGTTCTCAGAGAACTTTACCATACTTCTGTTTCATTATGATGGCCACGTAACTGAATGGGATGAGTTTGAATGGTCAAAGAGAGCTATTCATGTTAGTATACGGAAGCAAACGAAATGGTAAGTAAATTCTGAAAAAAAAACATATATATACAAGTAAATTTGTAGTTTCCTGGAGGTCTGAGGTTCTTATAGGTCCATCTTTGTATCTTGCTTATACCCTGAAATTTTATCCAAGGTGGTATGCAAAACGGTTTCTGCATCCTGATATTGTGGCGGCATATGACTACATATTTATCTGGGATGAAGACCTGGGGGTTGAGCATTTTAATGCTGAAGAGTGAGTGTAAAAACACGAAATCTCATGTTTATAACTGTTTTGAATTGACACAGAGATTCACAACTTTGTCCTCTCCTTTTTCTCCCCTCAATTCCAGATACATAAAACTTGTGAGGAAGCATGGCTTGGAGATTTCACAGCCTGGTTTGGAACCTAACAGAGGGTTAACATGGCAAATGACGAAGAGAAGAGGTGATCGTGAAGTTCACAAGTAAGAATGTTGATACTGTCAGAGTGAATCTTAGTTTGTCTTCTTTCTGATAATTTTTTTAACTGATGAATTGATCTTATTTCCGCTTGTATTTTGTGTTTGTTTTCTATTTTCTAACCAGAGAAACAGAGGAGAAACCAGGCTGGTGCAGTGACCCACATTTGCCTCCCTGTGCAGCGTATGAATAATTTTTATTATTGTTTTGTTATTGCTGCTGCTACATATTCACTTCTTCTGTTCAGCACAGCAGGATATGATAGTGGAATCTGATAATTCCTACTGTTTCCTTCTCTGCTGGCAGATTTGTTGAGATCATGGCTCCTGTGTTTTCTCGAGATGCATGGCGCTGTGTGTGGCATATGATTCAGGTATGGAGTATAATATTATCATTATTTTTGTTCATTCTTAGAACTTGTTTGTCCTCAAATGATTCCTCTCTCTCAATTTCTCTAAATGGTAAATGCTTTATTATGGGTGTTGTAGAATGATTTGGTCCATGGATGGGGCCTTGATTTTGCTCTCCGAAGATGCGTCGAGGTCAGTGACCCACTCTTTCAGTCTTGTCTTTCTCCTGTTATTTACTCCCGATAATGCAATAATATCTAAGGCATTAATGAGTATATTTTTTTTCTTGAATATAGCCTGCTCATGAGAAAATTGGAGTTGTAGATTCTCAGTGGATTGTCCATCAAAGTGTTCCTTCACTCGGGAACCAGGTAAAAAGAAAGCATTGGCCAGCACACGCACACAAACACAAACGTGTATATAATATATATATACATGTATATATGTTTCTACATAATAGAATACAGTATTCAAAAACCTTCTCTCTTTTTGGTAGGGGGAAGCAGAGAATGGGAAGGCACCATGGCAAGGGGTATGCTATGTCATCTTACTCTTTTTTCTCTCGTTTTGTTATATGTTGAGGGACATAATTTGTTGTATGCATGTTTTCTCACGCAGACTTGGCTCACATCAGTTTATCTTGAATATGGTCTTTTCAGCATATATGTAGTTACTGATTGATTAAGATTAATTTGTTGATGAAATGTATTGTTGATCTGTCTTTGGTGCCAGGTGAGGGATAGGTGTAAAAAAGAGTGGACAATGTTTCAGAATCGTGTGGCGAATGCCGAAAGGACTTATTACAAGGCAAAAGGAGTTGATCCACCAAATTCTACAAATCACTAGGTGCGGCCGATAGCAGAAGCTGCTGACTGTATACAATGGGATCACCATCACCGGCATTAGTATGCCTAGGGCGTTACGGATAGATTTATACTATCCAAAATTGTTATTGTAGAGAATTTTATTAGTTGTTATTAGGGTTTAAGAATCAATAGGTACACCTAAATTCTTTTCAAAGGCGGATACGAATTGTTGAATGACAGTGGTCCACACAAATGACCACAAGGTAATCCATCCAGTTTTATATTACTACTCTAGATGGAAATGCAACAATTCTCATGTTCATATGCTTGTTGGGGGTGAGTCTAACTCGACTTAGGGTCTGTTTGGAAAGCCCATTACAGGGCTAGCCAATAAAAAATCAATATAATTAGATCTTGATTGAGAAGTATATTGTTGATGAATACAAACCTGAAAGGCAAAACTTAATACCGGATTGCAGATTTCTGGAATTGTTTCAAATTTTGTATTAGTTTCAGCTGTCCAGGGCTGGTTATTGGGTATACGAATTCATTTCTGTTCTTTCCAACAGAGGATTCATCTGCAATAAAAAGAAATTCTTGGATCAGTTGAGCACATCCAAGAAAAGCACTAAAATAATAAAAATAAATAAATAAAAATGAAAGATGAAGGAAATGTAGAATAAAATCATGAGTCATAGAAGTATGCAATGCTTGCTTTAGTTTTGTAATTTGCATGTTACTGACATGGTTTTATTGTTGGACAGCTTTTAATCGGGAGGTCATCATGTCTGTTACGCTTACCTATTAATCGGGAAATAAAGAAGGTTGTTTGTTAAATAAATTTTTTATTTTTTTTTATTGACAAGTTCGCACCATCATTTTGCGAACTTGAACATGTAGAGGAGATACGTAAATAAAATTGAAATGATTATTTACTCTCCCCCCCTCTCTTTTATTTAACTCTATTATTGTAATAAATCAGGAATTAGGGAATCAGAAAGTATATATTATAATCGGGTTTATTTAATTAATATACTTTTAGTACTTGATATTTAGATGACATAATTTCTCTTTTTTAAAAAGAGAAATTAAGTATTATTAATGGCGGTCTCATTTCAATTTACCCTCTCATACCTCTAAATCTCAGAAGACCCACTCTCCACCGCCACCACCGAAACCCCCAAACCCTCTATTTTCCGATTCTCCCAGACGAACCCAAAATGGGTTCCTATGTACTCATCAAAGCCCTCCAAATCGTGACAATGAATTGCTCGATATAGTCCCCATCGACGCCCGGCGAAATTTGGAGAGGAGTGATCGGCACAGTCGCCAATTGTAGAGGTAATTTATATACTCCAGTTAATGAAAGTTTAGTAGTCAATTACTCTACAAGGAAACAAATATGAGAAACTGTCCTGAAAAAAAGAAAAAAAAAAGAAAAAAAAAAGGGGCTAAATTTCCAAATCCCACATCGATTAAATAGTACTCGAATTTTAAATTAATAATATGCAGTATTGCTTTGCAATATCGCCGAGTCCAGTAGCGTGGGCTTGTGACCAAGCGGGGCATTAAAGTGGTTGAATGTGCTAGCTGAGTCTTTCAGTCCAGGTGGGTGCACCCTTCTTCGACTTCCTCACCAAAGTGGTTCGCACCCAACCCACCATGGGTTTAGTAGCAATCAACTCTCAATGAAAATTGTGTTGAAATTGGGGTTAATCGGAAGGCCCCCACAACCATGCCATGAACAACAATCATGGAATCCATGGTTGACAGAAGACTGGGTAACCCTACCTAGCGCACCAGCTGGTCTGACCCTGACCTCACACAACCTCTTTTTGGTTTGTGTATGAATTTTCACTCTCTTATGGTACACACACACATACATGTGCATTTATCTTTTTGATTGCATAAAATTATCGTTGATGAATTCTTAAAAATTCAACAAACTATGGTTGATAAGCTATTGCTTACAATTTTATTTTATTATTATTATTTTTGTGTGTGTGTGAAAGGTAAGCTATTGGTTACATTTGTACTTGAAAAACAAACTTTACGTTTGGAACCATTTTAGATAATTGTTGCATAAAGATTAAGATTGATGATTTCTTTGAAAATTCAACAAACTATGGTGGATAAGCTATTGCTTACAATTATTTATTTATTATTATTTTTAATATATATATATATATATATATATACACATATAATGTGTGTGTGTGTGAAAAGTGAGCTATTGGTTACATAATTACATTTATTCTTGAAAAATTAACTTTACATTTGAAACCATTTTTTTTTTTTTTCTTAATTGGGACTAACACACATTGCTTCCACTGAGATTCGAACCCCTGACCTCCCTTTGAGAAGTAATAGCTTTATACCGCTACATGTTGGTATTTGAAACCACTTTTAATATTATATTATGATATGATGTTTTCCTTTATTATAGGGTAAAGTGCATTAAACCCCCCTAAACTATACCTCAATGAGCAAAAAACCCTCCTGAATTTCAAAATGAACAAAAAACCCCCTTAAATTATTTAGTTAATTGCACTTTACCCAATCCGGCAACCGGCCGATCAATATCCTTGCACGTCAGAGGCCAAATTTATGTAAATGACTATACAACCCTTATCAAGCCCTAACTATTTCACTCATCATCTTTTTCCTCCATTGATCTGTTTGGATTTACAGAACAACAATAAAAAATCAAAATCAAAAAATCAAAACCTATTTACAGAACAAGAAGCTTGGATTCATCCTTGCCGGCCACTCCTCTCCACCGCAGCATTTCTTCCTCACGGCCGAGCCCTGGTGAAATGGGAGAACTGAGAGATTGAGCAATGGTGAAATTCCCTTTCCTGATTACTCTAATTGAGTCCAATTAAAGGGCATTCAAGTTTTGGGTTGCAAGAATAGGAGATCTTGTGGCCACAAAAGCTTCAAATTAAAAGATAGGTGGACTGAATGGTAGAGACAGCAGCGGCTCAGCCGGTGGAGGGCTCGACTGACTCAGTCTTGAATGACTCGCGGCGACGAGCTTGGCGGGATTGAACGACGGCCTAACTCACGGCGAGCAAGGAGGCTTCAGACGGTGGAGACGATGAAGACGGGCTCGGCGGTTTTGGCTTCGAATGATATCGGTTGTGATGGACAGCGGGTGATGCAGCAGCGGTAATAGACAGGCGAGGGCATCAACCGACGACATGCTCGGTCTTCTTATCGATCGACGACATGTTCAGTCGAACCATACACCACAAGTCGTCAAACCCAATTGAAACCACAAACCCTCCATCATCGTTAATCTCAGATCGGAAATGAAGAAGATGATGTTCGCATAGCCCGATTACCCTTGGAAATAATTCATACCGAACCTCACCATACGTCGTCAAACCCAATTGAAACCACAAACCCACTACCACAACCACCATCACCGCCACCAACATTTTCCACGACCTTTTCTCTCCATCGCCTTGGAAACTCAAACTTTTCATTCTAATTCACAAACCCACTGCCCACTCCCCGCCACCACCATCGCCTCCTCCTCACACATATATTCTGTTCTTGAACCCAACAAGCCCGATGCCTCTCCTCCTCCGGTGCTACCGTCGGTGTACCTTTTCTCTCTCTTTGGTCCCTTTTTTCTCTCTCTACGAATTTCTCTCTCTATCTCTATCTCTATCTCTATTTTGTGGCTTGATAAGGGGTAAAATGGACTTTTCTAATTTTCGGTGATAGGAGATGACCGGAATAACTTTCTCTGTCCTAAGACTGCACTAAGACCATAGTTGAGGGGGGTTATTTGTAGTTGAGGGGGGTTAGTTGCACTTGGAGTATAGTTTAGGGGGGTTTAATGCACTTTACCCTTTATTATATGTATCAAGCCCTCTACAAATCTCGAACAATGTGATATACTAAAGTAAAACATCATAACCACTTTTAGTATTTTGATATGATGTTTTACTTTATTATATGCATCATGCCCTCCATAAATCTCGAACAGTGTGATATACTATAAATATTATACAATCAAACATTTTTTTTTAATTTTTTTTTTTTTATTTTTTATCACAACAATAGATCATAGGCTCCAACAAAATTTTCATCTTTTTTGTCCTTTGGACTGAACGTGATCAAATTGGACTGTTATTTTGATTATTGTGTGTAAGTATGTTTTTTTTTTAGGGTTAATTACAGCGACATCCCCTGAGATTTGATGTATTGGCAGCCATATACAATTTAGCTATTTTTTGGACAAAGACACCCCTGTGATTATTGTAATCCAAACAATCCTTTAAAACATTGGAAAAGACGATATGGTCCTTCAATTTAAATTCATTTTTATTGCAAAATATCTGAACTCATAAAAAGTTAAATTTGTCCTTATATATATACACACTACATACACTATTGCCCATATATATATACACATATGGAATAACAGAGAGGAAAAGAGGAGCAGCAGCATCGCCATCACTACCACCCACCATCGCCAGCCGTCGCCACCACTACCACCCACCATCGCCAGTCATCGCCACCAATACCACCATCACCCACCATCGCCGCAGATCGATGTCACGTATTGGTTTTTACTGGCCGACGGCCGCAACGAATCGTCGATTAGCACCCTGATCATGGAATTGGTCTTCTTCATTTGTAGAAATCAATGGTGGGTCTTCAGGCTTTTTGGCGTCGTTAAACAAGAAGAGGGGTGGGTCTTCGGGGTCATTGAAGAAGAAGAAGAAGAGGGGTGGGTCGCCACCGCAAAAACCCCAAGTTCCACCGTCCGATAAAGATCAAATCAGTCCGAATTGATTCACAAAATTTCGCAAACCTTAGAGGGTGGAGGAGCTAGCTTTGGTATCATCCTTTCATGGAAGATAAAGTTAGTTCCTGTTCCAAAAATTGTGACAATTTTTAAAGTTACTAAGACCTTGGAAGAAGGCGGAACAAAGATCCTCTACAAATGGCAGCAAGTTGCAGACAGGCTCAATGAAGATCTCTTCATTAGAGTCATCATACAACCGGCAAATACCGGTAAGAAAGCTGATCAGAGGACTATAAGCATTACCTACAATGCAATGTTTCTTGGTAAAACTGATAGACTCCTAAATATAATGAATGAGAACTTCCCGGAATTGGGGTTGCAGCGAAATAAGTTGGCTTTAATCGGTGCTATACATCGCCGGCTATCCAAGTACTATACCCCCTGAAGTTCTACTCCAAGGGAAGTCAACATTCAAGAACTATTTCAAGGCCAAATCAGATTTTGTGAGAGAACCAATTCCTGAAGATGGCCTAGAAGGGCTCTGGAAAAGGCTCTTGGAAGAGGAAAGTACATTGGTGATATGGAATCCATATGGTGGAATGATGGGAAATATTTCAGAGTCTGAAATTCCTTTCCCTCATAGAAAAGGTGTCATATATAAAATACAGTACCTGACACTCTGGAACGACGCAGACAGTGACACGGCGGCAAAGCACATAGATTGGATTAGGAAGCTTTACAATTACATGGCTGTTTATGTTTTTTTGTTCTCGAGAGAAGCATATGTCAATTATAGAGATCTTGATTCGGGGATGAACAAGAAAGGTAACACAAGTTTCATTCAGGCAAGTACTTGGGGTAACAAGTACTACAAGAACATCGATCTGCAGTTATATAAGGGTGTTTTAGTCTTTTTAAAATGTTTAATATTTTATGGTTAAAATGAATAAAATATTGAGGGTACTCTCGTCTTTTCACATCTTCTAAGGGCATGTTTGGACTCTTAGGGGTGTCTTTGTTAACTTTATCAAACCTAAAGGGGTGTCATTATAAAAAAAACAGCTAAGTTGTATATGGCTGTCAATACATCAAATCTCAGGGGGTGTCGTTGTAATTAACCCTTTTTTTTTTTTCAATAAAAGGACTTCTTAACATGAGTAACAAGGTGATGCGATAAGTTTAGATTTACGTTTTGTGAAAAAAGAATTTTGATTGCATTCAGTGCACCAAATGGTACTGTTTAATTGAGTTGTCGCAAAGTTTAATGTAGCGGCACAACACTAAATACAAAATTCAAGTCGAGTTTCACGTCAATTCGCCAAGACGATGCCAATTAGTGCACCGAATGCACCACAGGACCCTCCAACATAAAGGATCATCTTCCTTTAAAAGAGAGTTTATGACAACAACCATTTCTTTTAACACTGTGGCTCATATATTTTATTCATAATTCAATGTTAGAAACAATGAATGCATTTGCAATTAAAGGGGCTCCTATATTTCATTCATAGTTAAATGTTGAAGCAATGAATGAATTTTCAATTGAAGGGCTAGCTTATGAAGCTGTCCCCATTGCAATATTATCATTTTTATAGTATTAGGACTTTCAATTTATATAGATATAAAGTGTAAAAATAACTCATTCTATATGAAAAATGTGTAAGAAATATCTTCATTTTAAAAAATGCATATAAACTCTTATATTTTAAAAAATTGTCGCAAATTAGCCCTGATCAATAATTTTGGCCAATTTTTTTGTAAAATCCCAAAATACCCTTAAATGAATTTTAGGTATTTTTTTGAATGAATAAAAAAATAAATAATTTTTTAAATTTTATTTTATTTATTTATATTTTGTCTTGAGAATACTTTAAATATTTCAATCATCAAATTAAAGAATTATTTTTATTTGCGTTATTTGAATAATATAAGGGAATTTTTTAATTTGCACATCCGTTTGTGCTTTATCCATATATATGACTAATAACGTCGGCCCGCCCACTTTCAGACGCGCTCGAACTGTGTGTGTTGTACAGGTTTTTATTTATTTTTATTTTTATTTTTGGAATTTGTTGTACAGGTCTTTCATATCACTACGAAATGTGCGTTTATTGCCTACTTTTCCACATTTGATAGCTTTGGAAATCTAAGGAAACTTCCACACAACTGGTAACTTGCAGCTGTATTTTTCGATGTCTAGTAACATTATTTAGTTTCGGTTTCGATCAATGATGTTACAGTTTCGATTAATCGTCTTGTCTTTTTTATCAATTACGTTATAATATCTTTATTTCAAGTCTCAATTTCTCATATTTTATCTTCGAACTATCTTAGATGATGTAACCGGATTAATCAAAGACCATAACAAAATTATTTCAAGTTTATGTTTGACTGGATGACATGGCAGAGCCTTAAAATTAAAAATAATAAAATTTTAAAAAATATTAATTCAATTTCTAATTTTACCATTTCCAATTTTAAAATTTTAACTGTGTAGTATAACCGAACATCCTCAACGTAAATGTGACATAACACAATAATATAGTAGCACCAAAAACACATGCAACAGAAAATCCTTTCTAATGGACACGTGGCGAGGGTTACTCCAACCTTAATCCCAATGATCACCATCTCACCTTAAAGGCCAACACGTGTTGGCCACGTGTAAAAACTGACCCCAACCTGGTCAACTTCTAACCATGGTTAACAGATTCTTGGTTAGGATGAACCCACCCATATTTATCAGCAACCCCAAGCAGGTCTCTGTGTGAGCTGCCCTTGCTAGGCTTGCTTTATTTTTCTGTGTGTGTGTGTGTGTTTTTGGTAACAGAGAACATGGGGCTATCAAACTTCCCTAGCCCAGTTGAAGGGTTGCTTCATTTGGTAATACTAATAGTGAATACAATTTGTTCAGTGGCACCATTCAAAAACATGGTCAGATCGGCTCAACAAGTGATCATGACCACTGATCATAGTGTGACCCCTCCTCCTCCAGCAAATTCAGAGCATCAGCCTTCCTCTACTACTGAATTGTGTCCACCAATGTCAAGAAGGGTATCGATAACCCGGTTCGGATCATTACCAGACAACAGCTCTAACGATCATGGTCTTGCCAGAAGAACTAGTACTGGCAATACATGGTGTTCAACAATGGAGTGTTGTGTGTGCCTCTCTAGGTTTGAGGCTGACGAGGAGGTCAGTGAATTGTCCTGCAAGCATTTTTTCCACAAGGCTTGTCTCCAAAAATGGTTTGATAATCATCACCATACTACTTGTCCTCTCTGTCGATCCATCCTCTAAATTTTACTAGGTTTTTTTTTGGGCTTTTCTCCAGCTTCATGACAGTCTTGTGATATGCCTACTCTGTGTGTGTGTGTGTGTGTGTGTGTGTGTGTGAATAAATTTTAAAGATAATAGAAAATAAACAGTTACAAGCTGTTCTCTTTACCTCAATTCAATATAGTTTCTGAACTAAATCATTACTTTATAATATTGTTAAAAAGAAATCTTCTCTTCTTTTGTGCTCTATTGATAAAAGTTATCCTCTTCCAAAAAATATATAAATAAATAAATAAATAAAGGAGTATAATTTTAGGTGGAGAATCCGAATATAGTATATACCCAGTGGGCCTTTGTATGACATGTGACAGTTCAGTTGTGACCTAAAAGATATTTATCAATTAGAGATATGAAATTTGTGGCTTTGATGTAGGACTCTAGGTAAGCAACCAAGTTCGTTACAATAGTTGTACCTAATTTGTAATTCATGATCAAACCTACAATCTGCAAAATGTTTGCCTAATTGATTAACTTTGTTAATTAGTACATTGATCAAACCTACAACATGTCGCTGCATAGAAGGTGAATGTCCATTTTCATGATTATAATTAATGTTAGGTCCTAAAGGAATCTATTATAAACATAGAAAATTTGTACATTTCATCAAAGATTACTGAATTTTACATTTCATGAATTGAAAAAATTGTAAAAAATCTAATTTGATGAGTAGTGCCAATTTTAATGGACCATGAAGAAGCCCTGCCAAAAGTGGCATATAGAAGTTGATTTGTCAGCCTTAATAGGGCCATCGTGACAAATGAACAAATTGGCATTGCAGATCAGTTAAGTTTGGAAATTTTGACCTTTGCCCAGAAATTTAAAATTTCATTGCACATAAGGTCCAAAAATGAAATTCGGCATATTACATTGCGACCAGTACAAAGAAGAAAAAAACCATGGTAGTCACGGATTGTATTGCGACAATAATTCTCTGACATGCCAACCTCACAAAATAAAATAGTTTATCAAAGGTTGTCACAGGACTCACGTGCTATGTCCTTCACTTTTTGTCTTTTTCTCCATATTTTGAACCTCTTTAAACGCAAACTCTATTGTATCCGTTTGTCCATGTTTGTATGCTTCCGCTAGCCCACTCCTGAGTGTGCATAAGAGGCACCAGAAAGTAATAGTATTATGCAGTTGAGAATGGGTTTTCAAGTAGAAGGCTAAAAGGGTTGGAGGTCATCTAGTAACAAAGGTCCATGCTATCTACCCCCATTTCTCTTCCTCTCACTACAATTTTTGACTGCCTACGGGGCTCAAACGCCCAATATTGTGCCCCCAATATTCCCGAAAGGGGAGGAGAGCTAATACTATCTAGCATTCCCGTGAGGAGAGGAGAGCTAATACCATTTGGACAAGAGCCCATTGGTTATAGATTCAACATTATTGAGATTGTTCAAGGAATAAGCATGCATTATGATGAACATAACCAAAGTACAGTATGAAAAGTTATATAACAACACAAATTGTAAAAAAATATATATGAATAGATTAGTCTAACATCAAAATTTCCTTACAAGAGGAAAATCCAGGAACTGTCATAGATACTTTGGGGAGCATAGTTTTCTGGGAATGGGGCGTACATATGTAAAGTAATACACAACTCTTCATGACAACCTAGCTGTTCCCGTCACAGCAACCTCCCCACTAAGCAAATGGATATGCTCCACCGCGAATGAAAACCAACTCTAAAATGACGTTATATACAGAATCTCAACCTAGAATTCATCTGAATTTCCAAATATATCAGAAAGAATGATATAAATAATGCGGCACATGTAGCATGCACAGTTATACTAGTGACACACTGCAGTCATTAGTTGTCCAGTAAATCTCTTCATGGGGAGGTCATGCTACCTGCATCTCCAGCCTTCACCAAAAACGGACAACAGAACTCATCCAAGCAAATCAGCCACTCTCTTTCTCTCTCTTGCAATTCCCAGGCAAGAGAAATTTATAATTGTCAGCATTCTCCAAAAGATAAGCTGGAAGATGAACAGCTGAGTAGGAATGGGGAACAGGTCCCATTTTCCCAATAATTTCCTTGAATGTATACTCCTCTGGTAACATATCAAATAAGTCAGCCCCTTTGCAGATCACGTTCTGAACTCTTGTAGGGTTCAGAAAATGAGAGAACCTCACTCTGTCAAAATGGCTATAAGCTTTCATCTTAAATATGAATTCACTGATGTGGCGAAAGCAAAAGCTACAATGCCATCCTGCATCTGCCAAAATGTCATCAGACTGGCGATAATGTGCATACCTTGTCTGGCCAGACTGATACCGGTGTACCGAAGCTCTCCAGCTATTATTATCCACAAGAAATTCAAAAGAATACAGATAATTCTTCAGCCGAAGATGAATGACTGGAGGTATCTCATCACACCACCTCAACAGATTGATAGTGTGTTGGCTTGGTATCTCATCAACATCAGACATTATCAACAAGTCATCATCTGTAATACCTGCTTGTTTGAGAAGATAATCCAAAGCTATTCGCTGATATGCCTCCTCTTTAAATGGGTTTTCTCCTTTCTTAAATTTCCCTGCAATGTTCCCGTAAGTCAGTCGTGGCTCAACAAATTCGAACTGATGACGATTGCTTTCAAAAACTAAAGGCTTTGGCAGTCCAGTGAATGTTGCATTCGACTCAAGGAGAACAAACTGTGTTACATAAGGGTATAATTCTTTCCATCGTATTGTAAGGATCTCCAGCTCATTGCTAAACAACACAGCATCATAAACACGCCTTGGGAACTCACGGATTCCCCAACCATGAAGTTCACATAATTTCACCATCGACACATTCTCGTGATAGTAGTGAGGAATTTCATGAAATGGCTTGGGTGGCGATTCCCATAACGGCCGTAAAAAGTATGAGATCTTCTGCCCATGAATGTATATGCCGAAGATGCATGTTGGGACCATAATGAACAGGAAGAGGTACGTTTTCAAATCCAATCCTCGCATAATGCATCGCAATCTCGACATACTCAAAACTTTGTTCGACTCCTGCAGATTAAAAAGAATAAAAATTCCTCTAAGACTCATATTGAAGAAATACAAATTTGCCAAGCAATAATATTATACACTGTGTGTGTATATTGAATTGTAGGGCAGATAATTCATTTACAGTGTGCCGAAAAAGCATAATAATAATAAAGCAAATAAACATCTCAAAATATCATTTAGAGATTCATTCAAGCAAAAACCCAAGCCATTACACAAAGCATACTCTCACAATCCATCAAAGATCTTACTTCTACATATTTGGAAAAAGGTATTATATCTTTGCAGGGCATAATCTAAACCAAAACGAAAAAATTAAAACCATATGAGGCATTTTGCAACCAGAGTAATCAAACAATTTAATGCAAATTGAAAATGAAATAAATGTCTAAAACCAAACACCCATATTATAAGATTATCAGAAGCTGTCTCACCATCCAAATTCAAGGATCTAATAACTAAAAAGTGAAAAGGAACATTAGTTCTGATTTTGTGGCTTCATCGGGAAACAGACGTAAATTGAAGCAAAAGTCCTTCATCTTTGTAAATATGTGTGCATAGTACAATAAGAGTCATTAAATTGATAGTTCTAATACCCAGATGTACATGGTTGCGAAACAAACAAATAAGCCTCTGTCTGGACATAAATTGGAGAGAAAATATACATAAATAAGATATAATTTTGTTTCTATCGGACCCAATAAATGGAAAAAACGAAAACTCAGAAAGACAAATCAAACATTGCCACAAACAAATTTTTCCCCCAAAAAAGAAGGAACAGAAATCAAAAAGTGAGATCAATTATCATATCAGAATACTATCAAAAAAAAAAAAAAGAAAAAAAATCTTTTTTTAAAAAATAAAAAAATTACCTCATCGTAGCCATCACCGCATATATCATCAGACTTCTTAGAACAGTATTGAGATCCACCTTCTGCCATCGAATACACTTTCTCACAAAATCTCGATATACTCCACATCCCTCTATCTCTCTCTCACTAGAACACAGAGTAAAACACACACACTCTCTCTCAAGAGCTCTCTCCCAATCTCAGATGTTGAAGATCAAATCAAACTTTGGAATTGGCAAAAACGGTAGATAATAACCAGTAATCGATCGAAAAAATAGGAAAGATGTTCAACTTCTTCGCATCTAAGCTCAATTCCAACCGCTTGATGAGTTGGGGTTCCCTTTCTCTCTCTACACCCAATAAATAAATTGTTCTCACCCAACGAAATCAGAATCGCACCTGGAGATAAAAGCCCTAAAATATCCCCAAATCAGTACTCCTAAGATGTATTATATTTATATCGTTACATATATCTCAAATACGAATAAAATTCTATTAATTAATTTAATTAAAGGACAAAGCAAACGAAGGCTACTAAGGTAAGTTGGGTTGGTCCTGTTGGAGCCTATCTGGCAGTTCTGCCCTGAACATATATTTATATTGAAAGAATCTGTCATTGATTTTACTATATTGCCCTTTTCTAAGTAATTTTTGGATATTTGTTACATGGGTATTTTTGGTATTTCGTAATACTGTTTTTGTCTGGGTCCTCCACGCGGCTCTTGACTGACTCAAGACAACTTTTATGTGTCGTTTGTTCCTTGATTTGTTCACAGGTTTATGCTTAATACCCTAATCAGTCGTTTAAACTGATTTTCGAATTGCAAATTAGATAGTGACATGTGTCATTATCAGGTTTAGAGAACTTGTCAAAGTAGTAATAAATAGGGGATTAAGGAAAAAATCCACATACAATTAAATTTTGGTTAACATTTCTTAGAGACGCGTGTGTGTGTATATAAATGGACATTATTTGTGAGATATTTTAATTTTGATTAAGTAAATGTTCAAATAAGGAGTAGAATTTGGAAAAGTTGATGTCATAACGCGTCATGTTTAAAACCTTCCTGAGGTCAAGTCATGAGAAAAAGTGGGTTGACCATTTTACATTGAATTGAAATTTATATATATAGTTAAAAAAGAAATTATATATAGAGAAATAAATACTAGAAAAATTTAGGGAATAATAATAAAAATGGTAACGGATGGCCAAGAAATGGCCTCCTTTTATCCAAGTATGGTTGGTACCACAAGGCACATGGCTTAATCATTGCCAATTCATGAAGTTCCTCAAAATTATATATCCAAAATTGTCCCTCTTGATTGAGCCAAACTACTATTTTACTAATTGTTGGAGCTTAACATATTCGATAAATCCGGTATGGGCCATTGTCAACTCAAACCTAGCTGGTAGATTGTTTCAATGCTACTTTTGATGGAAAAAAAACACACCCAATGGATGACAACTTATTGATTTCAACGATATTTGATCATTGTTTCCCATTAGTATATTCTGTCAATAAATTTAATTTTACTTGCAATCACACTCGCAATAGCACAAAAAAATGGTTTCTCTAAACCAATATATATATGTGTGTGTGTGTTTAAAAATTCTCTTTTTTCAAACAATTAAAATGGCCTTTTAATTTGAATAAACACAAAGTAGTGGGGGTTAAAAATGATACTTTCGTGTTTGGTTGGAGAAAAGGAAAAAGAGGGAGAAGAGGAGAGGGAAAAATGAATAATTACTACAAATATGTAATTTCTATTTTTGGCATTTCTAAAAATTTTGAATGAATATGTAATTTTATAATTTTATATAATGAGAGTATATTGATAAAAATGATAATACTAACCTACTAATTGGTGTGAAAAAAAAAAAAAAAAAAACAAAACAAAAAATTCAGTCACCAATGAGTAGGTTATCTTTACTAACTGATGACTTGTCCAATTACAAATGTTTTGGAATCAATTCGGTCAACCCCTTTGATTTCCTTATTTATCATATTTTGTATTCACATATCTGCACTTCTGATTGGATCTAATCAACGATCAATACAGATGACTTACTCAGAGGTTTGTAGGCAAATACTCATTTTTCCTCCCTTTCAACCAAAAAATATATATACATTTGTCACCCATCCATCATTTCTACTATACATTTAGTCCAACCAAACAAAAAGTAAAAGAAATATCTTCCCTTCTCTAGGGTTGCCCCGTCCATCTCTTTCATTTATTTTTTTATTCCTCTAATCAAACGGAGTATAAATGTTATATTTAAAATTAAGTACCTACTTAACATCTTGAATTAAAATGTGCCGAAATATATTTTTAAATTTGAACTAAATTTTCATAAATTTCATTTTCAAATTGTGATTTCAATACTCGCAAACTCAACAAAAGAATATCTGCATATGTATTCTTCCACAGTTTACTTCTTTTCTGCTTTGTGTTTTGAAAAACAAAACCAAATAAAAGATCTAAGCCGGCCAGGTTCATTCTAAGTAGTCGTTATGTTGGAAGTTGGAAGTGTTCCAAGTTGAATATTGGAGTCAACTCAGGGAATGGACTAGGAACCACCCTAAATGATTTATCATAATAATTGATCAGTACAAAGGAACAGAAATCACACGTATACAAGTCATGGTGTGATGAAGTGTTCGTAATTTTGATTAGAACGTTTTGTTAGAGTTGTGCAAAGAACAACCAAAACAAAAAAAAAAAACACTTAGAAACGTAATTTGACATGATCAAACACCTTAATATTCAAATGCAAGAAATTTCAAGCCGTATGATAAAACCACGCGTCCTAATTCTGCCTATCCACCGTTTCACACAGTTCACTGTTCATTTAGTAGACATGTGCAATTTGGATTCATTTGAAGCATATGTTTTGTGCATGGAATGGATTTACAGCTCAACACTTAACACTGAAGTCATCAAAACACCAAATAGAATAAAAACTTTTTACAACCGGCTTAAATGGTATTCCCTCTTTTTCATCGTAGATGTTCTTTTGACAAAAAATAAAAACAACCGTTTTAAAAGGTCATGTAATTATTGCATCATTTTAAAATTATTAAATTATTCTTTACAGTTTGAATATATATATAAATTTAAGTTTAAATTTTAAGGATATTTTATAAAAAGATGTAAAATGTATTATTATCATCTCTTTTTTTATCAATCTAATATTTAGATTCATTAGGGCGTCCCGTGCTATATAATAAGAATAATATTTGCCTTAGGCAGCATAAGAAGAAGCCTCCTCCTTATGATGAGTGGTCCAATAAAACATCAACAAGTATTAAAGTTTTAAAAGAAAAAAAAAAAAAATTTATGACTACAAGGAATAGAAATTGATCACCCTCTTTCTCTCTCATGCAACGATATATATTACTTCTGTGTTTTGAATCTAAAATCAATAGAAAAATCTAATAGATCAATTTTTATTGTTTTTATTTGGTAAGAATGAACATGGAATGTTTTGTAGTTTAGGAGAGATTGGGATGAGAAAAAAAAAAAAAAAATGAAGATGAATATGAATATGAAAAGTTTTAAAATTTATATATAAGTGAAAAAAAAAAAGAAGGAAAATTTTAATTTCTATATCAACGAAAAAACCTAATAAATAAATAAATTTATGGTATATATCATTTTCCATGAATCCATGAATTTATAGATCTAATATATATATATATATATATATATATATATATATATATATATATATATATATTATCCTGAACAATGTTTGATTTTAAATTCAAAACACAGAAATAATATCTATCTATGCGTGAGAGAGAAAGAGGCACAGGTTAGTTTCTATTGCCTGTAGTCATCATTTTTTTTTTCTTTTAAAACTTAAACACCTATTGATATTTTATTAGACCACCTCATTATAAGAAGGAAGTTTTTTTTTATGCTACCTAAGGCAAGCATTGTTCATATAATAAAGGAAAAAAATTTGAAAAAAAATAAAAATAAAAAGAAAGAATCCATGTGAGATTATAAGTTGTATGTTTACGTGTATAAACGTATATGGACAGTGAGAGGAGGAGAAGAAACATCAATCAAATAAAAGGGTAGTTTGCTTATATAAAACGTATATGGATACTGAGAGGAGAATAAGAAACGTAAATCAAATAAAAGGGTAGTTTAATCTTACAAATATAAGCTTTTAAAGTTTCACAAAAATAAGAAAGTTTATTAATGACAGTTGTTATGTTGATTCACAATAGTTACAAGTAATTGTGCTCAGCACTCCTCTTGAAATCAAGGGCAGAACTATTGTATGCTTAGGGGTACTTGTTTCCCTTGCATGGCCCGCTTGCTATACATATGATATTTTTTTATATTTTATATGTATATATATATATATGAATTTTTTATATATATAATACCCCTTAAAACTATTAGTTTCTAAAGTTCTCTCTTAATTTTCTAATTTTCCTCATTTACTCTTTAAATTCCTTAAAATAAGGTAAAATTTTCTTACTAAATTAAATTCTAATTTTTTTCCTTTTCAAAGTGTCATTTTTCTTTACCTTTTTTCCTTCTACTCCTTTAAATATATATATTTTTTCTTTAACACTGCACCCTCCCCTAAACTATAATTCTGCCCCTACTTGAGACAATTTATAAAAATAATAATAATAAAATGAATAATTAAATTGAGACATACATTGGCTGAGTTTAGATTTACTCGGTAGTTTGATATTAGTTTGTCTTGATGAGCTGCAAAAAAATGATTGGTGAAAAGGGTATCTATATTAAGAATCAATCCCACCTCAAATGCATCGACCTTTATTTGCATTAGGGTCGCTCTATAAGTTTTCGCAACACGTTATAAAAGTACTTGTCTATTTCAAAGTGGACCATGGTATATAAGCCTAACACCATGCGTGCACTGCACTCACACATATACATTTACACACACTGTATATCGTATATGTGTGTGTATATAAATATAGAGAGAGAGAGAGAGAGGGACCAGGAGGCAGGGGCCCAACCAGCAATTTCCTTCCCATTTCCTTTATTTCTTCCTTGTTTTATAAAGGAGTCAACCTTTCTTCAATTCCTCCCATACACTAGGGTCACACACTCTTCATGCCACATGTCGAAGCTCAAAGACCAACTTGGTAAGTAAGTTGGTGTCTGATACTATTTAATTAGTGTTCGATAATATACAATTTAAAAGTAAGGTGTTATTTGATAATTTAATTTTAAATATATTAAATATTTATTTAATTTAATATCAATTCAACGCTTATTCAATTAAATATGTTTGAATAACACAATTTGAATATTTAATAAATAAAAAAAAATGAAAAGTGCCTCATAAAACAGCCTAATTCCTGGCAAGTTAGTAGCGAAGAAAATGGGAGAAAAGGCAATAATGATGCGCGTAGACGAGGAGGAGGAGGACGTTGGTGGGGGGCTGGGGGTAAGGAGACTTTTGATTGTGTCCAAAAGACTCTGGGGTCGGCAATCACGCTCATTTATATCTCCTCTGTCATTCATTCGCCTCTAAAAGTTGTTGATATTTTAAAGATTGTTGAAAATTTATTTATTACTATTAATAGTCAATACTTTCCAAAGATGTTCCCCTGGACTAACCACTGCCACATGCCAACCTGTTCCAGTGCTTATTTCACCCTGTCAATATATATATATATATTATTTGTTACATCATTCCCTTAAATATATGTACTTAACTATGCATGCATGAGGTGAGCACTTGTGGACGGACCGTTCAATGTAAGAAACAATATTGTAGTGTTTGATGGTGCAGTGTTAGGTCGACAAATCAAAAACCAAAACAAAGGGAAAAAACAATTTAAAAGTAAATGGATGGAGCAATATACAAGAAGAGAATAAAATTACTTTGGTTTCTCGTACTTTATTGTTTAATATATATTTTATTATTTTGCTTTAAAATGATCAATTTTACAAGTATAAAAAAATGCCTCTAGCTACATTTTCGGTGTAGACTTGCAATACAACAAAATAAAGTTTTACACTTACATAGTCAAGTATGAGACAGACGTGAATAGAGAGAGACAGACGAGTTGTTCATCGATGTTTTCCATAGAATTAAGCATAAATGATTCGGAGTTCGAACTAAGATACAAGAAGCATTTTATACTGGAAATGAAAATAATAATCTAGTAAAAAAGATACTAATTGTGCTCTTTAGAAGCTATTCTTTATACTTTTATTCTTTAACCCCTTATTAAGTGGGACCAACACTTTCTTGTTCACGTTTAGGACCAAATGCTCCATGTATGAGTAATCATATGATATGATATTTGTTATATAAAACACCAAAAAAGAAAAGATGAAATAAGTGAAAGCTGGTAGGAATCCATGAAACAAGTAAAAGGACCTTTCAAAGACATCTCATGTGCTTGGCTTTCTCCCTTTGAGCATTTTCCCTTGTGCATCTCCTTTTTATTGGAGAGAAAAAGCTTCAAATATCAAAAGATGTGTCCCAGAACAAAACTATAATAAGGGAAGGCATTTTGCTCTCCTCTTAGAGAGCAAGATGTTGATTAAAGATGCCAGCTATATCCATTACCAGATGCCTAAAGGTTCCTAATCAACCTGACTCTTACTCGATCTAACCCGAGCTTGGGTTGAGCAACCAGAGCGGTTTGAGCAATGTTTTGAACCATCAGAACATAAAGCAGACAATTACAGCCCCAAAACACCCAAGTAATATTACATTGAAGCCAAATGGTATCTCCTCTGCCTCTCAAAGTATAATGTGAGGGTTCAAATTCCTATAGGGACAAGTGGGTGCATGTGTTCTTGCTAAAGAATAAATAAATAAAAATATTCCATTGAAGCCTAATTTGCTACTTTCTATACTTGGTATTTCCATAAAATCTGGTTACACACTCTCATCAATGGTGTCTATGGTAAAATTACTGAATGAATTCTACAGTTTCTGGACAAATGATTCAGTCATCATCATTGTTATAGTTTATAGAATCACTGAAAAGGATTTACTAGGGAGAAGAATAAAAAAACAGAAGTATTCGCCGTACTAAAGACGGACAAAGCCCAGGAGATGAATATTTTGGATGGGATTGAAAAGAAACTCCCAGAATTGCTGATGCATATTATTAGTGTGCCATGGAAAGCCCTTCCTTGAAAGGGTAAAAAGAAAAGCAAAACAAAAACCCTACCAAAAAAGGATCGAATTTAGTTGAGCGAGCAAAAGTGAAATGACCACCATTTTCTGTCATATCTTTGAGCAAACCCCCTTAGCATGTAAGAGAAGAGTCAAGCCCTGTCAACCTCATAAATTTGATGATGATTACCACCATCTGGTTAAGAGAAAAAACTTATCAAGAATAATATAAGCTCTCACTGAAGTGCTGCTTGTCTTTCCTCAGTATCTTCACGCTCAACCTAAAAAGAATAATAATCATAGAGGTATTATAGCATTGAAATGTCATAAAATCACAAACAATGAAAAAATCCAATGCAGAAATGAAGAACAAAACATGTATAGCCCCATCACTTGAAACCGAGTGTTTACTTCCCCAAAGTTAAATATGTGACTGCATGCCCACACACATGTGCCAGCACCATACCTTAGTTTCAAAGCTGCGATGGATAATTGCCCATGGTAGTGAGATATTTGTGCTAAATCAACTTAAAACCTTCGATATTTTCAGGTTGTAGTTTCTTTTAATATGAATGTTTATTAATAAGATTATTGATATGTTTATAGCAAAAGCCAAAAGCACAGTTAAAAGTTCTGGAATAATATCTAGGAGTGCGGTCAAGGGTTCGATTCATATCACTAACAATAAAAATAATGAACGCAATAAGATACCTACTATAGCAAACTTAATGGAGCAGGAGTGAACTGCTTGTGCAAAACAACTAATATATAAAAAGTTTTACCTCAACAAGGACCCTTGCTTTCTTCTTTGATTTGAACCCAGGTTCATCTTTCTCAAAATTTCTTAGGGTATAGGTGCTATCATTTCTTTTAACTCCCTTTCGGTCAACTGCAACTGTCTCTTCATCATTTTCATCAATTCCAACTGCATCATTCATTTCCAAAATTAGAATGCAAATTTCCTATATATTAGGTGCTTTATAACAACAAATAAGGACATACGAACCAAGAATTATATGAAATCCATATATAATAACTAAATATAAAAGAAATATTTGAAAAAATTCGTGTTGGACTTCCATTGTCATATCATCAGTTTGGGAACTTCCAACAATCAATACACACATGAGCCAGCTAATAAACAGAAAGATTTTGTGAACAAAAGCAGTATGTATGTGCATCCATATCTGAGCTTTATTATTTTCATCATTTGCAATGAGAAAATAAAATCAACCTAAAGATCTGTACGAAATTACACAATATAAAGAATCTAATACAAACTTACAATCATCATCATCATCTGCATGAGACTCATTAAATGCAGGACCACCAAAATCTTCCATATCATCTTCCTCTTCAAGTTCTTCATATCCTTCAACATATTCTATCTCAGGTTCCTGCTTATTCCAATCAAAAATTGAAAAAAAAATCACTGTACCTATTTTCTAACCATAATAATTACTTTATCGAAAAAGAGTAACAATAGTATCATAACAAAAAGGGTTCATTGCTTTATGTGATGGTAAAAGCTCAGGCTGACAAGGTGAGGTCACAGGTTCGAGTTCAGGACCTATCACTTCTTGTGAAATATGCCAAATGTTAAATCTATCTTGAGCCTTACCCTCCCAGCACCCCGCATAGGTGGGACCAACACTGGGCAATGGCCATTTAATAACAGTAAGTGCAAATAGCAATGTGAATTAAATTTATAAAATCAACTCCATCAATTTTCAGGTATATTGAGAATTTTCTTGTGATGATAAATATGGTGTTGCTTTTACCAGAACTTCTGGGAAAAAAAATAAAGAAAAAAGGTGCAAATAGCAATACCTCCTCATCTTCATCTTCACTAGCAGCCTGGAGTCCTTCCATATCAAGAACTTTATTGTATTCTTTTACAGGATAATTATATATGTCGCCATAAACTCCCTTCTTAAGACGTTCAAGCAATTCCTTTTCAATACTCTGCAGATATTAACTGTGTTAGTGATGCTACGGAGAATATAGATGCTTAGCATCAACAGCGTAAGGCAAGCCTATGAGTATGTAACCTTATCCAAAATTGCTGCTTTTTCAGCCTTTTCCTCTCTTCTAGCCTCTCTTTTTTTCTCTTTCCTAGGCGTTGTCATTATCTTTTCCCTGTTTGACAACACAAGCAATGACCAATACGTGCTTTAGCTTAAAGGTTACAACTCCCAACTACATGCATCTGTAGCACAAACATCATATTAAAATGAGAGAACATAGTCATTTTCACTCAATTGGGGACTAAATTAGTTTATACATATTCCTCTCAAAGTTAATACATTCTTTTTTTTTTTTCCTAGTTGGTACTCACACACACATGCCCCCACTGAGGCTCGAACCCCTGACCTCTCTTTGAGAAATAGGAGCTTGGTACCGCTAGGCCACTGGCCTGTTGGTAGTTAATACATTCTAGTACAGTAAAGCGAATTTACTGACAATTTCTGTTGCTTATGTCAATCCCCACCTTCCAGACTTCAATCATGAAGGTACTCTTAAGTAGACTGCAAGATGCACAATGTTTATTGGCATGAGGGTCTGCGCAACATAATGAAATGCAAAAAACAGAGTACTACTCTGTCAAGTAGGCACAGTGATATTTGATCTAGAACCAACCACTTTCTGTAGCAAACAATTCATATCTCACACAACAACATTAGATGCCTCACAAACATAAATATCATGTTATCCTTCATGTAGCAAATACAGCATTTATCATGCCGAATAAAAGTTGACTTATAAAATGAAAATTTAGATGTTGCTAGTTAAATGTATCAGTAACAGCTCATAAATATTTTTAGAGGTTATTCTCCGACAGATATAATTACAAACATGTCACTTATCAAATTATTTATTTATATATATATATATATATATATATATAATTACAAACATGTCACCAAACTTTCAAAGGAAACATTTTGGTGCAATGAACACAATCAGCTAGCGTGTTAAGCAGGATTGTCTACTGTGCAGATGTTGATTGTATAACAGGAAACAATTGATAACAAGAGATGCTTGAACCTTGTTTTCAGAGCAAGTTTCCTCATGCGTATACGCATTTGAGTCATTTTGGTCAATCGTTGCTTTGTTTTGTGCACAAGTAACTTAGGCCAGTACATCTGTCAATTGAAAAGAAGAAATCACAATGAAAAATTAAATCTCCTTGACATAAGTAATAACATAAATCTATGAAACTACTTTCAGAGTTCTGAAACAAGCTAGATCTTCAATACCAGATGTTCGTCGATCTTTTCCAGGGATTTTTCATAATTTGGTGACAGTTTAAGTTTTTCCCACAATTTGTTTGGCATATGAGCCCTTTCTATAGTTTTCATATATAAATAGAAGATACCTGCAGAACACCAAGATGAAAATATAGAATAATTAGATATATGAACAGAAATTCAATACACATTCACATGCACATCTCAACTATTTTCCAATCCTATTGTCAATCAAAACTCAAAGAAGAAAGGGGATTAAATCAACCCCAAAAATATTGCATATCCTGCACACTAAAATTTAATGCAAACAGATGAATTATGTTCATCTTAAATATCATGTAGATTAAGCTGAAGAGCAGGTTAGCTTCTAACTATATTTTTAAAAGTAATTTGCACAAGTGGTGGTGGCACACACAACAACTATGCTCTATCTTTCTCTTTACCTTTTTCTCTCCTAAAATTGTTGAGTATAGTGGCTTTATTTAACTAACTTTGTTGTCATCTAAATTAAGTTTTCTACTAATTAGTCCTGAATTTATGTATTCAATAATATATCGAGAATTTCTCCAATAGAATAAGAAAAGATTTGGTGCCTGCATCATAGAAACACAGGAACACTCTTTTATTAACCTAGTATTAATATAGCTCAAACTTGTACTGCTTAGGCAGACAGCTTCATGAAAAATTCAATGAACACATCAAAATAAAGCCTCATTAGAACTACCTTGGTCACAGAATATCCTTTCCAGAAATATGGTAACCCAGAAGAAATCATCGGGACTTCCAGAAACATTGATCCTATCATAACCTATTATTCTTTCTTGCTGTTTTACTTCTTTTTTGGGACACCCACACAGCATTTTGGTTTATGCTCATGTGAGAGAGGGAAAATGTGTTGCCTAGCATATACTTACTCGGGAACAGGGATCCCAAAAAAGTGGAGATTCAATTAGCTACTGAATCAACATATGCATGATTCAAATGGGAAAGTCCCTCTTTGTTGGAAATGCAAGTGGGAATTAAGTAAGTATGAAAAAAAAAAAAACCTAGACACAGTTTGTGGAAAAGAAATTCTTTCCCCCCAACTCCACACCCTTTTCTCTATCACTAATCCTAATTCATTATCCATGGAAACCCCAAAAAAATAAACATAGAGACCAAAGTTAAACTTCACAATTAAGAACCAAACCAAGTGCATGCACACCAAATTTTTCATAAACCATTGCTAGAAGAAACAAACAAACTACAATTGCAACAACAGATCAAGCAAATTGCAACAACAGATATATGAAAGTTCAAAACCTCTAAATAGCAATAACAATTTAATCATCATAGAACTTGTAAAATAAGAAGAACAAGAACAAGCACAAGAGATGAGAAATTAGTACCATTCTCATCGCGAATAGTTGCGTAACGACTGTTGGCGAGAGGGCAAGAGCTCCGATTACAAATTCCGGTAACATTATAATCGTTTCGACAGAAAATCCCCGTCTCTATTCTGATAAATTAAAAAGCAATCAGTCATAATGAATTAAATTGGAAGCATAGAAAAACAATAATTGTTGAGTTTATTAGACTAACTTGGTCATGAAACTGCAGTGCTTGTGTCTGAGAACTTGCCATATAACCTCATCGTGCTGCATCTTTGATTACACTGATTCCTATATGCTTATTGCTTGCTGTTGATATGCTCAATGGGTCGATGCAGATGCTTTAGGGTTTATTTTGGGGGGTTTAGGGTTTGTGTACAATAAGCGTTCACACGGCGATGACAGAGTGCGAGGGTTTTGGGTTCAAGGTTTTACGATTGGTAAAAGTATGCGGCACAAGGTCGGACTTCAAGGTATGTCATCCGGACATGTCTATTTTCGGGAATTTAATTTTTTAAGGTGATAATTTTAGTATTTTTTTAATAGAAGAATTGCATTAAGCGTCACTTTTTTAATATTTGTGTTTTGCACTGAATCTCAATTTTTTTTTAGGGAAAATTACATATAAATTGAGTCAAAGTTTCATATTTACTTAGAAACTGAGTTAGAGTTCCATATTTCTCTAAAATGGATTGCTGAGGTGGCACATGGTTTTTTACTGTTCAAAAAATTGTGGTGCCTAAAATACCCTTTCCTAATAAAAAAGTAGTACCTTCAGTTCAAAAAAGTAGTACCTTCGCGAGTGTTTAAAAAACATGGTACCTGGATGCCAAAAAGTAGTACCTTCAGTTCAAAAAAGTAGTACCTTCGAAGAAAAAATAGTACCTTCGCGGAAGGGGATTTTAGGCATCACAATTTCTAAACAGTAAAAAACCATGTGCCACCTCAGCAATCCATTTTAGAGAAATATGAAATTTTGACTCAGCCTCTAAGTAAATATGGAACTTTAACTCCATTTATATGTAATTTTCCCTTTTTTTTAATCCATTGTCAGTTTTAGTCCCATATCATCCACAATTGTAGCAACTTCTATTCTTTTTTTTTTTTTTCTTTTTTTTTAATCCATTGTCACTTTTAGGGTGTGTTTGGATAGTATCAGTTATGAGAGAAAAGAAAAGAAAGGATAGTATTAGTGAGAAAAGAAAAGAAAAGAAAGGATAGTAATAATTTCTATTTGTGCTTGGATAAATAGGGAAGAAAAGAAAAGAAAGGATAGTAATAATTTCTATTTGTGCTTGGATAATCAGGGAAGAAAAGAAAAGAAATGATACTTATTCTTATTTGGATAAGATAGAGGAGAGAAAAGAAAAGAAAGAATAATAAACAAATTACTTTTTTACCCTTTCATAACCATGGGACTTGAATGGAATAATAAATCTGTGTATTGATTTATGGAGGCTAATTTTAGTATTATCAAAATATCATTAAAATCACTATCCTTTTTCTCCCTATCTCTCCCTATCTTCTCAAAATTGAGGAGAAAGCAAATAAGAAATAAGAAGATAGCTATCCCTCCCTATCTCTCCTTATCCCTCCCTATCCCTCCACTTAACTTAACCAAACATAAACTTACACTATCCTCTCTTTTCTTTTATCTCCCTATCCCTCCAAATCAACCCTACCAAACACACCCTTAGTCCCATATCATCCACTATTGTAGCAACTCTATTCTTTTGTGTTTTGAACTGAATCTCACTTTTTCTTTTTTCTTTTTTGTTTTTTTTTTTTTTTTAATCCATTGTCACTTTTAGTCCCAGATCATCCAGTATTGTAGCAACTTCTATTCTTTTTCTTTTTCTTTTCTTTTTCTTTTTAATCCATTGTCACTTTTAGTCCCATATCATATCCCACTATTGTAGCAACTTCTGTTCTATTTCTTGTTTAGCTTCTTTTGTTTACCCAGAATATATATTATATATACCATTATAATATTATATATAATATAACTTCACTTTTATATAATTGTACTCTAATCATAATTTTAAAAATTAATAATTAATTTTTTTAAATACCACAATTATCCTTTTCAATTATGGTAAGATATTTTTGGCTCCCCCCTCTTTTTCAATTAATATTTTTGGTGGTACCTTGCGTTTTTTTGGTTAATCCCTATTTTTCTTCTGCTTTATGCCTTTCTAAACTCCCTCTAATTAGGTTTGATTAGGGGTGCACATGGTCCGATTTGAATTGGATTGAGAGTTTTTTTTGGACCAAATCATTTATAATGGTTTCACTATTTTTGAAATCAAACCGAACCATAATGCCCATTGAACCAAACTAAACCAAATCGCGAAAAACCGATTTGATTCGGTTCGGTTTGTCGGTTTAAGTTTATTTCCTTTCTATTTTATTTTTAAAAAACAAAATCTCTTATTTTTTCCTGTATATAATACATCAAGAACCGACATTGACCAAATGACAATCACATATGCATTGTCAATAATATCAAGCACTTGTGGAAGAAACAAACAGACAGTGACCAAATGATCACAAGGAAAAAAATACAGCATTCCCTGTAAACTATTTACGAGGTAGTGGGAAAAGAAAAAAAAAAAAATTAACTCAAAATTTCAAAAACACAAGAGAGATCAGGTACAGAATAGCTAATATTTGAAGTACCTAGCTATCATAATTATTTCTTGCCATGACTAAAAACATACAAACTTAGTTCACTAATCACTATGAAGTTGAAAAGAATATATATATATATATAGAGAGAGAGAGAGAGAGTTAACGGTTCGATCCAGGCCGGGCCGATTCAATAGGACCCCAAATCAGGACCGAACCGAAACCAGACCAAACCACTATACAACTAGCTTAAACCGCCTAGTTCAGTCCAATCTGGTCCGATTTTTCGATTTACTGGATTTTTTTAACACCCCTAGGTTTGATATTGATATTTGTAAATAATGATAAAAGATTTTATAAATAAAAAAATAATAAAGTTGAAATATGTAATTGATCTTATTAAGCATAATTTTTTTTTTCTTTTCGAATAACTATTAAAACTTTACGAACCAACAAACTCCTTTGATAATAATATTGGTAGGACTGGTAATTTGTTTTTTTTTATTATTATTATTTTTCTTTTCTGTTTCATGCTTTGAGTTTACCATTTACATTTTTTTTTTTTTCTGATGTGATTTTTAAGAATTAATTCAGCATTTATTTGAATATTTAAGTTTACCTTGTACTTTTTGATAAATAAAGTCCTAACTTTTTGACAATAAATTTAAAAGACTATGGATTTTGTGGAAAAAAGAGAGTTAAAAAAAAAAAAAAAAATTATAGTGAAAAGAATAAATGTGGTATTATAAAACGAGGGAGGATGCATTAATAAGTTTAAAGGTCTTCTTGTCATTTTCTTTAAAGAAAAAAAAAAAAAAAAAAAAAAAAAAAAAAAGTAGAGTGAAATTGTACGAAAAATGAAGTGCTAATGGTGTCACCCTATAATATATATCATTAAATATTACATAATCTATATTTGTATTTTAAACCAACCTTTACACGAATCTCAGTCTTTTCCTGAACTTTGTATGCTAATTTTTTTTAATTGAAAGTTATACTGTGCATTCGATTATTTGGTTTTTATTGATTTTTATTTTATACATATTTGTTAAATGAGTTAATCTTCTACAATTACGAAAAATAATGCATACATTTTTTCTTTCATTTTTTTATTTCAAAATAATTTTTCCTATAAGATATCATTAGATTATAGGCTGCCAACTTACAATCTATTTCTTTTATGTGACTAATGTGAACTTAACAAGTAGTCCATTCTTTTACGAACTAAACAAAAATTATTTTTTGTTACATATAAAAGACTGATTTCAAAATTTTATTTATTTTTTAGCATGAGTTTGAAAGCCGTTTTGAGTAGTGTTAAAGCCCTATTTGGGAGAACTTTTAGCTTCTAAAATTCCTTCCACTAAATCAGCTTTGAAGAATGCATTTTGATTAAAATAATTTAAAACAAAAAAGTTGTTTGGTAAGTAAATTTTTTGAAGTCCTTTTAATTTTAATATAATTTGACTTGACAATTATATCCTTAATAAATCATGAATAATAAATAGCAAAGAGTTGAATTGGAATGTTCAAATAAGGGAAGAAAAAAAAAAAACTATAATAAAAGTGATGGAGTGAAATTGCCAATAATGCAGCAACGATTAATTAGCATAGTGAAGATTTGGTATGCAAATTTAACTCAACCCAATCTACATGCTAGAAGTTTTTTTAAAAAAGAAATTTATTTGACTACATGATAGAAGTTGAAAGAGATGCAAAAAGAAAATGAAAGAAAAATAAAACGAAAGAGAGAGATGGCAGCGAAAATATCCCATTTTTATTCTTATTTATAATTATAAATTACTTTAACAAATGAATAGGTAGCCTTCAAAAAAGAATATATATATATATATATATATATATATAGAGAGAGAGAGAGAGAGAGAGAGAGAGAGAGAGAAAAGTTATTTAGAATTCTACATAGGATTGAATTTTGAATGAGAATTTATAGATCTTGGAACCCTTTAGACTTTGAAGTCAAATACGAGTCAATAGTAATTTTTCCGGCAACTTCTCGATCTCTTTGTTCTTCCTTTGTTGAATCTTTTTTCAACAATATTTTTTTCAATAAAGTTCTGTGAAATTTTACTCAACATTATTTTTAATTTTTTGGGTATAAAACCAACGAAGAAGATGATATAGAAAGCAAAAAATAAAAGTTTGCAATGAAATTTATAAATGGAAATAGGTTAAATAATTGATAATATAAAAATTTTATATTTATTACTTAAAAAAGTGTGTAACTTATGGGAAGTCGGTTAGGAAACATGTTTTATTGGTTTTGGTCAACTGAGCTTCTAAATCACTTGACTTTTTTAAATTTTTTTTTTTTTTTTTTAAATTTACCAAATGCTCTTTATTATTAGCAAAGGACTTTTTAGGCTTAAAAGCCCGTTTTGAGGCAACGAAAAACTTAGCCAAACAGGCCCAAATCTTTTAAAGAGCTTTTGGTCACAAGGAAAGCCAAATGGCGTTTAGTACAACTTTAAAAAATCCAATATATCCTTAAAAACTAACATACTTTTAAAAAATATTCCAAACGTGTCCCTATATAACACGCTTTAAACCCAATTTTCAAACGTAATCAAATTAGAAATCAAATCAAACAAGAGAACCAAGACATTGCAAAACAAACCGCTATCCCAATTATTTCACCTTTCTCCGATCGTAGTCAATACCATCCAACTATTTCAACATCTTTTATTTGAATTTGTTACGGAAATTAAAAAGTGAAAATATGACAATACATATGAAAAAAAGAAAAGAAAACAAGTCTCTCCATCTTTAAATTTTTATTTTTTTTAAACCATAAATTGAATCAGGTTAGCAGATGAACTGCAATATAACAACAATTGTTT